GCTGGTGCTGACACTACCACTACCGAGACTGGCTCAGAGACTGGCACTACTACCACTGAAGCTGGTGCTGGATCTACAACCACCACTGAGGCCGGTTCTGATACTACCACTACTGCTGCTGGTGTTGATACCACTACCACTGAGGCTGGCTCTGACACTACTACCACCACAGCCGCTGGTGTTGATACCACTGCTACCACCACCACTGAAGCTGCCTCCACCACCACCGACTCCGTCTGCACCGGCTACACCCCCGTCCCCAACCCTCCCTCCGCCAGCTGCGCCGTCAAGGGCAAGTCCTACAAGACCTATATCTCCACCGACACTGGTAGCAGCGCCGATGTGTGTGCTAGCAAGTGTAGCGAGGTCTCTGGCTGCAAGTCCTTCGCTTACAAGGCTTCTTCATCCACTTGCACTTTCTACACTCAAACTGTGAGTGAGCTTCAGATTAACAGCTGTGCTTCTGCGGAGGAGTCTGAGTTCTACGAGTTTGAGATCTGCTATGCTGGCTGTGGTCAGGCTACCACTACCACTGAGGCTGCTGGATCTACTACGACAACTGAGGCTGGTGTTGAGACTACTGCTACAACTACTACTGAGGCCGGTGAGGGTTCTACCACCACCACCGAGGCTGCCGTCGCTTCTACAACTACCACCGAGGCTGGTGAGGCTTCAACCACTACCACTGAGGCTGCTTCTACCACTGAGGCTCCTACAACCACCACAACCGAAGCTCAGTCCACTACCGAGGCTCCCACCACAACCACAGCAGCCCCCGTCTGCACCAACTACGTTCCCCTCCCCAACGCCCCCTCAACCTGCGGCAAGCAAGGCAAGGTCTCCTGCCGCTCCACCCAGAAGCTCGGCCAGGCCACATCCGTCACCGACGTCAACGCCTGCGGCAAGCTCTGCGGCACAACCCTCACCTGCAAGACCTTCTCCTACACCCCCAAGTTCCGTAGCGCCGGCGGTTACTGCCAGCTCTACTCTGCACCCTTGTCACAGCTCAGCTTCACCCCTTGTAACACGGGTGTCAAGTTCTACGATCTCGATACGTGCTACACCTGCTCCAACACTCCTACGCCTACACCTCCTGCTACGTGCTCCAAGTACGTCCCTGCGTTTGAGAAGTGCGCCAAGGACACGCACTGCGGAACAAGCGGTGAGATCTGTCAGGAGGAGAAGATCAATGTCGCGGGCGATGCGTCGTGCCTTGAGAACTGTGCCAAGAGCTGTATTGACTATGGAAAGGATTGCAAGTACTTCAGCTACCAGCCTGCGTTCTACAACAGCGCTGCCAAGTGTAAGCTGTACAAGAGTGGAAAGATCACCAAGAAGAGCACTTCTTGGGTCAAGTTCTACGAGCAGGATTGCTTCAAGTGCCAGCAGTCCAAGTAAGCAACGCATCTGGGGCATGATGAAATGGGAATTGGAGGGAGGAGTCGGAGAAAAACATTCTTTTCATATTCTACGACTTTGAACGTTAGCATTTTTATGTAATTACTTTTATCTTTTTTTGTCTATTTTAGATGGACATATGATATATACACTATGACTTGGGCAACCATTTACTTGTCCCTGATCGATCTCCTGATCCAGATGTGAAGCCATTACTCCAAGCATCTTGTGGTAGTAGTGACGATAAAGAAAAGAGCATCGGTAAATATTTATTATTCCCGCTTTGATCATGGCATCCGCTGTCAGACGGATATTAACGTCCATGTCACCAACCACCTTTCTAGCCCGTGGCGTCTTGCTTTTTCGCATCTTCCTTTCAACATCCAAACATATCGTACACGTTAGATTACAATAATACACATATAAACACCATTGAACCTTTAGCAGCGCCGGCTGACAGCTCCTCTTTGAGTTCAGCATCGAGCCACAAGTCCCCATTACACTCCTCGCTCATTCCGTCCCTACACTCCCACCACTCGCCATCGCAAGCCTCTCCCTCTCCTCCCTCTCCTCCCTCTCCTTATTGATCTTGGCCTGTTTCCATGGCATAACCTTCTGTTCTTTCCCCATAACAACTACTCCATATTAGCGCATCTCTACCCAACAAGCGGAACAACTTACGTCTTTGGAACAGTTCATAACCGACAACCAAGACAATCGGCATCCCAACCATGAACTTGAGCCAAAACCTCTCCAGTTGTTTATGTCTCCTATTGTAATCTTCCTTCTCCGCCTTCTCCCTCTCCTCCTTCGTCAATCCAGTCTTCTTCTTCTCCTCGGCGGCATTCGTTCTCTCCTCAGCCTGCTTTGCCTTTTCCCTTCTCTCGCTAGACGCCAGATTCTCCCTTGCATCTTGCCTCTTATCTGCATCCGCAGAAAGCTTTCCTAGTCGTGCTGATCGTGCCTGTCGTAGTTTGTCTTCTCGTTCTTGTGCTAGTTTTGTAGCCCTTTCGACCATACTCTTTGCGTTCTCGGCAGACTGTTCGGATGTTGTCAGGGTTATGGTCGTTTTGGCGGGCTTTTCACTGAGTTTAACAGAGTCAACTGGGCTTGGAACCTGTTGCCGGCGGTTGAAGGGTCGTGATGTTGAGAATGCGCATTTTGAGGTTCGATGGCTGAGGAGAGGGTATTCGAGGCGGGAGGTTCGAGGGAGGGCGCTTGATGCCACTTTTCGTGGCGCAATTCGCAATGACATTGTTTCCGCACAAGCAAACGTGTGACTTGAGCGCAATCGGTAGTGTTGAAGTGTCGCAATGTCGTAAAGTTGCTTGAAGTTCAAGATTGACGAATCCAAGTGGGAAAAGATCACCAAGTCCTTATCGATAAAGCCATAGCTTCGGCTCAAGACCTCACGTCACTAAAGTTTGATCAACATCTTGGTAGCCAAATTCTCTTCATATCAACAGTTAATTGAATTGGAGCTCACTCAAAGTTCTAATCTCACTTCAAATCTTCAATGTTAGCCAGCCTTCTGCTATAGTTTTTGATTATACAATATTTAATCTTCCAAAACGCCTTTTGCAAACCCATTTACTGCCCGCCCATGCCTTATGATCTTACTATACCCTCCCAATCAATCGTCATCAGTGTATCGAGGACCAGTGGCGGCAGGAGTCTCTGGAGGAGCATATGCTGCGGGTGTAGGAGCACCATAATAACCAGGCGTAGGAGCACCAGCCGCAGGAGTAGGAGCCGAGTCTGCTCCCCATCCACCTTGCCACGAAGCTCCTGGTGTAGGTGCGCTGATGGCCGCGGGAGTCGGTGCAGAGTAGGCACCAGGTGTAGGAGCACTCAACGCACCAGGAGTCGGGGCACCAAGACCAACACCGGGCGTAGGGGCGTCGTAAGCGCCTGAACCTCCCCATGAGTCGTTTCCACTAGCTCCAGGAGTTGGCGCAGATACTCCCCAAGCGGGAGTCTTGGATCCTGAGCCCCAGCTGTCACCACCACCGCCATATGCAGGCGTACGTGAGCCAGCACCGAAAGCATCGCCAGGAGCAGGAGTCCTTCCACCGGCCTGCCAGGCAGGTGTACGTCCTCCAGAGCCATAAGCAGTACGGTTGCCGTCGTAAGGGTTGACAGTTCGTGAACCATCAGCCCATGCGGGAGTTCGGGCTCCGGACATATCTGGGGCCTTCCAAGCGGGTGTGCGTCCACTTGCTGCTGCAGGTGCTGCATCATGTTAGCATGTTGAAACCAGCCAATTGCTGAGAAACTTACTTCGTGATCCCCAAGCAGGCACTCTTTCTGAGCTACTACCCGCCATAGGTGTGCGAGAACCGCCCTGCCATCCTGGCACACGATCACCACCACCTCCCCGCCCAGCACCACCACCATATCCACCACGGCCTCCTCGGCTAGCGATGTCAATTGTAGCTCCAGTCAACTTGTTCTTGAAGCTCAGACTATCCTTGGGCACCGTAATAGTCTTGCTCTTCGTATGAAGCTCGACCCGGGCGTGGGTATCTGTTGTATCCTTGACAATACCCAAAAGACCTTTGTAGGCTCCCTTCCTGATAATAACAGTCTGTTCAATTGCCTTATCTCGGCCAAATGATCTGGGTTGCTGTACTGGCTTGTTTTCTGTCCCGTTCTTGTGAAGCTTGAGTGCTGGGTTCATCGCTGTCAGGTCAGGACCAGCGGATGCAGCAGCGACACGACCTCCCTTGGCCGCAACGGTGTTGACCATGCTGGCCTTGGTAACAAATACACCAGCGTTCTCCTTGCTGTCGTTGGTGTGTAGGAAGACATACGAGCGATGGATGTGAATAATCTTGCCCTGTCGTTGTTGACCTGTGTACTCCTTGACGACATCCTCGAGTCTAATCTCAGAGCCACTTCGGTCGGCGGCAACAGCAGTCTTTCGCTTTGGCAGTTTGTTGGCAATCTGCGATGGCATAACCTGGCGAGTGTCTCCGAATTGGTCAAGAACAACAAGAGACTCGCGATCTACCTTGACAACGCATCCCACTGTCGTGGGATCAAGTTGCACCAAATCGTGAAGAGAGTACTGGCCCAATGATCCTTGACCACCGATATCACTAGCTTCACGCAAATCCTTGCTGAATACAGTGACTTCAGAATTGGTCTGATCTGTCAGAAGAGTAACTTGATCGTCCTTGATATTGACAACCATTCCGACCTCGTCGCGGAACTTGCTGCCACCAATGACCTTGACATGATCACCAATCTTGAAGCGCTTGCGAAGAGATCGGATCGGAACATCGATTTCCTGGCCAACAAGATCACCCTCAGTAACAGTAATCGAGACGACATCGGAGTGAACTCGCATAGCCTTTCCGACAACACCCTTCTGCTCGCCAGTGTACACCTCGACAATATCGCCAGGTAGGTACGTAGCCAGAGCGTTACTGTCCTTTAGACTGTGGGCCAGTGCCTTAAGATCAAGGTTCTCGGTTCCATCTTCAGCACCGGAGGCGAATCGAGTGACTTCCTCAAGTGAGGGATTGACATCAGTGGTAATAAGTTGCTGAATCTTGATATCCTTGACCTGGAAACCATTCTCGAACTCGTCACCCATGTAGGTCCATGTCCCAGCAGTAGGGTTACCCTGGATGTGTCGAGGATGGCGCTTTCGTGCCTCAACCTCGCTGAAGAGCCTCTGCGGTGGTTTAGGACCAGCCATACCGAAAGGTCGCTTTCGCTTTCCATCGGCGGTGACTGAAGAGAAGGCATCGTCTCGCATACCATAGTCCAACCTGGGAATGAAACGGACACGAGCCTCCAGACCGTTCTCAGTAACATCAATGACCTGAGCAAGATCGCCATTGTGCTTCATAGGCCTTCGGAGACGAACCCAGGCTCCAGGCTCCAGAGTTGGTGTCTTGGAAACGCGGAACAGCTCAGGCATATCCTTGATATCAACCAAAATCATCTTGGAGTGAGGATACACATTGAGCATACTGTCCAATCCCTTCAAAATATCGGTTTGACGTCGGGCCTCAACGTAGACAAATCCCTTCATGACAGAGTCAGGGCCTCCACGTTCGAACGCAGCAGTGATGGCCAGTTCATCCTTAGTGCCAGCCCTCTCTTCGATGCGCTTCATAATCGAGAAAACAACTTCTCGCTCCTTGCCTTCTTTACATCGTACGGCCCAAATGCTAGGATCGTCCACACTAGGGAGGAGTAGTCGCTTGGGAACAACCGATGCATCTCTGAAGCCTTTGCCAGAACGTCGATTACCATATCGCTGTCGCAGGATCTCTGCCTGTTTCTCGGCGTCCATGCTGGAATCTATCTCGCGACGGCGATCGAGCTCACGATGTCGTCGGTCATCATCGATACCAGTTTCAGCCATATCGTCTGGATGATCGTTTGTGATAAAGTCGCCTATCTCTTCACCCAGCATCTCGTCATCTTCGGCTTCGTCTTCATCGTCGACTTCGGCTTCGATATCGAAGAAAGCTGCTCCTCGTTCCTTTCTGCGCTTTCTGCGATGGCCCTAAAGGGGGTCAGTATTTGAAGAGCAGGCAGGCAACGCGCCCAGGCAGAATCAGAGGCTGCTCACCTGCTGGACATCGTCCTCGTCCTCGTCGTCTTCCTCATCATCTTCGTCCTCGTCATCATCGCGACGCTTAGGATTGTCATCCTCTTCCTCTTCTTCTTCCTCCTCATCATCGTCATCGGCGTGTCGCGACTTTGATGGTCGCTCATCCTCGTCATCGTCATCATCGCGAGGCGCAGGACTGCTTCCACGCTTTATCTGCTTGTCGTCGCCATCTTGCTCCTCGTCGGACATATCGGCGGGCGCTGGGTTGAAATCTTCCTCATCTTCGGAATCGTCGAAGCGCGAAGGGTCGTGGGAGGACATGGTGGCGAGTGAGCCGCGCGACACGAAGCGTGTCTGCGATAACTGGTGAGAGATTGGTCGCTGGAGTTGGAAAGATTAAGAAATTATTAAATGCCGTCGATGCGAGAGAAGAAAGAATAAAAGGCGCTTGATGGATGACAAAGATAAATAAAGAAAGAGGTTCAAGCAACTTTGAAGTCAATGTTAGAGCTTCAGACGGCAAAATGCCGGGCCTTGTGCAATGCACAACCGTGTAATTGGTGGGTCCCGACTTGTGCAGAATTACAGTGGGCCGCTTGTGAAGGTCACTAATCGATCTCTGAATGTAAAAACATCTTGAAAGAGTTTACATCGGAAAGAAATTTTTCTTATGCTCAAGTCTTGCAGAATCACATGTGCTATTTTCAAGACTCAGAGGACGTATTTCAATTGTATAAAACTATGGCTACGTGAATGCATAACCTTGGTGAATCTTGAGGTGGCCTTGACACTGACGCAGATATGAATGTACTCTACATAAGATAGAGACAACGAATAAACGTCAAAGGGACTGTAGAGTGATTGGCTGGTCACTTTTTCCTTTGTCGTATATCGTGACTGTTTCAAGTCTCATGTTGTCGAGGTTCTCATGGAGGTCTATCCGAAGAACCCAAACACACCCTCGACCAAACCACACTCAAACTACTCCATCATTCATTGATATCTGGTTATAGTCATCATATTGCATATATCTTCTCATCATCTATATCTACTCCAACGCTAACTCCCACCAGCGCCGCCCTCTATGTCCACCCATTCCCAGGCTTTGCACAAGCTAGAACTCAATCTGGCCGCTCAAACTCCTCCTCATGCACAAAACCTCCCATAAAGCGCAAGTGTCCAGGATATAAGATCGTGTTTTTATATCGACCAGCCCAACGTTTTGATCCTGGCACCTTGAAGATGCCCCCAATCAGACTTTCGAAAACCCCCTAATAAAAACTCCAGGCTTTGCGGAATGCAATGACCATGCCCTTAACCAGCCACACTTTACATAAATCGAGTAACGTTTCTGAAACAGAACTGGAGGCTCTGACCCACGCTTTACAAATGATTTAAGTCAGCTCAGTACTGCCTTTTCACGCGACTCGTGTTCCCCAGATACCGCGTCCTGCACCGACGCCGAGCCATTCGCCGTACTCGGAGTTGGGTAGTTGAGGCACCCAGCCCAGGTTACCGATCTCGTAATCGCATTGCCAGCTAGCAACAGGGCTTCTGGGGTTCTCTTGTTGAGGAGTACCGTTCATCGGCTGGTTGGAGTTGTAAAGATCCCAGAGAAGAACTTGGCAGTCGTCGCCACCTGAAGCGAGCATACCTCGTCGATGAGGTGACCATTCGATGCAGTTGACGTTTCCACCATGACCTCGTAGCTCGAGCAAGGCCTGGCCGGGTTGTCGCACATCTAAAATGCGAATAGCGTTGGAATCTTGAGCAAATGTAGCGAGAAGATGGGTATCGTGAGGTGAAGTAGCGAGTCGTAGCAGCGGAGGAGGATTCGCCATCGTTTGTTGAGCAAGTGTTGGACTAACACGGCCACCGTTGGGATCTATAAAGTCAGTATATGATGAAGAAAGACTGGACAGGCAACTCACCTCGCTCTTCCTTGCCCGTAGGCTCGTAAATAATTGTAGAGTGCTCCAAACTTCGAAGATCAAACATACGGACACTGCCGTCTTGACCACAGCTAACAAAAACATCCACACTCTTGGCGCAGAACCTAACATCATAAACCTCTTTATCGTGGGCAATAAGTTGGGTTTTGGCCGTAAGTGAGGGAATATCCCAGATGGTACATGTTGTGTCTATGCTGGAAGTAATGATGAGGCTGGGAGAAACGGTGTTCCAATCGAGAGATGTGAGAGGCGCAGTATGATCTGGTGTCTTGGAGTTGGAGAGTAACGCGAGGGGTGTCAACTTGGTGGTAGGGTTGTCGCGACGACCGATGGTGCTGCTGGGCGTAGCAGGATTCTCGTTAGGAAGAGACCACAATCGCAAGTGGTCGCCCGAAGTCGCGAGCAGGTCAGTAGACTGCTTCTGCGACGAGGGAGGCTCCCATAGCAAGCGCGTCACAGGATAAGAGTGGGTAGCTTCGGCAGCCTTGGTGAACTCGAGACTATATTTAGATGAGCCAGGTGTGTAAACATCCTGAGGTGTTGGCGTAATGTGGCTGTCGAGGATTTGGATCTATAAGAGTCAGCGATTGTATATGATCAATTGTACGTTGAGACGCACAAAGTTGTGACCATCTTCCAGGTAGCTCCCCACAGCCAGCTTGCCGGCACCATTGCCCTGGGCAGGCCATTTGCACCAGTCAAAAGCGTAAATGGCCCATGGCGCGAGGTAATTGCTTGTCCCTGGCTGAGCACTATTGGCGTCATAACCCATAGAAGCTCCAGGACCATCAGACATGCTCGAATCGGCGCGGGGACGGATATCAGCTAGGCCAAGCGGGGTGTTGGAGATGGTGCGCTGGGATCCTGGAGCATTGTATCTGGCGGGATCGATTGGAGACATTAGATGCGAAGATGAAGCACCGCTGGGAGTAGTGGGCGTGTATGCGTGGTAGTTGGAAGAGCCATCGTAGCCAGCGGCTGGGCTGGAGCGGGAATAGCTATGAGACATGCTCAGTGGTGGTTTGCTCGCGGCGGCAGCAGAGGGCGAGTTTGAATAGTCGTGGGAAGGCTGGCCGTGCTGAGAAGGGATCTGCAGCGGCTGCTGTGAATGATGATGATGCTGTTGGTGTTGACCTTGCGTCGGCGGCTGGTGAGGAACAGATGAGGCAGCGGGAGAGGATTGCTGCATCGGCGAGGGCAAGTTGGGCGAGGCTGGGGCGCCGCGAGCGGACAGGCCACCGGCGGGTTGGAGGACGTTGGGCACCGAAGAGTTGGAGGGGTTCCTGTAGTGGAGGTTTGAGGGCGAAGACTCGAACTTGATCTGAGGAGGGTTCTCGTAGTCTTGAGGCGACATGGAAATTGGAGCACCAGTTTGGCTCAAGCCCGACATGTGCAATTCGTCGTGCTGGGGCTGGGGTTGAGGGCCGGATCCAGAGCCAGCGCCAGAGCCAGCGCGAGGAGCAGACGCAGATGCAGAAGACATGGAGCCCACCTGCGTCTGACGCAGTGAAGGAGGAAATTGCTGTGATTGGCTCATCGTTGGATACTTTGACTGTTTCTCGGCTTAGCAGCTCGGGGCCTGTGTTTGACGGACCTGGCCTGGGGCTGATTGACTCGGCAAGCCTCAAAGCGCGCGAACAGCAGCAACGTTGAGTGAGGATGAGTTTGAGGAGCAAAATGTATGCGACAGTGCAATACGAGGGTAGTCGTTAATAAAATCGAGGTGGAGTAACGAAGTGTCCCTTACAGCTCAACTGGCTCGCGGGCGTCGGCAGTTGGTAAGCCAAAAGATCAGCAGCAGTCGCGGTGCTTGAAGTTCCCGTCGGTTCAAGCAGAAGTCCGAGGGTGAGGTTTCAGGGTATTGACCTGTGAGAGCAAGGCAGAAGAAGCGGAAATTTTGACGAGATGCAAGAAAGAATGCGACATGGGAGGCTCCTCGTTTGCGCAAGCAAGGTTTCGGTCTGGCCTGGCCCGGTCTGGTTCGGTTTGACTTGGAGAAGGGCGGAGGGGTTGGTGAAAAGTTGCCGGCTGATGGTAGTCTTTCGTTTGAGCAGAGGATTAGGCAAGCAAAAAATATTATTCTTGAAGGATTCAAATGATGTAAGGCATCTTCGAAAGTATCACTATATCTGAGTCTGAAGCTCGGCCGCGGTTTGCACTGCATTAATATGAATAACTCACAGGAGGGCGCGTGAAATTTGGAAGCTTCGAACCTCTTGATAAAACTTGCATTTGAAGATCTCTGAACCCTGGTCAGAAATGTCTACTAAGGTATATTTCGTGACCATCCGAGCCAGAGTAACTTGGGTATCACTTATGAAGTCTTCCCCAAGCAAGCTACCTAAGTAGCATCTTGTACGTGATGCTACGTTTTGAGCCTAGAGCTTGACATTGGTGGTCTTGAGACATCTGGTCGGTTTACATGCAGTGAGCATTACTGGTATGAAGATTACCGTGACACTGAGCTAGATATACTACAAAGAATTACCCAACTCAATGAAAAGAGAGATAGCAAGTTTCCGGCGCCTTTCCATAGTACGAACTGAGCTTCAAGTTGAAGCTATCATCAAATATTCAACATATGATTTACCTTCATCACATGAAGACAAGCCCGTGACGTGGTCGTGGTACAGATCCACAGGGCGGGGAGTGGATCGCGGTAGCTCATGGCCAGGTGCACCCCAGAGCAGGTGGGCACATGCCAACCCCAGATCGTGTCCAAAGCTTCCGTCCAGTCAAGCAAGCTTCATCAAGCTCTTCTCTTATGATCACTGCCAACGACTTCAACGACTCGTCACCGCTCATACAACACCTATCACTGCATATCCTCATATACTTCACCTAATGTGAAGCACTGCGACTACAGACTCCACAGCTATAAAAGCTTCGAGCCGTGTCTATCCGAAATCGAGCGAATGTTTGCGATAACTTCAATACTGCGACTACTCTCATCATTCTCATACCCGATCCTCCCGTATCTCTATTTATAAGCGAACATGTCTTCTCCCTCTATCCTCGATCGTATTTCCAGCCCAACCCAGCGACTCCTCAACAACCCACTGCGTAGCCCTCCTATTCGAGAAGTCAGCGAGTATGACTTAGACGAGCTCGAACCTCGAAGTGAAGACCCTCTCTTCGACCAGGAACCCCCACGCCCGAGACTTAGAAAGACGGCCCAACCTACTTCTACCACATCGACCCGGCGATCTTCATCACCTGCTTCGTGGGACAGCAAGCATCGCTATGAGAATTCACCTTCTCGAAGGAGGTCGAAAGTTATCTTCGCAGGACCACCCCCTCCGATCGCATCCTCAGTCTTGATTAACCAAGATCCCGCACGGCAATCAGTCTCCCCGAATCATAGCGATAGCGGGCGAGGGTTTGGGTTGCTTTCGCCAAGTCGCTTTGGGTTGAGTGACAGCCCGAGCCAGAAGCATTTAGATAATCGCCCACGACTCGACTCGATATGGAGAAGCTTACAGCGACGAGAAAAGGCTTTGGAACGAGATATTCAACAACTTTTAGATCTTCAGGCTTCAGGCTTGGTTGCTGGTAGCGGAGATGGGGGTTCTGAAAGCAACTTTGGAAGCGATACTGGTACTGGGGAGAGTACTTTCTATTCGACGGCTACGTCGAAATCACGAATGATAAATTCCTTACATATTCCGGTGCGCTCTGCGCCAGATGGAAGTGTTATACCTGTGCGACAACCCGCTCCAAGCAAACCACGCGGCCTCAAATCAGCTCGAGCTGGTCTCCAGCGGGCCATGGCTGCTTTATCAGACTTGAAAGCGGAGGAGAACTCGCATCTGAACACGGCGCTAGAACAACGAAAGGACGCTCTGGCATACCTTGACAAAATGAGCAAGCGGAGGGACGATATATATGCTGAGCTTCATGCCTTGGAAGACGACGAAGAAGAACCTTTGGGCCAGGAGCTCCGTGAGCTTGGGGCCGAACAGCAGGCTTTGGACCACGACATACGAATTCTAGAAGAGAAATTGATTGCAATGCGAAATCGGCGTAGATGGGTGCGAGAGAAGATAGAGGATGTTAAGAATCGACGAGAGGCTGGTCTTAGTGGGTACAGAGCTGCTGGTCGAGACGTGGACACAGAAGTAAAGGCACTGATACAAAGACCCCCTGTTACACCGTTGGATATAGATGCTCTCGGCGCCGGTGCAAAATCTCGGTCTAAGGAGAATACTGATATGCTGCGAGGTACCGAGTTCTTGCAGCTCAGACCAGAGCGCAGGACGGTAGAAATGGCTAGAACGTGGTGGCAAGGAGAAATCGCTGTGCTTGAGCGTCGCAAGACCCAAATATCAGAAGACCGCCAGGCTTTGATTGAAGGCTCCGAAGTTTGGTCTGAAGTTACAGGGCTTGTCGCACAATTCGAGGCGAGATTGCGGGAACTGATCAAAGCCAGTCAAGCGGGAGATGCTGACGGAGAGCCGCAACAAGCCGCGATACGAGATCAGTTGTCCCAGATGGACAATGTTGTTGAAGAGTTGGGGAAGCGATTGCAGCTGGCTGAATCAAAACATTGGAATCTCCTCATATGCGCGATCGGCGCAGAGCTGGAGGCGTTCCTCGAGGCCAAAGCACTCTTGAGGAGAACGCTCGGAATAATCCCAGATGAGTCGGTCACTACAGAGGATCATTCTGAACATAATGGAACACAAGACAATACGGAAGGGGAACCCCACGAGAATCCTGAAGAAAGTCACGATGAGAGCGATAACGAAGTTCCCGCTGACTTGTTGGTATCTCGGTTTGAGGACCACGATCGTGATCCTCCGGACAGCCCTCAACAACAGAGCGTATTGTTGAGACGGGTCAGCTCTGAGGACGAGGTTCCAGCTGAGTTTCTGGCAGAGCACAAAGAACAAACCAAGATCGACTAGGAGGAAGAGTTTGGGACGTTGATTAGGCTTATGAGTAATGACACGAAGGGATGGGTAGGTTTAAATAACTCGGTTCAGGTTGTTGGTTATTCCTAATGCAATTCACGACAGCAGGATAGAAGCTCATGGCCTTAATTGAATATCAGTATCATTGATCCAATTCACATGCATAGTTAGTCATATATCCGAACGCCTATCTGAAAACCGAGCGCGTCGAACGCGTATCAGGTAACTTTGGCCATTTCCTCCGCGCGATCGTTAAGTCGTTTTTTAAGTCATTTGCAGCTGTAAAACTGAGTGGGAAGTCCATGGTATCGATAGCTTAAAAGGGTGTCGTCCTAGTCGCTCATCGGGTTCGCTCAAAGTAGCCGCTGGAGCCTGCGATCGCGACGGATTGATCCATGACCCATTCTCCGACACCGAGGTATCTATCGATCCAGCCGGTGAATTCCTTGTTCTCGCCGGCGACCTTGTCGGTCTTGAAACTATCGCTTGCTGTTAGATGTGTCGGAGAGTAATTCGGAGGGTTTAAGGCTCACGTCAGGCCAGTAGATCGCTTCATGCCGGCAAGGAAAGCCGAGACTATTGCGGTGTTAGTTTTGCGCTGTCGCGGCGACAAAGAAGGGAAGTATCTTGAACTTACAGAGAACGGCGTCAAAGGCATAGTGTGTCAACCGTCCGACCTTTGACCAGAGCCCCAGAGTCAGCAGGTTGAGGAGCTGTGAGAGGAGTCTTTAGACTTGCCAGGCCTCACGGGCAGAGCTCCAGGGGGGAACAGGGGGAGAGGAGAGAGAGGGTACATACCACCATGATGTAAGTGTTTGCAGCGGAAGAATTGTAGAGTGTCGTTTGGTGTTGGATGATAGTCGCGGTGTGAAGCGTCGTGAATGGAGTCGTTTTCTGGATCTAACCTTGGTCTAGCTTGGTCGTCATGCGACACAGACACAGCCGCGGCGGGAACCAGGCGATAGTGGAGACTCCGGCGTGCCGGCACCGAAAGCTCCGGGGTAGAGCCAAATCACGTGTTTCTCATGTCTGTGACAGATGGGGACCCAGGCATTTGGATACGTTGCAAGTGGATGTGGATGGTGGATGTTACAATGCAAAACATTGTGAGATGTTAGACGTCTCATGAGATGGTATTATTGGCATCTGTATCATGTTCTTCTTAAAATAACTAGACTCGAAATAGAATGGTAGATCTGACTTCGAAATATCCCAAAGCGGATATTCCTGAGGAACCCCTCAAGGTGTAAATAGCTCAACATGCTTCATCTCGAGATTTACATTCCCAGCGGAAGCTCCTGATATGGAAATGCGCCTGGATAGAACCGACGGGGCTCAATAATCATGTTGCATCACAGCACGTTGCCGCCGCTAGTCTCGTAGTCGCCGGTCAAAAGCAAAACCGCTTGTTCGCTGGCATATCGGCGTTATTTACAGGAGAACCCACTCACAACTGTTTTTTCCCTTCACCTCAACGTCTGGCGGTCCAGACGCAAGAGGGGTTCAAGGGTCCAGAGAGACATCGCCGAGTGCATCGCCGTGTTCTATCCCAAGAAGAGCAAAGACGAGGAGGGGGGAGTCATGAAGCAAAATCCCTCACTCATGAGGGATCCTCTTTTGCAGCAATTGACCCCCGCGCCGCCAATCTTTTCTGACAAACATAGTTTTTACCCAATGGGCTTGGTATCTATCGATATCTGGAAACAAATGTCGTTTAAAGTGCCGTTTACTCAATGCAATATGCTGTGTTTGACATATTACTCGCGCTTATTGGTGAGGGAGGGGCGGCTGGTTTTTTTTTTTTTTCTGTTGAAACGACATGTCGGTCAGCTATAGTCTAAGCTATGCGATCAATTAACGTTAGTCAGGAGATGGGGGTCTATCTCAAGAGCTGAATGATAGCGACCCAATGGTGATCTCCGCGGCCATGATAGAGGTGTTTGAGTGGTATATTCCGCCAGGAGAAGGACGGTTGGAACCGACGTCGATGGCTTGGACTTAGGCTGAACCAAAAGCCAAGAAAAAAGACGTTGAGCTCAAGGGTTGATAGGTTGAAACGATAGATAAGACTCGTTTATTCCCTCGCGTCATAGACATGACTCTGCTGAAGATGTAGGCTAAAAACACTTGTCATGACATTCATCGACAGTAATGTCTTGCCTGAACAGGAAGAGGATAATAGGAAGCGAAGTTGATGTGTATCATGCCAAGAGGTTTCTTAGCAGTATGCAATACTAAGACAAACCTCAACCCAATCGTAGCAGCATGCCTGGTAAGTAATTGACTGATTGGTCTTGCATTTCAGCCCAATCAAAGTTTGATGACTGTTGTTGAGACGTTACGAGCTCAGGTGAGGCCAATGCTTCCAAGGTGAGAGGGCGATACTTTATTCGTTAGAAAATTAGGCGCTTTCTGACTCCAACTCTGTTGGCACCATCGAAATACCCTGCCACTACTCAACGAATTGGTATTGAGTCAAGGGATGAGGTAGCCCAACTACGGTCAGCATTGAGTGGCGGGGGGTTGGCATTTGTTTGCGCGTTTCATGACACGGCCAATGTACTTGATATGATAACCCACTCTGAGATTTGGCTAATATGAACGTAAATCACTAAGTAATGGCAAGGCAAGGTACAGATAAACTACCGATTTGGGGTTGGGAAGAACAGTTCGAAGAGGGGAGAGCTACTGTCGGATGCTGCAGTAGCGGGCGGAGTGCTTTGCCCCGAATATGCCGCTGTAACTTAACGATGCTGATGGATGGCAAAAGCAAAGCCACCAAACACCCAAGCGCGATAGCGGGGTCGAGTTTGGTGGGGGAACAGAAAATAGCTACTTGACTTTAACGAGGGCGGGCAAGACATTGGCTCCAGACTGGAGACTTTGACAAGGTTATCATGAGAATATATAGAGTTATATTACTTGTTCTTCTTTGAAATAAAAGTGTAGAGCATCGTGAGCATATAAATCAACTCAAAAGCTAATACATACACTTCAAGGCCTGTAAGCTTGCATCTCACAGGAAGCGGGGTGCAAGGAACAGCTCCCCATAATTTCTGAACCAGATCGCCAGAAAAGAAAAGAAAAAAAAGAAAAGGCGAAAAAAAAAAGCTCTCCATATCTCAACCACAGCGAGAGAGCTCAGACACTTTGACCAAAGCAGGCTATGAATTGACCGTACTAAGTACATCTGAGGCAAGTACTCCGTAGCGCTACTCCATGCTTGGCTCTTACCCCTCCAGTCATGATGGCTGTGATTTCTCGGTGAGGTACAAATCTTTGTTGATTGGGGAGGCAAGAGTAAAGTACCCCCTGAAGGTGAGCTGTACCTTACTGAGCTGTACTGCGCTGTGCCAACTGGGCTCTCCCGTCTTTTATTATTATCATCATCACCACACCAAATTTCTTCCTCTCTCCCTCTTCTTCTCTTTTCTTCTTCCTTCTCATCTCTCAACCTTTTTCTTACCAACGACAAAAACAAGACTTTAGTACCATCCCGCCCCCTTACGCTTCGACCTTTGCGAGCTCCCTCCATCGAACGTCGTCAATAAATAATACCAGGAAGAGTGCGCACGTTCCTCTGCCTCTCTGACCACATCATCCTTCTGGGTTATTATCGTACGGTGCAACATTCGTACAACAAAATCCATATACTCCTGTAAGTCAACATGCTGCTGCTGCTGTTGCTGTTGCTGCACATGAATGGAGACGACTGCTGTGGCTTGGGCCTTTTGGGGTTTGGTCTACCGGCCCCCCAAAATGATGGCGATAACGATATGGAGGTGTGGCATATACCCGTCTTTGCAGATGCGCTTCTGGCTTTTGGGTTGCAGTAGCAGTTCAGAAACACTGGATTCCTTGCGACCCATCAACAGTGCGAAACAAGGTGTCGGGTTTGGACTCGGTTCTTCTGGCCCGATTAGCGATTATCTGACGATTCTGTACTCGGCCCATCTATTGAGCTCATGGGTCGTCTTTTGTCCTTCTCGCCAACCAAGCCAGCCAGACTCTGTCGCACCGACTGCTCTGTCCACCGAGAAATGCCACGCCCCATTGCTATCGCCTTTCCCACCACGTCACTTAACGTCAGATCAGATCCACGTTAGCCCCATGTACTTGCCTACAGCTCACGGATGCATCCCTGTTGGCCTGCATAGCAAGTGCCCGCAGAACGACCTGATCTTTCTGCTCTGCTACTTGTTGGCTGCTGATATCAGTTGATTGAGAGAGACATATATTTCCCGTCTTCCCCAACTGTTCCGGGCTGAATTCCTCACGTCTTCATTCTCTTGCAGCAGAGCTACCCCGCCAAGCTCATCCCGCCCACTACGCAACATCTGCTAACCACTTATTTCACAATGGCTCAGAAACCCTCACACAAGCATTCCAAAAGCGTCATGGCTGCTACCGCTCAGGACCACCTCGAGTTCGGAGGCAAGATCTCATGGCTTGCTTCCCTCGACACCGCTTTCCGACCTCAGCGCAACTACCGCCGCTCCTCCATCATCTGCACCATTGGCCCCAAGACCAACTCTGTTGAGGCCATCAACAAGCTCCGAGATTCCGGTCTTAACGTTGTCCGCATGAACTTCTCCCACGGATCATACGAGTACCACAAGTCTGTCATTGACAACGCTCGTGAGTCCGAGGCTACCCACGCTGGTCGCAATGTTGCCATTGCTCTTGACACCAAGGGCCCCGAGATCCGAACGGGCAACACTCCCAACGATGAGGATATTCCCATCACTGCTGGCCACGAGATGAACATCACCACCGACGATTCTTATGCCACTGCCTGTGATGACAAGAACATGTGAGTACAATAAAACTGGTGTAAATCCTAACGCTAACTCGTGAAGGTACGTCGACTACAAGAACATCACCAACGTCATCGAGCCCGGCCGTGTCATCTACGTCGACGACGGTGTTCTCGCTTTCGACGTCCTCGAGATCAAGGACGAGAAGACTATCCGAGTCAAGGCCCGCAACAACGGTGCCATCTGCTCCAAGAAGGGTGTCAACCTGCCCAACACTGATGTCGATCTGCCCGCTCTTTCCGAGAAGGACAAGGCTGATCTCAAGTTCGGTGTTGAGAACAACGTCGACATGGTTTTCGCCTCTTTCATCCGCCGCGCTCAGGACATCTATGACATCCGTGAGGTTCTCGGCGAGAAGGGCAAGCACATTCAGATCATCTCCAAGATTGAGAACCGACAGGGTCTCAACAACTTCAAGGAGATCCTCGAGGCCACTGATGGTGTCATGGTTGCCCGTGGTGATCTCGGTATCGAGATTCCCGCTGCTGAGGTGTTTGCTGCCCAGAAGAAGCTCATTGCCATGTGCAACCTCGCTGGCAAGCCCGTCATCTGCGCTACTCAGATGCTCGAGTCCATGATCAAGAACCCCCGCCCCACCCGTGCTGAGATCAGCGACGTCGGTAACGCCATCACTGATGGTGCCGACTGTGTTATGCTTTCTGGTGAGACAGCCAAGGGTAGCTACCCCTCTGAGGCTGTCAAGGAGATGCACGAGACTTGTCTCAAGGCCGAGAACACCATCCCCTACGTCTCCCACTTCGAGGAGATGTGCACTCTCGTCAAGCGACCCGTCTCCACTGTCGAGTCTTGCGCTATGGCTGCTGTCCGTGCCTCCCTCGATCTCGGTGCCGGTGGTATCATTGTCCTCTCCACCTCCGGAGAGTCGGCCCGCATGCTTTCCAAGTACCGACCCGTGTGCCCCATCTTCATGGTCACCCGAAGCCCCACAACATCTCGATTCGCCCATCTGTACCGTGGCGTGTACCCCTTCCTGTTCCCCGAGACCAAGCCCGACTTCACCCAGGTTAACTGGCAGGAGGATGTCGATCGCCGAATCAAGTGGGCCGTCAACAACGCTCTCCAGCTCAACGTTCTCACCCCCGGTGACACCGTTGTCGTTGTCCAGGGCTGGAAGGGCGGCATGGGTAACACCAACACCCTCCGAATCGTCAAGGCTGACCCCGAGCACCTTGGCATTGGTCAGCTTCAGTAAAGCATAAAAGTCTCTTAAAGATGAACCTGGAGTGATGGGGAATTGTTTAATGCGAAATTAGTAATGATAGACAGGGCAATGGTTGTTTCCAAGGTTAGGGTACTGGTTTACGAGTTCAGAATCACGTAAAGGAATAAACAGGGCAAGTCCCTTTGCATCATATCATTTTCGTCTGTGAATTGTGTCCTCCAAGCGAGTAAGTCACTCATCATAAAGTAAACATTTAGTAGACTTGATATTGCGGAACACTACGGATACCAGGCCGATATCCCGCCGTATAATGTCCAGTACATCTCTCGCCTCAACACATGTGTCCCTAAAGACCCGCCTATCCGAAGTCTTCTAGCCCACACATGCAGCCAAGGATTAAAGGGCTGAGCCATGGAAAGGCCCCGAGCTAGGGTCCGGATCTCTCGATTCAAGGGTACATTGCTTACCCCTGACGATACGATATATGATGAGACGGGTCTACGGTTTTGTGGTCCGTGTACAAAGGTGTGGTCTGACTTCATAAAAGGTCGGTGATAACCGATTCTGGCATGATAGTGATGATTGAGGTGAATAGTCGGTCCTTCAAGATGAGCTTTTGATACCGTGCTGGGTTGGTGAGGTGGTGAGATGGGTGCCCAGGGATTGACGAGAGCTTTAGGACCCTTTCTGATGGACGTAAATGATTGGATAAGTTCGCGATAGCTTAATGTATACTTAGGGCGCTTGATGGCTCGTTATTCATTACACCTGGTTGAGGGTGTTGCTGTAGGTCTAGTGGATCAAGGTGCTGGTGTTTACACGCAGGGGATGTCATGATGAGATGGCACTGTCGGTGCTTTTGACGGAGTTCTTATGACAAGGTCAGGTCATCGAGGGTGCACAAGTTGTCCATGTTCAGTCGCTATAGTGGATATTGCGTGAATGCCGTGTAGTTGTACAGCATCGTGAGATAGGCATTGAAAGGTTTCCTTGACAAGACGCCTCTTTATGCGTGATGACAACTTTCTGTCATCTTGTCCTGTCTCATGGCCCTGGAGGTTCGGCTCGAGCCACATCGGTTGTATCCAACGGCCATGCATTCGCGCGTGTGATCAACGCCTCATCTGCAGCTCCGTTGTAAAGCCATTGGAGCAGTCTCACTCAGACGGTAATGCAGTGGACGAGTAATAAGTAAGTGACTTCGTAAATGAATATGCTAACGAATGCTGGGTTCCCTCTATGTATGCCTGAGAATCGCCGGTCTGTCCACTTTTCCGTCTATAAATCCTTGATCTCAAACTTCTTTCTCAAATGCTCTCCATACTTGATGAACAGCCACGGCGCAGGGATTAGCGCAGCAGCGATGAAGCCCAAAAGGCTGTTTCCCCATCCCATACCGAGTTTATCGTACATTGGCAGTCCCGCGAGAGGTAGAAATGCTCCGGCGATTGATCGCATGACAGCGTTGGCGGCGAGGGCGGAGGCTGCGTAGACGGTGAAACTGTCGATGAGGTACATCTGTAGTGACTGTAATATGTCAGTCTAAGTCACGATACCAAGCGATGGACCTACCATGAAGATGACCAGGTTTCCGACACCAATGACACATGTTCCAAGGATAGGCGCAATCCAATGAGTCTGATACTCAGCAGTCCATCCGTAAATGAAGAAACCAGCCGGGAGCAAAACAGCACCAATTCTCAGCGGCGGAAGTCGATTCTCAGGCCTCATTGACTCAGCAGGATCGTCAATGCCTTGCTCCTTAGCAGCCGCAGCCTTCTTCTTCATGTACTTGTCACTCGAGACGGAAAAGTACGCTACGCCAATCATACTACCCACACCAAGACCAAGGAACGTCAGGCCTGCGTGAACTGTGTTGAAGTGATAGATTCGCATAAATAGAGGTGTGAGACTCGTGAAGAGAAGGTAGAGGTATGCATAGGCGAGACCGACGTATACACCGCAGATGATGCAGATCGGTGAGAAGAGGAGCATCTTGAATGGCCGTAGGATACCGCGCTTGAAGTAATCCGATGGACTGAGGCCGGCGTCGAGTTTAGATCGAAGGCGGTCATTGCCTGTTTCCTTCTGGAGTCTCTTGGTCTTTCGGGCGAGAATAACGGGTGCGTAGGTCTCTTCAGAAGCGAAGAAGAAGACGGAGGACAGTACACCAGACATGATAGCGATGATCCAGAATACCCATCGCCAGCCTAGGGCGTCAGTTACGACACCACCAACAACTGGGCCAATGATGGGTCCAAGAAGAGGACCAATACTGAAGCTCGCCATTGCTGCACCTCGTTTCTCCTGAACAATCATGTCTGCGATTGTACCGCCGCCGTTGGTGATGGGTGTCGAGCCAAATGTGCCGCTAAGGAAACGGAACGCGATGAAACTGCTCAACGAGGGAGCTTTGGCGCAGGCAATGACAAATACTGAGAGTATTAGAAGGGCTTGAGGTAGTAAGGTTACACTTCATACCGATGAAACCAACATTGCAGCAGTGGTAGACTACTTGGCGTCCATATAGCTCTGATAGAGGAGCGAAGATCATGGGGCCTGCAGCAAAACCGAGAACGTAGACTGACACACAGAAGGATGCTAGTTCACGACTTTGACTACCGAATTCGACCATAAGTTGAGGTACGCCGGGTGCGAACATGGCTATGTCATGTTAGCATGGCTTCATCGTTCAGTGTTCATCGAAGGCCGTGGTATCGAGATACGCATCACGATGAGGGCAACTTACACGATGCGAGTGGCGTAACGAACGTCAAGGCCGATACCAGCACACAATTGAGAACCTTCTTCCAAGTCGCAAAATTGTACGGATTCTGGCGATCCTTATCACCATCCCACCAAACAATATCGCTCTCACTCTGCGTTTGCGAACCACCCTCTTCCTCATCTCTCACGGAGCTATTTTCCTTGGCGTGCTTCTCTGGGTCCAGGGAAGCTCTTTCTCTTGCATGGCTTGCACGTCTATGGCTGGTGAGACTGGCTCGTCTTTGCTCGTCTGCTGGAGTGGGTATAAAGCCAATGTTGCTAGGAATATCTGCATCGTGGCCCTCGGCAATAGCCTCTCGGGTCTTTTCTTCGCGTGTTGGTTCGCGGGTCAAGGCATGAGATCTTGACTCTTCGCGAGTCAAGTCATCTTCCCTGCTCATCTTGAATGTCTCAACTATCTGTTGAAATGTGAGTGAAGTCGGAGATAGTCTGTATTGGGTAATTCCCAGGTTATGGAGACTTTGCGTTTCGTCTCCCCGGATTTTCGCAAATTCTATTATGTGGTTCCCCTCCACTTGAGGTCGGCCAGGTTCAATTTTCGTAAAAGTTGTCGTTGGAAGACGAGGTTATTGATGGGACGACTTGGAGGGTCGGTAACCTGACAAGATGGGCGAGCGAATGGACAAACGAGGTTGGAGGGCCTCAGAGATGCCAGTGTCGAGGTAGATAGATGTTTGAGAACAAAGTTAAGTTTGTTTGTTTCGCAAACTGGGAGAAACTGTTCTCGCTTGTGGATGGAGAAACACAAACGGGTTCAAGGTACCATCATTGGAGAGCACATAGCATGAAGCGAGTCTCAGAAGGAGAAAAAAGGGAAGAGAACAGAGAAAAAACAGAGCTGTCCCTACATCCTTGAACATAGCCTGAAGCAATGTAACAGGGCCCTCCGCCAATTCGGATTTCCGTCTAGATCTGTTGGAGATCTCCTCTTCCAATGCAACGAACCTCGGCCGGAGCACATCTTCCCCCCTCCCTCTTCTTCGGGTCCTCGCTCGCGTTCGGGTTCAGCCATAAACTCCGTCTACCTACATGACACTAGAGCACGTTGTCTTCGCAAAGGGTCACTTTCTCGCATGGGTCTGCCAATTTCATTGGGCAGGGGTCTTGCTTGAAACGGCCTGATCACCCGCTTTCCTAGACATGGCGTGCTGAGATAGTCTCGGCCGAGTCATGGAGTTGACGTCCGGTCTATTTCCTCGCAATATCCGTCGGCTTTGGGGGATTTCTCTTGTGCGGAGGTGCCCCCATGGCTTTGGCCAAGACATTTCCCCGCGCTCTTTTATCTTTTAGTAATAATTAATGGTAGTCTCGTATACGGATATTCGGCCATGAATTGAGGTTCTTCACATAACATCGGAAGAATTCCCAGTCTGACCACCCATAGATTTCACGTGGTGTGACAGCGGCACCCAAACCGGTACCTATTCTGACAGTATCGGTTTAATTCGACTCAAGAATCAACCTGCAGAGGATTTCTCGTTTAGGTCGTAGCCCCGACCCCTCAGCCTTAACGTCCGCGCGACTGCATGATCGGACAACCAATGCCATCGCCAAAGGTTGAAGTTCCACTCCCTGTAGCTTGGTAACACGCGCTTTCCCGTGTTTATGTACTGACGTTGGGCATCGTGCACCCACGAGCCGCAAACGTCAGCTATGAGATTATCCACAGAATCTCTTCCATGGGGAGCACACAGTGGAGAATGGCACTGATGGTATCTCGGCCACGACGAAGCATTGCGACAGAACGAATGAGATAATGGTGCATAACTGGCTTGTAACAGCTACATGCGGGTAAATTAGAAAGCATGGTTTCACTGGTTGTAGAACATTGTAAGTTTGTGTTGCAATCGGGTTTTGTTGCTTGGGGGCGGATCTCAAAATGGCAACGCTGTGACATCTCGGGCATTACTGTAAGGCGACAGTATGACAAGCCTGCGGCTGCCTTGACGTTTTCTAGTGATCTATCAGTATCGTAAACCTGTCGACATTGTCTGTCAAAGCCCAAATCCCCCTTGAGCGTGTGTCTCCGTGTGAAAGGCATGCTCCATCGAACGGCCAGATGACGGAGCCCGACAATCTCATAGGGCAGTTGATGAAGCAAACCGGCCCTTCTCAGGCTCCTTGCATCGGAAGCCAACATATGTGTCCGTTTGGCAAGTCAGCCATGTCTGTCTCCTGTCTTTGAGGCGCCTTGGATAATGGTAATGCATGAGGGTCAACTGCCATTGCTCCCTTCATTAGTCGTGTGCAAGAAGACTTCCTATGCATCTCTTTAGTGTCTTCTCGTAGCTTGGGAATAGCCTTGCGCTTCTTCATCTGCGGGTCCCTTTGATACGTAATGAAGTAAACGGTTAAAAAGACTTCATCTGATAACACCAAGTTTCATAAGGTTGTCTCGAAGAGAACAAAGACCCTCAAGAGTGTCTGAGGCTCGTTCTTTCAATGACTCGCATTGAAGACTAATGATTTTTGCTGCTTTCGACTCATTGCCGACAGCTAATGATACCGCACCTTCCAGTTGCTCTGCCCTTGAGCTCAGGGAATGTTGGAGCTCGATCACCATTGCGATCATCATTGAAGCTGCAGAGATTTTCGGGGCAACGAAAGAGCCGATCTTGATCTCGGGCATGTCGAACTTGGGTTCGTGCTCTCTGGGTAACAGCGGTACAGCATGAGCGCACATACGCCCATGGTTAGTGATCATGTCAAAGATATCCAGTAGTCTTAGATGACAGGCCATGATGAGGTGAATAAGAGACTGGTCGATTGGAATTCGGGATTTTGAAAGTGAAAATTCCTTTTGTGCGTTATGTATGCAGTCAGGGGCATCACAGCTGATGTCCTCGGGTTCAAGTCGTTTGAGAACTTCAGGATATAAGTGAAGTAGCTTTTGAGAACGTTGTAGCAGATCTTCAAGGAATGATCCAAGATCAAACTTGCATATCTTCATGAACTCGGTGAGTTCCCTTATGGATAAATGATCTCGTTGCGAGGTTGGAAAGTCGGTCCGCAGGCGGTCCAGCCCAGCCATGAGATCTGTCAACTGAAATATCTCAGTGACTTGAGCCGGTGGAGGTGGGTCTGTATCTTCGCTGACAGGCGGCGTTGTGATGAATTGATCCAGGTTAATGCTAGGAACTGGGTCGATTGAAGGCTCGTCCAAGCCAAGCATAGACCAGTTGAAGGCAACATTGTCAGGATGGCGCAGAGATCGAGTTGGAGGGCTGAAGAGGCAGGTGACTCCAGCTTTGACACAGCGAGTACAGACTGAAGAGGCAGGGATCTTTGTACATTTTAACTTCTTACTGTGACATCTATCACACGCTTGTCGGAGATCTGACATGGTAATGAGTTGTTCGGGACAAAGAGAGTCGCTTGCGTGTAATTGGGAAGCCCTCGCGATAGTGGGGAAGGAGTTGTTGGTCGAGGATGTGGAAGGAAAATACCCTAGACCTTCAAAGTTGACATTTTGGCTCAAACTGAGGCAGTGGATGAGCTGCAAAAGAATTAGGTTTGACAATACTATAATTACTCTTATGTAACTCAACGGTTCAGGGGCAATTAGCTCAAGATCTACCTATCGGACAACGTCAAGATGTAAAGCACAAAGCTTAGTTGAGGTGCCTGATGATCAATACGCATTAATTTAATAGCGATCCAATGCTGTTCAAGCTCCACTTTGTTCCTTGGAGCTCATAGAAGCTGTTAAAAGTACAAAACAGTTAAACAGACTGGACTTTCTAATCAAGTATACTTGCAGAGGGTGTAGTAATCGCAGCTAAGGACTCATAAAGTCTCATTGTAATTTCATGGACTTTAGAGTAGCACTGTTGCGTGTTGTTGTTCACGTTACCTCGATATCTCCGATCCCTTGTCAGCATCGATCAACACCACTCACTGCCACTGTAGAGCTTCCCCGCGAGACTTTCCACTTCCATTCTACTTCCATTTCCACTTGAACCAACAGCTCCAACACAAAATCCTCAATCTCCCCATCGCATCATCTTTACCATGATTGCGATCCTGGATTTTGTATCTGACGCTCCCGCTCCAAGGACATGTCGCTAATTCCCTACCAGCCCCATGAGGGCAGAGAGATTGTTCTGTACGTCATCACGCTTCCTTTTCTTTGTTGTGCAAGGTATCCGTAGGTACCCATAGCAAGCTAACCAACCCTTGTACTTGCAGCCGTCACCACAACGCTATCGTTGTTCGCGATTCTCAATCACATCGACTCGAGATCAGAGGCATCTCGACTTGTCCTACATGCCATCAGCCGCTTACTCGTTCCGAAAATACTTCCGACCGAAGCTATGATTCCTTTGGTGCTCGGCAAGAGACCTATGTCGATCCCGATTACTTTCGTATGCTCCGCGCTGCCAATGCGAATAACAATAATTCTGCCGATCACCCACCGAGTCCAGTGAGAAGACTTTTTGGTCCTGTCTTTGGCGGTAGTAGCCCGGCAACAAATCAGACATCGCCATCTCCAGGCCCAGATGAGGCCGAGTTTGTGTCAAGTACACCCGGTGTCGCGCAAGCGGAAGGCAGCAGAATACGGCGAGATGCATTCAGTCCCAACTACTTCAACACATTTTTCGTCGAAGAAAGAGTCTTAGGGAAGGGAGGCAAAGGTGTCGTGCTGCTTGTACGACACGAAATTGACGGATGCGCCCTTGGTCAATTCGCTTGCAAACGAGTCCCGGTCGGAGATGATCACGCCTGGTTAGAGAAGGTTCTCATCGAAGTCGAGCTTCTTGCCAAGCTTTCCCATCCAAACCTCGTATCGTATCGGCATGTCTGGCTTGAGGATGTTAGACTCACCCGATTTGGCCCCAGTGTTGCTTGCGCATTCATCCTCCAGCAATACTGTAATGGTGGTGACCTCCAACAGTACATCATCGGCGGAGCACCACGTGAGGCGACCAAAGAGGAACTCAAGGCTCAGATGCGTCGACGATCAAAGGGTCAACTCGATACTCCTGTCGATTTATTAAACGGCAACCGCAAGCTCCCTTTCGATGAAATTTACACACTGTTCAAGGATATTACATCCGGAGTGGCATATCTCCACGCGGCCAACTACATTCATCGCGATCTCAAACCAAGTAATTGCTTGCTCCATCGCGAGGGTAGCAGAACGACATGCCTCATCAGTGATTTCGGTGAGGTCCAGCCCGAAAATGTCGTCCGTAAGTCTTCAGGCACTACCGGAACCATCTCATACTGCGCTCCCGAGGTCCTCAAAATGGATGTCTCCTCAGGTCGATATGCAAACTTCACCACAAAGTCGGATGTCTTCTCGCTTGGTATGATTCTCTACTTTATGTGCTTCGGGCGACTTCCTTACCAGAGCGCGAATGCTCTGCAAGAAGAACTTGAAGATGTGGATGAACTTCGAGCGGAGATCACCCACTGGCAAGGGTTCCAGGATGAGCGACGTGAGCGCCCAGATCTTCCCTCGAAGCTATACCAACTCTTGAAGAGACTGTTGGCTCTCAACCCTGGTGAAAGACCTAGTGCCAATGAGGTTCTCAAGGCCATGAGAGGCGAGTCAATGACGTTCGAGAATGGTGCAAGTCAGGAGCCTGCACCAAATCTCGGGATCGGAACTCGCATACAGAATCTGGACTCGCCCGCTCCCCCAAGTACCCCAGTTCCAGGTAAGTTCCTTTTTCTTGTGTTGTAACAAACCTACTCTTACAGTTCTACAGGCCCTCGACATCGTCATCAAACGTCAACATCGGACAAGTTTGAAGAGCTTGGTGCCCTGGCTAGGACTACTTCGAGAGATCTGTCGCCTACCAAGAGTGCACAAAGTTCTCGGCTGGATCCGCACCGCCAGTCTCTATCGAGACATCGTGGCTCGCAGTCCATGGTTATGTCCCATAGCCAGGAAGGTCATCCTGGATCTTTTGTGACACCAGCCGTGAGCGTCAGCGACGCATCTGAGCACTCAGAGATGCACGAGAGGCGGAACTCTCAAAGCCCTCCACTTTTGATGCCGCCACCTACGACCACAGCTGACGCTCTTAGACGGAGAGCAACTGTGTTTCTCATCCGATCTATGCATCTGGCAGGCGATAACTCTCCGCTACTAAGCTATACCCTTCGCCTCGGCTTGTTTGGCATCAAAATGACCACTCTCACACGTCCCTGCTGGCCACTCATGGTCCAACCCAACGTAGGCATTCCGCTCGTCTGCGTTGCAGCACTGGATCTTGGCCTACCGCAAGTGACGAGCTACTCCCCAACTCTTAGGCAAGGCTACGGAGACTACTTTACAAGCGGTCCACGAGCGTGGGGCTTAGGCATGAGTCTTCTCCTTTTGTTCCTTCATTTTACAGTGCTGTGGGTTGCGTCAGGCTGGGCGACGCTGTGTGCCACGAATGGGCATGACGTTTGGGCCGATGGGCCGTGGTGACGTGATTTGAAAAGTTGCAGTGATGCGAAATGCTTTTAAATATGTGAATTGATGAAGATATTTGGCCTGTTGATTCATGAGGAGGGGAACGAAGCATACCTGAGATCATAGATTGACCGTTTGGCGAAACAGATTGGATCATACAAGTAAAGTGACAATCATACAAAAGAAACGATAGCGGAAATGATTGAGAATGACGACGGTATCAAAAGGGTTCAAAGAAAAGTGTTTATTAAAACAAAATAGAAAGAAGTTTGACCTCGCCATGATACCATATGCTCTCCCAAGATTATCAAAACTGAATGATACAAACCCAACTGCCATGCCCTTTACTGATCTAGATCTTCCTTAAAGATTTCTGCGTCAAGACCCTCCGTCTATCCATCTCACTATTCGCAAACTCACTGCTCTTACTATCCGGCGCAATGCGCTCACCATGGGTCAAACTGCCAAAGCCAAAGTCAGGCTCACCACCAAGACTACCGAAAATATCTCCAATGTAGTTCTCTGCTCTGATGCCATCTTTGAATGTGGTATCCCAATCTTCAATAATGCCTTTGGCGATTTCAATGCCTGCGTTGAAGATATTTGCGATGGCGATTGAGAAGCCGTTTTGTTTGGCGGCGGTGAGATGATCTAGGTCGGTGTAGTCAGGAGGAGGACGATCAAAGTTGGAACCTGCAAGGGTTAGCGAGATGATTGATAGGAGTTGTTGGACGGCTGACCTGTTCTGTAGATCATGACTCTTGAGAAGTCGCAGATCTTTGCAATCGCTGCTCTGACGAGGACTTCCAAGATTGCATTATCCTCCTGAGCGCTCATGCAGTAGATGCCAGTCCCGTTCGTCCACACTTTTGTGGTATTCTCAAAGGACTCAGAGAGTCTACTACCAGAGTAGTATACGTCACTCGTAGCAGTGTCGCACTTGATGACAGATGGAGGTTGAGAGGCACTCTTATATGTCTCGCCCATTCGGCGGTAGAGTGCACGGTACTCCTCTGGGCCATTCGCATCTTCCAGCTGAGCCTTTGAAGCGAGTTTGTATGCAGCATCTTGGAGTTGAGCGTTGAGTTCAAAGACTTCAGTGCCATAGGTGATAAAGGGCTGTTGGTAAGGCTGGTCACGGCCATATGAGATGTACCCAGTCGGCCAGTCTGGAGGAAGAGATCGTATATCAATCTCATATTGTAAAGCAACCTGGACTGAATAACGAGCGATGGCAACTGAACCCAGAGTACCGTACTTGGGATTAACGCCAGCTATACCGGCGACGAGGAAGTAGGTATGGCGAAAGTCGAACTTGGGTGAGAGCATGAGAGCCATTAGTGAAGCAGCGGAGTTAATCTCTCCCTCGCCGATGGTGATATGGCAGATACTTCCATCTTCAGTGCAGGTGGCGCAGGGGAAGAGCATGGAGAGGCCAGGGGCGTGAATAATTTTGGAGGAGAGGTTGCCTAGATCTGAGTCGGGGAGGCGTTCGTGCCAGACTGCAGCTTCGGGGGGCCACTATTGTGCAGTGTTAGAGAGGTGATGTGAGATAGGAGAGGGGGCTTACCATTGAGATGATCATGACCTTGGGAGCAAACACTTCATCGTCTCGGGTATTCATGGGACGAGGTAAAGCTGTTACTATAGGCAAGAGGAGAAACCGAAGAAAGAATGAGAGTAAAGCTCCTGGTAGCTCCATGTTTGATAGTCTTGAGTTGTTTGAAGAAGCCACTCAAGATCGAGTGGGAAGTCGAGGAGCTTTATCTCTGAATCACATCCACACAATCTCAATATCATACCAAGACCAAGTTCAAGACCTTCAACACCGAACCCGTTTCACAGACCCAATTCTGTCAAAGGTCGTAATGTGGATTCAATGTCTTTGTGACCCCGAATAAAGATTCAGAGCCAGAAGGAGAATCCCAACAGGTATCCAGCAACGGATGTCGCCCCCTCAAAGGCAAACTACAGCAGCGAGTCATGTCGAGGCATTTTGGGATGAATCGGGAACAAATGGAGGACAACGACGGGATCCTTGATACGGGAAGTTGCTTTGTTTGGAGCATCATGTCCGTTCGATAGGGGAGTCTCTCATCTGAAGTTCTTATCTCGAAGGCGTTTACGGGGTATGTGTAGGGGTAATAGGAGATGCGTCTAGAAGCGCAACGAAGCAGAACAGGACAGGATACGACACCATGTGCTCAATGTTCGGAGGTCGAAGCGAAAGACAGCGCCATGTCTTTGATTCAAGCTTAACACCTGACGACTTGGCATGTCTCTACCGCTGACATGACCCTATATTCTCTATTGTATCACTTTGTGCAAACAGTCTCGATGGGGAAGTTTGTTAAACAGGGTCGTGCAAATATCCCGGAGTCGATGTGAGTTCTTGTGGAACTAATACGTCTGGAAATGTTCATCTGGGAATGCATGTCTCGGCCGGCAGGGTGCTGAAGCGATCGGGGAAGAGAGGGAGGTATTAATTGGATAGACGAGACGAGATTGGTTTGAAGTGAAGGATGCGGTATTCTATATTCTGGCTTTACAGGTGGAAAGTGATAGGATGTCTTAACCACTAAACTAGATCGTCCTGCGTAAAATACAAATGTTACGGAAGAGAGTATTAGGAGTAGTCACGAGCATAAATTGACTTGTGCGCTTGTGTTGATGGTTCTGGATAGACGGATGGATTGTGAGATGTGAGGCTGTAGGGACAAGACGACACGGTGAGATGGAGTTTAGTCTTGGTGTAGTGAGTCTGTGCTCAATGCACGTGGGGTTGTGTCTGTACTTCTTGCTTTTTTTGATGAAGATGGAGTTACTTGACGTTGTGCAGTTTGACTTTTTGGTTGTAACAACGGGCTTGACTGTTATCAGCGGCTTCGATCGTCACCGTTTCATTGTGGCTAGCCATTCACCATTGACGAATGCCGTCTTATGTAACTGAAAGTCTAATTCAACTCGACTACAATAATTACTTCCAACTGTGCACAAAGAGAATCATGTAGTTCTGGGAACTTAGCCATCCAATAGTATGCCTCTCTCCAACCTCCTATCGTAGCTCATCATCTCGGTTTATTTCTGGACCCCAATGTCTGGGCATCTTTTTGAGAATGGGGCCTCGGGTTATCAGATGCGCCCGGATCCGCGTATCTGATCTGTTTTGATAACTGTAACTGTCATCGACTTGGGTCAATTATTCCAGTTTTTCTAGAATTGTTATGATACTCGCATCATCTGACTCGTTGGTAGATCACTTGGAGAAAGCTTGGCAGAGGCCAAACTTCGCTTTTTTGTGTTGGCCTCAAGATACGACAGTAAGTAAAATATCTTGGCGTGATTTGTTTTTCGCCAAGAAAAACTGGGTTGCCTCTTTTATTACTCAGCTAGAGACCGACAAGGAAGGTCAAGACCCAGGGGCCGCGTGTAAGGTTTGGGGCTTTCAGCACTGTGCATGATCTGCCTCATTCCTCGTTATTTCCTAGTGTTTCAATTCTTAATTCAACGACGTTTCTTAAAGTCTGTAGATTAGACAACTTCAGCACCAAAGGCTGCTGTGATGACGACGACATGCACCCGCTAACCAAAAGCTTCTGTCTCTCTTAGCACAAACGACGTTGCAGCCAAGACGACCGCCAAGACACGATAGCAGCAGCACCAAGCATTTTCAGGATTACCTAGCCCCCCCTAGAGTCTCGGCCCTTCCGAGATGATGGGCAGTGACAATATCAGTTCCCAGTTGGGTCCCAGAGTTCCCCAACTACGGGGGCCGGGGAGCCCTCGGTCCTCTGTAAGGCGGACCAGTTATAGTGGGTTAGCGACGTGTCGCTGCTGATTGTTACTGGATATGGCGTATTTTGGTCAAGGCGGACCGCCCGGGACCCCCAGACAGAACTGACAGAGTTGCGCCGCCACAGAATAGAGATTGACCTGCCAAGCACCACTCACAATCAACTCTGCCCGGGTGAAGGTCATTTCCCGGTGGAGACGAGTCGTCCAGGTATGACGAGTTTCTCTTTAAGGTTCTTTATTTTCCTGCTGGACCTGGCTGGCTCTAACGTTTTCGGGGTAGAGTTTTGTAAAAGCCTCCCCCACGCTAGAGCTTGAGCATGATTTCAGTGCTTCCTCCACAATCAACGGTCCCCTTCAAACCATCTTCGGTCCACCACTGAATCTCTCTTCCTCTTTCTTCTGTTTTGTTTTCATTCAACCTCTTTCTGTGGCTCAGTGCCGTGCCAGGTTTTCTGGATCAACGGCTGCTTCGCGCTTACAAACTTGTAACACAGACTTCCATTGATGGACGACATCACGAGTGTTCCTGATTCACGCTATGGCGGCTCTGGCGAAGGGTCCAACTCTAACCCCAACTTTGACGCTGGTAGTCACGACCAGTCGAAGATTGATAACACGATGAATCCTCAACCCGAACCTCACGACGTCGACCCGCCCTTCGATTTGCACGACGACGAACATGTCCAGGGCAACAACTTTGCTTTTACCCCGTCTCAGCTACATCGACTCCTGACCGCCAAGAATATCTCCGCTCTGCGCGCGTTTGGAGGCTTGTTGGGTTTAGCCGCTGGTCTTCGAACCGATATCTCGGCAGGACTAAGCGCCGACGAAACAACATTGGACGGTACCGTCACTTTGGATGAAGCTGTAGCCTCTGGTAGCCTTGAACGACCGCCAGTTCTCTCTGCAGCATCCCCTCCACCGTCGCCGCCGCTCCTCCATAACGGGTTGTTCGAACATCGCGATAACCACTTTGTCGATCGAAAACGAGTATTTGGGGATAACCGCCTTCCCCAAATAGCACAAAAATCTTTCTTCAGACTATTATGGATAGCATTCAATGATAAGCTCATCATTTTGTTAACCATTTCTGCATCCATCTCACTCGCTATTGGTATCTACCAGTCTGTCGACAAGTCGATAGGCGCATCGCGTGTCGAGTGGGTAGATGGTGTGACAATCGTCGTTGCGATCCTCGTCATCATCATCGCAAGCGCAGCGACCGATTGGCAGAAGAATTACAAGTTTAAGAAGGTCAATGAACGAAAGCAACAAAGGGACGTAACAGTGATGCGCTCGGGGAAACTCCAGCGCATCCCCGTTCAAGATGTCGTCGTTGGTGATCTTTTACACCTCGAGGCTGGAGATGTTGTTGCCGTGGACGGTGTTCTTGTGCAAGCTTCGAGTCTGCAGATGAACGAGTCTTCCATCTCTGGAGAGGCTGATCTTGTACACAAGACCGTACCGAGACCAAACCATTCAGCTACATCCCGAATTGACCCCTTCATTCTCAGTGGAACCACTGTCGCGCGCGGTGTTGGTTACTATCTCGTTACTGCTGTTGGTGTCAACTCGACTTATGGCCGTATCCTCATGTCGTTGAGAGACGACGTCAAGGAGACACCACTCCAGGCGAAGCTTGGCCGTCTTGGCAAGCAACTTATTGTTATCGGTGCCATTGCAGGTTCCATCTTTTTTCTTGTGCTCTTCATCCGCTTCATGGTCACTCTCCACACCGTTACTGGTGGGCCTTCTCAGAAGGCAGAAGACTTTTTACATATTCTGATTCTGGCCGTCACGGTCGTCGTCATCACTGTTCCAGAAGGCCTGGCGCTCAATGTGACCGTTGCACTGGCCTTTGCCACGAAGCGTATGCTCCGAGATAACAACTTGGTGCGATTGATTCGATCGTGTGAGATTATGGGAAACGCGACAACAGTTTGCTCCGACAAAACTGGTACCCTGACACAGAACAAGATGACTGTCGTGGCTGGACGTGTTGGCTTGGAGTCTTACTTTGACGACACCGACCTGGTTGTTCCGGATCCCGACTCGTCCATGTCGCGTGCCTCGACTATCAAGTACGACAGTTCAATAGACATGGCAAAGTCACTCTCTCCAGAATGTCGGAGGTTGATCAAGGACAGCATCGCTCTCAACTCCACGGCCTTTGAGAATGATGACTCGGGCACCACTACTTTTATGGGCTCAAGCACTGAGACTGCTCTGCTGCACTTCAGTCGTCAACATCTCGGTATGAACAACTTGGCCGAAGAGAGGGCCAACTGTCCCATTGTTGCGATCCTTCCGTTCGACTCTTCCCGAAAATGGATGGCAGTTTTGGTCAAGATTAATGAGGATCGCTACCGACTTCTCGTCAAGGGAGCAGCGGAAGTTGTGTTTGAATACTGTGCTTTTGTTGTTTTGGACCCAACATTCAGAGTACCAATTGCACGACTCTCGGAGAATGACCGTGCAAGCTATCGTAACACAATTGAAGACTACGCCAACAGGATGCTTCGACCTGTCGCCATTGCATACCGAGACTTTAGCGCGCAGGATGTCTTTGATGGCCCAGACGACGACCCCGATAACATTAACCTAGAATGGTTGGCCTCTGGCATGATCTTCATCGGTGCCTTTGGCATTCGTGACCCATTGCGGCCTGAAGTTGTGGAATCAGTCCGCCAATGCCAGGCTGCTGGAGTGTTCGTTCGCATGGTTACAGGTGACAACTTCTTGACCGCCAAGGCCATTGCAACAGAATGTGGTATCTACACAGCTGGTGGCATTGCCATGGATGGACCAACATTCAGAGACTTGACACCTGAGCAGCTTGATGCTGTTATTCCAAGACTGCAAGTCCTGGCTCGTTCAAGCCCTGAGGATAAGCTGCTTCTTGTAACACACCTGAAGCGCATGAATGAGACGGTAGCTGTTACCGGTGATGGTACGAATGACGGTCTGGCATTGAAGGCGGCGGACGTCGGGTTTGCTATGGGTATCCAGGGTACCGAAGTTGCCAAGGAGGCTGCATCCATCATTCTTCTCGACGACAACTTTGCTTCTATTGTCAAGGCTTTGGCTTGGGGTCGAACTGTGAATGACTCCGTCAAGAAGTTTTGCCAGGTAAGGTTATTGATCATTATGGCCAGGTTCTTTGCTAACCAAACGATAGTTCCAATTCACTATCAACATCACCGCAGGTATCATCACCGTCGTTTCCGAGCTTGTTGGCGACGCTGTTTTCACCGTCGTTCAATTGCTTTGGATCAACTTGATCATGGATATCTTTGCCTCTCTTGGTTATGCTACCGATCACCCCTCGCCCGACTTCCTCAAGCGAAAGCCCGAACCCCGCAATGCTTCTATTATTTCCATCACTATGTGGAAGATGATCATTTGCCAAGCCATCTACCAGTTGATAGTCGTGTTTGTTGTTCACTACGCTGGATGGGATCTCTTCAACCCCGACACTGAATTCGAGATTGAGAAGCTCCAGACATTGGTGCTCAACATCTACGTCTGGATGCAGTTCTTTAATCAACACAACTGTCGTCGCGTGGATAACAAGCTGGATATTTGGTATCAAGGATTTCTGCGTAACCCTTGGTTCATCGGTGTGCAGCTTATCACTATCGCTGGCCAGTTCGTCATCGTCTTCAAGGGAGGTGAAGCATTTGACACAACACCCCTTACAGGTGCCCAATGGGGATGGAGCTTGCTCTTCGGCGTCATGTCAATTCCACTGGGAGCTTTGATCCGACAGATTCCTGATAGCCTGGTCCAAAGCCTTTTCAACTTGATCTCAGACTGTTGGCTTGCAATTTGGCGACCGACTCATGCGCTCCTGTCAAAGGCCTTGAGCTGCTTCAAGCGGAAGAAGGCCGATGACAAGGAAGCCCAACAACCAGAGCAAGAAATGGGTCCTGTTGAGAACATCCTTCACATGATGCACTTGACCCATGAGCCCGATGAGGACGAGACGCCCATGACGCAAGAACAGCGTGAAGCAATGGAGCGATCAGACCAAACACGAATGCTGAAAGAGAAGGAAAAGAAGAAGCGAGATATCGACTTGCACGGCCTCGTGGAAGCCGCCAAGCTAGGAAGAGAGCACAAGGGTGCCATTTTGGAGATTCACCCCAAGACACTCAAAGACGACCCAATTCTAAGGACCAGTAGTGGTAAAAACAGTACGCTGCCACCAAGTCAAGACGCCGAATTTATGAAATTCGTCGCCATAAACACACGACGGCCTCGACAGCCCAGACGAACAAATCCTCGAGATCCGGCACGACCGGCTCAACGACGACAGCAAGAGCAGAAGAGTTCTTGGAGACATCATGTTTCCTGGGAGGGACTACTAAGATCCAAGAGACGATAATGAGCACGTTTGTGCGTTCATACAAATGATATTTTTAAGAGGAGGGTATATAGTAGACAGGTGTGAAGGAAAGACCTGTGTGCTTGTAAATGACAGATTACGACGTTACGACAGATAAAGGGATTCAAGATACCAATATACAGGTCGCTTTACTAGGCCATAATAACAACGCTTCCATCCCAAATTTTGCAATATCCAATCCAAAGCCTTAATAGTGCTCCAATCCTTCCTTTCATGCGTGTGTGTCCATCTCGTTAAATCATAAAACTTTTATCGTGTGCTCATCCTGTTTTGATGATGGCTTCCTCAATCGCACTTCCAATCTCGGACCTCGGTATTCCCGGTCCCCGCATCAAACAGAGAGATCTTGTAGCGAGCGACTTTATAAGAGCAGGTATACTCACCCGCACCGTAACAGGACCAGATTTTGGCTCTGTGGGAAATGAGAAACAATTGACGAAGCTCCAGCTCTCGGGTTGTTTCGGTACAGCGTGCCCAACATTCGGCATCGGCGAGTTGTTCAGATTGAGTTCCATAGTTTCAGCATCGACAACCCTGGCACCGAGTGCGAGGAGCTGCTTCTCAACTCCAACAATGCTGAAGAATCGTGTGAAATGGTCGATGCGCGTTCCAGCCGGTCGCGTAGGCCACGGCCATTCTATATCCTCCACCGTAGAAGGGTTGAGCTCCGCGCGAGAATAAACATACTGTCCATAACGTCCGTACGGTAGATCGATAACGCGATACATCTCATGTCGACCCGGACCAATAAGCCAGCGAAGCCGTGTGAGCATCTCGTCTTTTGCACGGCCTTTGAGGGTGTTGCAGAAGAGGCGCGATTCACAGGCTGACATGGCGTAGGGCGGCGGTGAGTTTACGAGGAGGTGGCATGCTATCGTTAGTATATCGCAGGCGAGGCGGAATGAGAATGCTGAGTGTTGTGTGGATGAGGGGACGGCGAGATCGCCGGGTGATGCAGGGGTTGTGCCGAGCCAGCCGTTGCCGAAGATCTGAGGCGAGAGTGAGAATGTTGGTAAGTTGAAGGATTTGGCCATTGCTGGTTGCTGAGAGTTGAAGTATGGCGGCGTTGATAGTGAAGCTGGTGTTGAAGTCGATAAAGATGGCGGAGTTGGCGTAGAAACTGAAGCCATGGCCGTTGACGTAGGCGGTGTCAGCGTCTGGACCTGGGTCTTTCTCACAGCAACAGCCATCGAACCCAAAGAATCCTCCGTCGTTTCACTCTGCTCACTCTCCGGCGATCCAGAACCTCCACGCTTCCTATCCTCCCCCTCCCTCGGCAACAGCACAAGATCCTCCTCCGGCCCAACAACCTCATGCGCCAGCTCCAGAATCCTCTCCATACTTCTCCTCAAACTACCAACAAGACTCGGCTGGGCTCTGACTACAGCTTCAGTGGTGAGCATCTCGTCAACGAAGGACATGAAGACGGAGCTCATCTCTTCGACTACCTGCTCGAGACGACGCACGCGCTGGGCCTGTGCTGCTTCGGCGGCTTGGCGACGGCGGCGGAAGATGTTTTGGGCTTCGCGGTTACGTTCGCGACGGGCCTGAGGGATGTAAGTGGAGGTTCAATGGGGAGAGGGAGAGGGGATGGACCTTGAGTGCTGCATCGTCATTATCTTGGGTGTTTGAAGATAATCGACCTCTGCGCTTGGGAGGTGATTGCGCAGTCATTGTATAAGTGGATGAGTATTGATATGAGGATGAGTGAGAGACAGAGAAGAGGCGAGTGAAACAACGTCAGCCCTGCGGCTTTACGAGAGACTGTCTAGTGGATCGAACCTAGCTTGCGACGCGAGTAGATTGACTGTAAATAAAGAATATGGTAAATGGGCTGACACGTGGATGAAGAGTATTTTGTGTTTCAAGGTGGCGATGAGATGAAATGGGGACGACGTTGGAATCTTCGGGACGTTTTGGGGTCGCACTTCTATCCCCGTGACCCCTTTGGGTTTAGTGGCTTATTAATCAAGCGGCGATCAATCAACATTCGAGGCTGACTTTAATGGGCCCACATTAACTTTAAATCGTGGGGGAGGCTGAATCTGATCTCAACTCAACTCAACTCCACTGCCTCAACATCAATATTAAGAAGAATTATATATATACAATATCCAAATGCCCCTGAACATCAATTAGATTCCTTACCACCGCCCCATGTTAAATCCCCAACCACTCGCGCAAAAGCACCTTTGGCTTGCAGCAAATCATGATACGTTCCCTCCTCAACCTTGGCACCATCCTCCAGGACAACAATCCGATCCGCCATTGCCATCATCTCCTTGCTATGCGTCACCACCACAATTGCCATATCTCGCCTTGACTTCTTCGCAATCTTTTGCATCGTGTGTCGAATCATTCCCGCGCTCTCTGCATCTAATGCACTAGTAGGCTCGTCCAGCACAAGAAGTCGAGGCTTGCGTACAAGTGCCCGCGCGATGCTGAGACGTTGCGCCTGGCCACCTGAAAGGGCTTGACCTCCGTCGCCGACTCGAGTGTTGTATCCATCAGGAAGAGTTGTGATGAACTCGTGGATACCGACCGCTTTCGCAGCAGCTAGAATGCTAGGAAACTGACGGAGGTGCGATACTTCACCCAAGCCGTACACGATGTTCTCTGCAATGGTAGCTGGGAAAAGGAACGGCGTTTGTGGCACATATGCCATCATTGATCGAAGATGCTCCATATCGACGTGCGCATGGGAATACTCATTGAAGCTGAGTGGTGGTCTTGTACTAAGGATCTCAAGTTTGGTGGGAGCATAAAGACCCAGCATCAGCGAGATCACCGTCGACTTGCCACATCCTGACCGACCAACAATCGCCAAAAAGTCTCCAGCATCCACCTCGAATGACACTCCTCGCAAGACTGGTCTCTCCGAGCTTAACTTATATGAGAACTCGAGATTGTCAAGTCGAACTGGGAGCGGTGTTTTGGGCTTGTAGTATCCGTGAGGCTCGCTTTTGGGTATCAGAGGCATATTGGCGTACCCCAACATCTGTGCGGCGGTTGACTGGGCCATTGTGACTTGTGGTATCGTACTAAGAATACTCGTCGCTGTGCCCATGCTGAACAGAAGTAGATTCACTACTGCCACCACTGCCGTTGCTGTAATCGCTCTCTCCGAAGCCAGAAGCACAGTTCCATAGTAGAACACAAGTGCTGTAAGGGGGTAATTGACTGACTGGTATAGACCATACAGTGTACTTGTGTGTCCTGCCCTCTTCTGTCCCAGGCCCAGGGTGTGCCTCACTGCTTTCATATACTTCGCACCCATGTATCTTTCTAGAGTGAGAGCTCGAACGACTCGGATGCTGAGGAAGATCTCAGTCAAAGTTGCACTCGCATCTTCGGCCCCCTTGTTGCAGCGCGCCTCCCACTTCCCACTAATAATGGTATAGCCTTTGACTGCGCCCATAACGACAGGCAGCGGTGCGAGGGTGACGAGCGTGAGTTTCCAGGAGATGACAAGCGCCCAAGCAACAGCAGCAATGATCATGACAGTGACAGTGATGATGATGGGCAAGAATCTGCCAACAATGTTGCGCATCTCTTCGGCATTTCGGTCAAGACACTCGTTGATACGACCAGGAGAGTTGCGCGATCGATCGAACCATGCTCTTGGTTGTCGGAGGATTCGTTTCAGGGCTTCGACTCGGATGGTGTTGATCCAGGCTTGTCCCACTATTTCAAGAAGATATCGACCACCGCCAGTGCAAACACCATCCATGATCGCGATGACAATGAGATAGATAGCCCATCTCTTGCCCTCTGCTAGCTTGTCACCTTGTGACCACATCGCGCCCAGGAGTTGCGCGAAGCAATACGCAAATGCAGGAATAGAGCCCGCTCCAACCAGGCAGGTCAGTACTCCGAAGATAAGAAGAACCCTATGCCCACGCCCCAACGCTGGCCAGACTGTCTTCAATATTGAAGCCAGAGCCATTGGTGGAGGGAGATCCTTCGTCTCGCTGTCTTTGTCATCCACCTTGTCTGACTGAAGCTTGTCGCGATACTTGGTTTGTCTGAGTCTCGTAATGCTCTTGGGACGCTCTGCCCCACCAAATACGTACTCTGGCTCTTCGAGTGAGACCAGTGTGCATGATGTTTCCATGCCATCCAGACTGCTGTGGGATCTCAGTGCACTGTCGTGCTTCTCGTCGTAGAAACTAGCCATCGGATGGTTGTCGGCCGCGGACTTTGATCGTACAGGTTCAGGTTCGGGTATGGCTACAGTGAGGGGTTGCATCTCCCAAGCTCGAGCTGTCCGCATGCGAAAAGCGGCTGCTGTGTTTGTACCTAAAGTCAATCGTGTAGAGGCGCTTGTAGGTGCTGGACTGAAAGACTCCAATCCTCCAACGACTATTTGTGAGAGCCGTGAAGCTCTGCCGGGAAGGGGGAATGTAGGAGAAAGGGGTGAAAGAGGAGAGTTTGGAGACTCGATGGTGATATCTATCGGCGTGTCTGGTTCCTTTGATACGGTAGATGCAAGAGTGGCGAATGTACCACCAATCTGCATATCCAGATCCTTTTTGAAACCTTCTTGAACAAGGGATGCATTGTCCATAACGTAGACGAAGTCATTGGCGTCGATTTGCGCGACGTCATGTGTGATGATGATGGTTGTTTTGCCCCGTCGCCAAGCCCTGATCGCATCCATGATGAGCACGCGGCTAACTTGGTCAAGGCCACTTGTGATCTCATCCAGGATGAGCACTGGAGGGTCTCGAAGTCGAGCTCTGGCAAGCGCTAATCTCTGCTTCTGTCCGCCGCTCAAGTTGTATCCATCAGCGCCGACGTTGGTATCTAGACCTTTAGGAAGTCCTGCAATCGTCGACTGAAGCAATGCTGCATCACAAGCTCGCATCACCTCAGCCCGCGTTGCTCTTGCAGGGTCGTGGTGGCCGAATGCTACATTTTTGAAGAAACTTTCGTTGAACAGGATGCTGGATTGTTGGATCAAGGTAATGTTCTCACGGACCCAATATCTGTCGAGAACCTGTAAGGGTTTGTTGTCGACATATACCTCTCCACTCGAGGGCTCGTAAAAGCCGACAATGAGGTTACCCAATGTGCTTTTCCCGGAGCCGCTTCTCCCGACAATAAATGTCATCTCGCCCGAGGGGAAGAAGAAGTTGGATTCGTGGAGTACCTTTTGTGCCGGATTCGAGGGGTATGCGAAGCTCGCCTACTAGAGTTAGCCCTTATCTTTACTAGCACAAGAAGAACGTACATTCTTCAGCTCTATATCACCGCTGCAACCCAGAGGTCGCAAAGTTCCAGTCATCGGCTTGACCATCTCACCGTCCCGCACGTTTCGAGTGATGCTGGAGAGAAAGCTACCGGCTGACATGCCTTTTGCGAGAACCAACCACTGAGGCATCAAAGCCTCAATACCCTGAAATGCTGCGAGGGTTGCATAAAAGGTTGTCAAAACACTGCCAGCGGCAAGACCGTCGTTGTTGACGAGCACAACGCCGTACCAAAAACCGACGACGAACATGGCCACGACCCAGAAAGCAACGTAGCCCATTTGCAGAGCATTACATTGTGCCTGGATTAAATACTGCTTTGCTGCAGCTTTGACAGCCGGGTAGTACTGCCAGACCTCCTGATCGTAACCGTTGAAGACCTTGACGAGATCGATGGCTGTGATTGAAGCAACGGCGAACTTGGAAGCGACTGCCAGTTCACGTTTCTGTGCTTGAATGGCGGGTTCAAGTCGCTTTGTCGCCAGCGAGAGAACGATAGCTGAGATTGGAAGAGTGGCGAGGAGGACAAGGGTGAGTTTCCAGGAATAGTAGAGGGCGATACCGAGGGAAGCGATTGAGGTGATGATGTCGCCAACGAGAAGACCGAGAACTTGGGAGGAAGCGAGTTGAAGTTCACGAGTTTGTCTATCGGATGTTAGTCATGTTCAAGTGCAGAAGAGGGATACATACGTCTGTATTCTGATGAGAAGACTTGACATGCCTTCGGATTGAGAATCGAACCAGGCCATGTCCTTGGAGAGAAGACTTGCAAAGATGTCTTGCCGAACACTGCATGCCTGCAGCTCTCCAAATATGATCCAGAGCGCAAGGAATGCTGTACTTGTGATCCAATTGCCAATACCGAGTCCTACAAGGACAAGTGCCCATCTTCCCACCTGCGAAAGAGCGTCATCCCCGCTGAGCGATCCATTCCCAAAGCCCGCGATGATATCGAAGACTTTTCCAAGAATGACCGACAGAACAGTTTTGAAGCCTGCTGAGAAGCCAGCCGCAAGCAGTGCAGCGATTAAAGCGCCGGAGTGTGATCGTCTTGTAAATAGAAAGAGTTGTTTCCACGATGATTTAACGCCTTGTTCCATTTTTGGAGTATAGAGAAATTGAGTATCATGCTGCAATTAAGGGGGAAACACTTGAAGAAGTGCTCGAAGTGATTGAGGCGACATGGCGATACGAAGCGACTAAATCCATGCGTCTGGGGCGACAAAGAACAATATCAAAGGGTCAGTGTTGTGATAGTGTGCACAGACGAGGCTGCGGCCAGGGGCTTAGTATTGTTCTTCTTGATATTGGCGAAAAGTGCACTGAGAGAGGGGAACATGGGACGAATTGGACCGATTATTTTTCATAGGCTTTTGCATCGGGTTTTGGAAGGGTGCCGAGGACCGATCGATGTTGGTGAGGGTGTTGTGTTGCCACTTGCCACTGTCAGCTTGACGAGTGCGGTAGCGAAAGCTCGCGAGACGAAACAACTTGCTTGAATTGTTGGTTGGTTCTTATTTGTTTGAATTACAAATTCATTTCGGGATTGTCGGAAGTTGGGAGGGTACAGCAATTGTCAAACTGTTTTCTTCGCCATGTTCTCGCTCGTTTGTGCTCCTCGTTGGTAGCACAAGGCGGGAAACGTTACAAAACGGATAAAGTCTGTTGGCACCTTACGTAAGGAGAGACAATCCAGATCATACGCAGGCACTTAACCTGAGAGATCTGACTTGATTATAACAAGCTGTTCATTCAATGCCTGTAATGTGGGCGCCCTGAGTTTGCGATGGCGGCAGGTTGTGAAAGACCAAGAGCAAGACTCGAGACCAACCTGTACCTTCTGTGTGACCCAACCGCATGACGGCAAGTCGTTGGGAGCTTGGGAGAGGGCGAGGGTATTATGAGTACTTATTCTAGACGGGAGAATGGAAATCTTGGACGAATTGCATGGTGACCTCGGAACTACAAGGGATATGCGCGAAACTATACATCTGTACCAGTTACAAGTATACTTCTATTGCATTTCTAGTATCGACCCTTAGGTCGGCGTTAGTTCTCTGACCGTGGGTAGTTGTCCGCAAGTCTCTCGTTACATCATGGCAATCAGTTGACTTTAAATTATTACTGCTAGATTTTAATACGGCTTATATTGGCCATATAAACCCCCCAAGACCTCCTGAGGATATCCTTATTGCTTATGGTCGAGAGCTTGAGTTCAATGGTTACAAAGAAGCAAGCTTGAGGCCCCTCATCACCCCTCCCAGTATTGGTATCACTGTGTTTTATCACCATTGCAAGCCCCAGCACCATTTTCGTCGGTTAGCTACAAGTATCGTGGATTGCCAGAGGACACCACACTTGGATTCGAAATTGACTCGTGTCTTGGGTAGCTCTCCGTTAAGCTATCGATTTAGTTGAATGGAGGGTTGGGGCTGGGGTACAGAATACCCTGCTGACGGGAACACATGTAAACTTCGTACTCGTGTTCACATGCAGAGCAGTTTCTCGTCACACCATGCCTTTTCTCATGGCATTTAGCATAGTACAGCCATTATGTTCTTAGAGGATTCGTAGTATCAGAAGCTTCACAATGCTTTTGCCTCAAATCTGCTTCGACGAGTGGGGAATTTGCGGCTCCTGTACCTGTATTTTCTACATGCCTTGAACTCATCTTTTGGGGGCTAGATTGTTTACAGATAACTGAGCAGGGGAGACTTCATATGGGACGATTCGCTCATGATATAGATAGGAAACAGTCATCGTTTAGAAGAGTTGCAGAAGGCGTACTTCTATGGTTGGCGCTGTCGGCAACAGATATACATCCTTCATTTTTCCGAAATCTGAAGTGTATATTGCAAGAATAGGAGAGCTCAAAGACTTGTTTTGGGCTTTGAAAAGACTTTCTGCAAGATGTTTGTGATCTTGATATTGGGAGAAGTCTTGTGCAAAAGATTCGTCCGCAGCCATAAGTTGCCAGGATTTACCCCTGACTTTCGCATGACTGTCTTTTTGTAGTGAAGAATAATTAATTGTATGTAGCCATATGTGATTGACGGACCCGTGGCGTCGTGGAGCGATGATAAGAGTTATGTTTCTATCCACATTAGGATAGAAGATACAGAGCGTCTTATCAGGGATCTGCTCCTGTTTCCTACAGATGCTTAAACTTGGAATAATTTCATACTTAAAACAGTTCATAGCTTCAGACTCGAAGCTACTATGGTAGAAAGCCACTGTATAGTCTTCGCAATCGAGGCTCGCATCCTCAACGAAGCACATGCCCCATGGCCATAAAACCGATGGTGCCGTGTTCTGGGCTCCGCCTTGTCCGTGATACAAGATGAAGCGCTCAAAATGCCGCCGAGGTATAGGTTGTACTCTCGCAGAATCAGTTGTTAAATCCAATGCACGACATATATCATTTCGCATTAGGTCACCCAGTTCCTCTCATCCGTTCATCCCATACGAGTCGTAAACTTGAAGAGGCTGGGATAGATACTGTTCTGGCCCAGTACCGTCAAGGCCTCAGCGCACTTAGTGTTAGGAGAGGAGTCCGGTGAGGAGAGATTTATTCGGCAAAGCGCTCCACGAGATAGATATAATGGTCCTCTCGGGCCGCGTCCTGGAGAGCGCAACAAAGCCCAACTTGAGAGAACGAGGCAAAGGCTTTACTCTGGGTGTTCTTGTTTTGTTTTAGTGAAGTAGACATAGGATATCTAGGATCCCATATGCGCAAACAATGCGGTGCTTAGTAACCCCTTAGACTCTTCGAGGCGGAGATTGTGTAGGTAGTCAGTAAGCTCGTCAACGGTGTTGTTGACAGCGCATTCGCCACCCATATCATCTTTTCTTTCTTAGTTTTTCACAATCTGTATCCACCGGCGTTGACACGATTTATAGATAGAACTTCGCAACAGAAATACCCTCGTTGAGGGGCTAGGAAATGCCCCCTGTTCGTCGCAGCGATCACAGAGAATAACTTGGTCACCATCGCTGAACCGGGACAGACAGGTCAACGAAACTGTCACGCAAGAGGGTATACAATGAGAGGGAAAGGCAGGTGTATGAACAGTCAAGCTGAAGCGGATTCGGTGTAGAGGCTCGTCAGTGGTTTGATACGAAATGTCGGCGATTTTGCACCACGCCCCGTAGAAGGGTTAACCAAAACACAGCAGCGACATGAACATCTGCAAATACGCGCAATTAGCAAAAAGAAGCTTGAGGCAAAAACATACAACAGCGGGGATTCGCTGGTCGTCACCGACCCAACTACTAATCCGCCCCTTACCAGCTTATCTATGGGAGAGCGGACGGGATCCCGAGTTCTCTGATAGGTATGGTCGTATGTACTCACCTGTTTGTAAATTCAAACTATATCGCCTTCCTCGTGCCGACCGTCAAGCCTACAGTACGAAGCAGATGTGAGCATGTTCTCTCCAAATAATGAAACGCAATTCGCTCAAGGTCTGTGACAGGAGTCAAACTCTCCCCGGCGCTCTGGCTGCGCAGCGGGAGCTAGCAGATGCGAGTCAAAAATCCTAATTTCCATCATGTTATCAATACCCAAAAGAATTCATGAATAGCCTAGCGCTTATACTCGGCGTTGTTCGGTTGACTTGGAGGCTTGCTGGTTGATGGCGGCTGACTCGGCAGCCTCCAGCTTCAACTTGAGTTCTTCATTCTCATTGAGCTTCGGTGCAAGATCCTCCTCGGCTGCACGCCAGAAAATAGTCACCTCAACCAAGTTTCTGCGTATATAACCTTTATCCAACGGTTAAAGGTTGCTTTCATGGTATTGGATCATTCTTGGAATGGAATGCCGCGTGAGAATCTTTGTAAACTCTTATCCTGGAACGACTTCTTCTTTATGGTGATGGGATCCCTCTTATACCTGAAGGGCTTTCTTCTATCTTCCTTAACTACCTAGAAAGGGTTCGATGGGCTGAGAAGAAGGAAGTTACCCTGGTCTAGTAGAATTGCTATGATCTTATTCATTTACACAACATGTACTTGTGTTCGGGTTCAATGTTGGGATGTTTGAGCGAAGGAAGACCAGCATGCAAGATGCATCGGGGCATCTTTCTCATTGGTTATAAGCACTACAGGTTTTTCATTTAGATTGCCAGAAAGGAAGCAAGGGAGGAGGGTATTCCCCTAGAGACCATAGAAGTTAACTCAGCTTACTAACATAATAGTTAGCTATTACAGCATCTTATATAGTGTAATTTACTTACTGCTGCTAGCGTCATCAACTACAAGGCCTCGGGCAAGAATTCTCTTTCAATGAGGGATAGGTGCCAATAAACCTACCTGCCCTCCCCCAGATCTCGGTCAGGGTTTGGGGAATGTGCGCCAGCTAGATCGTTGTGGATATCGTCGTGGTCTCATCCCCGTGAAAGGCTGGATCCATCGTACTGGTGTGGCCAGTGTCAAGGACAGAATACTCTGACCAATGATATATCTTGCTCAGGAGTTTCGACCCTTGTCATCTCTGTAAAGCTTTATAACAACCAAAATCCAGTAGGTACGAGGTTTGTTGAAGTGATTTGATATACTGCCTCATCTCCAAGGGCAGCGGGCTGAGGGATGGCATGGCGGTTATGTGTGCAACTCAAGGATGCAAAGGGGTACGAAAAGAAGGGTGATGTAGGAGAATACAGCAGCACCAATTCTCGTTTCTGGGTACCCTCGGCGGCTGGAAGTGCTGATTGTGAATCGATGGTAGAAGAAGTGTTGTTTTGAGTCCTGGTTCAGCGTATCAGGATGTCGTCTTGCAGCCATAGCAGCATCCACAGCCCTCCTTCGACCTCAAACTGTGGGACATTCCTACGTGGTGACGGATGCTCCGCAGGGCCTGTGGACTAACTTCCTGGGCCAAGGTGGTGATATCGGTATTGACTTAGCCGATACAGCTGGGAATTTAGCTGATGCTTTGATATGTCCTTACATCAACATCGCCCAGTAAAGCAAAGCACTGGTCCTTGAGGTGTCTCGACAGCGACAATGATAGCGTGCATTCCTGCAAATTTGAATGCGATCTCACTCACTTCTGCCGCCAGTCTTAGTACAAATGACCTCGGCAGGGGGCAAGAGTTGATATCGACCAGAGCAGTTATATATACAAATTGGCCTCAAACGAGCCGATTGGTAAAGGAGGGAAAGGGAGGGAAAAAGAAGATCCGTGTAGATCTTGACCTGTGGGCGTGTGTGGTATAGGGGGGCTCTGGCGCTGGTGGCCAACTCGTTCGGAGAGCTTCATGGGCCTAGCCAATCTCATCAGAAATTTCATTAGCTGCCAGGTTTCGTTGAGCTTGTTCCCAGATAGACCGGGCAACTTCTCGAAGATGATAGCTTGGATGGCTGTCAGCTATTTTAGGAAGGCGAGGACAAGACGCTGCTGGTCTAGTTTAAAGGCATTGGTGGGAGTCAACTTCTTGACGACACTCCCCAGTTGTTCGGTTGTTTTCGATTGTCCCGCTTTCTGTATCGAGTGGCTGAGTATATAGTAAATCGCAGATCGTACAGACGGTAAGGGAGTTGGGGGTTGATGTGTATGGAACCTATGTCCTTGATCTTGCCTTGTCGAAGTGATCGACGACGTCTGATGCCGGGATGTTGAGAAACGCCCTAGCCTTCTCCTTCGTGCTTTAGGGGGGAGAATAGTAGGCATTGCAACTTAATGTTCGTGCTGTGGCTGGAAGGCTGACACGTATGCAAACGACGAGTGCTTGTAAGCCTTCAGGCGACGAAGTCCTGTTCAACAGGGAGGGTTGGAAATTTAGAAAAGGTCGTGAGCTGACGAGCGGCATGGACCTTGGGAATCTGAGGTGTGAGGAAGGCTGGAATGTTCATGCCTTTTACCAAAAGCGTATCGCGTTCGGGGTCGTTAGGGGTTATCGGCCGGTCGATCTGGCTTGAGGTGGTCTTCCAGGGAGTTGGCTTCGTACACCAGCGTGTGTACAGGGTCATCGTCCTTTTGTTTGACCTCCTCGGTGGTGATGAGAGCAGGCAGAGGGCTTATAGTAGGGCACTCCCTGGAATTATCTGCAAGAGTCACCGGCATCTTTATAGTATAGCAAGTATATAGGTTTTCCAAGAGTGGCTTGACTACCTGCGAGTCGATATTGACACCCTACTTCATTGTGGAGGAGATCATCTTGTTGAGTATGGCCAAGGGGTATCCTCGTCGCCCAGAGTAGTACATTCTGGATTTGTAAAGCTCCCCTCGTTGACTGGCAGGGGTATCAGGGTGAACAAACTTCCGTGATGAATCCGTTTCACCGAAGTCTTCAGCTAAAAGCCTCTCAAATCAGGTTTGTGCGTCCTTTTGACGTCGAGCGCCTGGGCTGTCTTGCAGGCCTAATAGACCACTGTGACTGCTTTCGCGCTCTCGGCGTGTATATAAGCTGCTGATTGAAATACTTGCGGAATGGATGATAAAGCTGTCAGGGGTTCACGCGACGAGGCTGACGCTTTGTAACTGAGACGATGGGAGACCCAACGTCAGTCGTCGTGGCGGCAGGAGGATATCTGCGGCGTGAGTGAGAGTACTGGTGGTGTTCGCAGTGTGAGTAGGCAGTCGCAGAGGCGACTGCTGTGGTCTGACGAGAGGGCTTAATGAATTTGCGCATATACTCGCATCCTGTGCAGCTCCCATATCATCGTTCCATGAAATTTTCCCTACAGCCCTCACTCTCCACGCTGCATGATGACCTTATGCCTCGAGTTGTTTGGTGAGGTCTTCGTTGATGGCGATTTGCTTCGTCAATCCCTCTTCTGCAGAGCGCCAAAAGTCTGTGATACGCTGCAGTCGCTCCTCGGTAAGAGCAAGAGTCTTCTTAAGCTTGTTATTTTGTATAGCAAGCCCGCCATTACTTTCCTGAAGATAGTCGTTTTCGTTGTTTACGAATTTATTCTCTTCCGAGATATGCTTAACGCGGTCACGGAGCGCAGCGACCTCGACATGGTCGGCTGGAAGATTGACAGACATGACGACATTTTTCGTATCTTTGCTGTTCGGGTACCTAACCCCTTGGATTATATATCGATCGGTCAAGGTTTCGGAATTTTGTATTTTGATTTCTATCATAAGGTGTTTCCGCATTCGAAGGCTTGTCTGTGTTCGCATAGCTCTGTGTTGTTGAAATAGTAAGGTAAGGTAGGTACCTAGCTTATCTACTCGGGCTAGTTCCCCGGCACCTCTCCGTTTTCCGGGAGCTGGTCTGCGACTCCCTCTTGATCCTCGGGGAGCTGATAGAAAATCTCAAGGCCGTGGAAGAGTATGCCTGGGGGGCATTATGTAGTCCGCAAAGACGTGCCCAGTGGATGCGTCTACGTCTTCCATCTCGTAATCGTCCTTTTCGTCAAATAGGGAACGGAGGTTTCCATTGTTTGTGACAAAAGTACGAGGGATGCTGATCGTCTACAGCCTCGACGGGATCATTGGTAGCATCCGGGTCAGAAAGGACCTCGGCCCGGAGCTGGGCGATTGCATCTTCGAGGTGGTCGGCGGGCATCAGGCTGCTTCTATATTCCAATTTTATTAATTTCCTTGAGAAGGGGCGAGAGGTAACGGATTATATATAATAGGTAGTCGCGTCAAACAAGGACGTTGTCGTTCGTAGTTCCCATCACAAGGCATTTCACATTTGAAGATTCGTGGTTTTGCTGACATAACGTTCTGTATACGATCCGTATGGCTTCTCTGTTGGGATCGTAGTTGCTTTTAGGGTTAGTTCTGCTCTCTCTCCGTCTTGGGGGAGCTGATATATAACATCGAGGCCGTGAAGGAATGTATCTGGGGTCTCAGGCCCCTCCTCCACAGCCTCGGTCCCAGCATCCAAGCCGGGAATGATCCCAGCTCGGAGCTGGGACAGCTCCGATCTCATCTGGCTAGAGAACATATTAGTATTATATTATCTCAAGTCGATTATCAGGAAAGTCTTACTTGACTAGCATGGCGAGACTTTCGGTCTGCCGTCTGAGTCCTTGGATCTCAGCATTCTGGTCTTGTATAATATGTAGCATCTAGAAAATCAATCAGTAATCAAGTATTACCTAATTCAAAGAGTACTTACCATTTGTACGAGGCGAGTAAGCATTGCAGTATTCATTTGTTCGACTGGTATCACGTCCATGATGGCGATGCCCTTCCCTGCGCGATTGGCGAGATTGGCGAGTTGGTTGTGAAGGGCAAGAATACGTTTGGAACTCTTTGGGTTATATATTTGTAATCAAATATTTTGGGTGGACATAACTCTCCGTAGGTCCAATAGCATGTCAGTAGAGCATGTTGAAGCATTGTCGTTGAGGTCTGCCAGTTCCCTGACACACTTGCTGGCACTGCCAGCCTACCTTCTACAAACACCAAATTTGAGGCCCATATAATTGTCACCAGTTCTTCTGAACCTACCCATGCCTCTGTATTGATTCCCAGTATCAGTTAATGAAGTGCTTATTTGCTGCAATGTGTTTCCGAGGTCAAGGCGATCTCGGGCTGAATGATAGGCAAGATAAGGATTTCGGCGTGAGTTCGACTTGCAAATTTTAACATGCCATGGAAATAGACGGTATGATCCTATCTCAGTAGTAAAAACTGTTTTGTCCAATTTCTCAAGTTAGCCAGATTCTGAAGCATTGTGTATTATTGAGACCCATGTAGTCCTATCGACAGACTCACGTATGTAAAAGGAGGTGGCTATTATAATGTGCTGGAAGAGTATAATTATCGGTTTAAATGTTAGAATCTCTTACCAGATTATCTTATGATGCCTTCTAGTAGCTCTTTTCTTTTAGCTAAAGTGTTTCATCGGCCATGATTTAAAGGTCGTGCCATAAGTACCTATGCAAGTACTTGGAAGACATAAAGTTACAAAATCTTGACGCAAGTCTGTTGGACTGTACACTATGGAAGCTGAGCTTTACTTGAAAGCCAAGCTGGAAGAAAGAAGAACAAGGTGTGATGCAGCATGCTCGAATGCAGGCTTCTGTGTTGCCCCTGAGGAGCCGATGATGTGTGGAAAATATCAAGTCCCTCTATGAATCAAGATCTCCAAATGCCTTGAAGAAGGAAAAGGGATTGAATAAGCAGAATGCCGAGATGAAAGTTGGAGTGGTCGATTGAGATGGGGGATAACTGGACTTCTTATACTTGCTCCTGGCTTACATAAACCGATGCCTAAGAGTCAAAGATAGTAAACGACCGTTATTTGTGTTCAACAATCAGATGCGTTTGCTTTCGATTGTGGTGAAGCACCGATGGTAATGAACTTCTTGCAAATACAGTTGTGCTCGTCTTTGCCAGCAAAATTGCAAGTCAATCGTGCACCGCCTGCAAGCTGGTTTGAGTTTTCACTCCCGAATTGGTTCAGTCACTCACATATTTAGTAACAAACTTCTGCAAGAAAACTCTACTGATGGATCTCCAAATACAAGGCAAATTAAGAATTGTTTGTCCTTTACATCCTCTTCATTCATGAAGCGGGTCTCTACATGCAAGTAAACACAATGACGTTAGCGGGGTAAAGTACCTCGGTCTGCGACACCAACATCAACATCACGACATTCTTGCTTGGGACTTTCAAACATTGGGTCATTCATTTGAGCTCACTCAAATTTGGCTCTACGATCACGAATTAAAGCATAGAGCCAAACACAGCAGATCATATTGAAATTTACCATGGCGCCATCACTTCTCCTCCTACCTTCTCCTCCCCGCCCTCCATCCACATCTACTCTCTCAGCTGCCTATCGCTCACCATTAACATCTGTCCTCACCAAACTCAAACAATCACCCACTCCTCAAACCCTCATAGTCGGCCTCGCACTTCCTGTTCTCGGCGGCTCATCTCCCAACTCAAAGACAATCGCTTGGACAAACGCTCAATACCTACTCGCAGGTCTTTACACTCTTACATCAGTCATCTGCGCCAAGGAGAACATTCCCGTTGACGTCGGCGCTGGAAAGGGGAGTGTGGATGTGCGCATTGTTCTCATCGACCATGAGAGGGGAAGACGCTACGAACCAGATTTCGATGGCGGGTTTGAGGCGAATTGTACGGCTGTATTGGACTTAGCTGCGTTTGCGACAAAGGTTCGACCATGGGAGGCTGTTTACCATCCAAGTTGTGAAGAAGGTTACGAGTTACTCTCTTCGTTTCTCAAGCTTGCAGATAAGAGGCAAACGTTTACTCAAAGTCAACTCGTGGCTGTTGAAGGTGGAATCAGTTTGACAGAAGAATCAGCTTTGTCGCCAAAAGAACAGCAGAAGGGCTTCAACACTGTTTGTCTAGGAGGAACGTTCGACCATCTTCACCCGGGTCACAAATTATTGCTTCATGCAAGCGTTCTCCTCCTCAACATCCCTCCAAAAGACTCTGACAAGACATGCACTCTCGTTGTGGGTATATCGAGCGACGAGCTTCTCGTCAAGAAGAAATACGCTGAAGAGCTTCAATCATGGGATGAGCGCTCTCAGACTGTTCTCTCATTCCTCTCCACGCTTCTTGACTACGATACTACATCTACATCACCGCCAATAGAACGAACTCCTGACGAAGCAATTGCCACTCTACGCGACGGAAGAGTCAAGGTGCGATGTATTATACTTCGCGATCCGTTTGGCCCACCAATCCACGAGGAGGATGCCGATGCGATAGTTGTTTCTGCAGAGACACGTAGTGGGGGCAAAGCAATCAATGATCGTAGGGTCGAGAAAGGATGGAAACCACTCGAAGTTTTCGAGATTGATGTTCTGGATGCTGATGAGGTTCGTGATGGCGAAGTGAGCAAAACGAATGATTTTGCGACAAAGATTAGTAGCACTGCGATTAGACAACAGAGAGCCGAGGCGAAGAGACGGTGAGGCAGGGGATAATACCATCAGAAATCACCGATGGCAATCTAGAATATTGCGTTTGCAACCATTTTATATCACATGTGATGCTTTTGGTGATACCTTTTTTGGTAGTGAATGAATTGGTGTAAGTGGTTTGCAAGCCTTCGCTGATGTCTGTAGGGCTCGACAATCGCCACAGTGGCATCAGCAAGCAGCAACACTGCATGAGTCATATGACTCAAAGCATTCAATATAAGAAGAAACTCTTGGTAAAAACAATAATATGTTTGATGGATTGTAGTCATCACGAGATATGTCTACCATGTTCCAGCAGGCACCAGGCGCACCGTGCAGACAGACAGTGCTAACAAGCGCAAACACTATGCGCTGATATCATGCCTGTCCCTGGTTTCTTTTTGTGGCTGCCCCTCCATCATCATTGCCCCACGTTCAAGTTTTTGCCCAACTTTACCTTCAACTTCAAACCCATACACAACCACCAAGCAGATCTTGAAGAACAAACACACATTCACCATGGATCCCCTCGACAACATGGCCGGCGCCCCCGTGCCCAAGAACTTCGATGCCGAGAACGCACAGAACAACGAAGACGTACGCAGCCTACCCCACGATCTGAAGCAACCCTCCATACAGAAACTAATAACCCTCCCAGATCGAGAAGCAATTCGCCGTCAAAGTCGTCCAGCACATGCAGACCTACTGGTCCATCCTCGAGCGCGTCAAGGGCTCATCCCTCCGCCTGACCAAGATCGACGACGAGATCATGGAGCACCTCAAGACCGACTTCCCCGAGTTCGACCCCGCCGCCAAGGTCGACGAGGACGAGATGAAGAGCAAGGCCGGCAAGGAGCGCTGGCGAAAGTTCATGATGGCGTACGAGAAGAAGGTCGACGATTATAACTTTGGTACCATGGTGCGCGATAGACCCGACGTTGAGTATGAGGAGGATACCACGATCTTTGTGCCTCGTATGCAGTTTTATGCTCTTGAGATTGCACGGTAAGTTTTTGATGTGCTGGGATGATGGGATTGAGGCTAATGAGGAGTAGAAACCGTGCTGGTCTGAATGACTGGATCTATGAGCAGGCTCAGGCTCAGAAGAACAAGTCCAAGTAATCGAAGGCATAAGAACGAAAATAAACAACAGCAGCTCTCCGAAGTGAGCCATGCGTCCACGGCGTCGGGCCTCGAGCCCACATGACCCCCTTGCAGGACAGGGAACAGCCTAAGTGGACTTTCTGGGCGAGGCGATGCAAGACGCCAATGATCTATGCAAATCATGATCACGAACGTACGATCCGAGAATTGAATCCGATGGTTTTCGTGTACTGGAATATTCCTTGATACCCTTAGAAATACATGGCATCAAAGTTCGGCTCAATCATGATGTTCTCCAAGTGCTCACCTTAGGGTAGGCAACTTGGAATTGAAAAGTTGACAATTTGCATCTGAATGGCCTAGAATATCATTATGAAGTGAATTTAAACCGGTATCTATATAGTCTTCAATATTAGACTGTGATACAAATGCATTAAAAGAGCAGGTAGGGTTGTTGGGGGATTTAGAATATGAAAGGCTCAGTGTCTATACAATACTAATATTAACCATAGACCCCGAGATACAGCTTTTACACCACAAGACGTGAATCAAGCATAGTTTAATCATGCAGTACTACAATAAAGCCAGAGCTTCTATTCTGGTCATAAAAATTAATTGTGATGAGTACAATCTTACCTCCATTCTCCAGACAACATTACACCTTGAGAAACTCATCAATGTCCACCCTCTGAAAGTAGTTTATATGTCCAAACCCAACCCAGTGCTGCGCCAGCCGATCGTGACTGACGAATATAAGCTGACTCTCAATATATCGGTCTGTTTTCGTCAGTACAAGCTCATTTTGAGGCCTAGACCAAATGAGACAAAGGGCTCGTTCATGAGTTCTTACCTGAGGCGAATCCTGTATTTGCAATATGTCCTTTGCTGTGAACCGCTCTCATTCCCTGGAAGCAAGGATCTACCGGCGGACCGTCGACGACACCATCGGGCCCAATGTCATCAGCTACAAAGGTGATTTCTCCCCGCGGAACGTTGGGATCACCAGTTAATTTAATCGCCTCCAGTCGTCCCTGAAACGTCCGTCCTTCAGTCCGTCTCGCTTGCCACTCTTCACCACTCTCAGAATCTCGTCTTACAAGACCGAGTTCTTCATCCGTGGCGCTCGTCTCATCGTCAGGTTGGTGTATGAGCAAAAACTCGCATCCGTGGGTGCTATAATCACCGACCCAAATTCCCCTCCACGGCTTCAACACAGTCGGCGTGTATAACTTCGGATCGAGGGTGGAGTACGTGATGAGCTCCTCGCCGACGTGAACGTTGGGCATTCCGCCGTCGACTGCGGTGCGTGATAATCTTAGCATACTGTATATACCACCCAAACCAGCTGCCATACCGACTCGGGATAAACCACCCGCCATTTCCATCCATTGACGAATGCGGAAGAATCGCTCTGATACCTCTTCGCGGCGCTGAGGCCGGGACGATGGTGTTTTCACGAAGATGCCCTCCGATGTTACTTGTGTGCTGCTACCCGAGACATGGTGGTCTGAAGGGATGTGAGGCGGTGGCCAGATGTTACCGTATGGGAAATGTGAGGTGAGGTTTTCTTGGGCTTCTTCTTGATCGAGCTCGCATGTTAGCATGAAATTGCTAAATAGAGCGTCGATTCTGTCATCAAGAGTCACGGGCATCTCATCAGCGAAGCGATTGGCACCAGGTCGACTCAGAAATTCCTCCGGAGCTCGTTCCCCCACGCGAAACTGTAGCATGGGCTTATCAAGATGAAGTTTGACTTTAGGATCAAATTCATTGATCAAAACGTCGCCTTGTCCGAGGAAACTTTGCTGTATTTGCCTGTCTCTACTCGCGAGTAATTGATAGCCCTCGATGCAACCACGCCGAGGATCATAGCGAACGATCATAAGTCTTCCAGTGAGATCCCTATCGCAGAACCAGATTTTTTGTCTGGGGAGGAACCAAAGACGATCGTGGGCGACGTAAAGCTCATGATAGCTGTTGCAGGGCCGGGGGCTTGTGAGAGTGACGCCTGGGACGTTTTCTTGAACTAGTGGGTACCAGAGGACATCTGAGAGAGCGTGCTTATGCAGATCTCGACATGTTGCGGATATGGCGGAGAGATCGTAAGGTGAAAGATGAGAAAGAATGTTGTCTATGAGTTCAGGAGGGAGATTTAGAAGAAGAGGAGGCCCGGGGTATGGATCTGATGATAGCTCGGACAGTGGTGGCTGGGGTTCTCCGCAGTACATCTTTTGGTGTGTTCAGATAGACGTAAAAGACCGCTGTTCCTATCTCATGAGTTTGATCAGATAAAAATGCGAATATACCTTACGTTTATCAGATCGGGGTCCAAAGCAGGGGTGGCGAGCTGATGAGTCGAGGGTGGATGGTCTAGACGGTCTGGACTTGTAGCTTCAGCGGTGATGATGATGGGGAAGTCGAGTTAATGCAGCTAAGCGGAGTTCAGCCGCAGGAGATGCCGACTCTAGAACGGAACCGCTCGATTCTGATCAGGTCATGAGAGGAAGAAATACGAATGAACGTTTTAGGTTGTAAGGAAATCGAAGGGAGGAATATTTTATGTTACAGCTTCTTTGTATCGGGATGTTTCGTTGACGACATTGCTTTGCTATTCATTCATACGGGAAGTGGGGAGATGATCAATCGCTCGCCGACGTACGGAGCGTTCAGCAATTCAATCAACAGCAGCTTGCAATGGGAAATAACCATGAATAGTGAAATAGAAGCAAATCAAATGTTGTTTCAATATCCAAGATCAGTCACACTTGTTCAAACCCCATGTCTATCAACTTACATTATCAATCTCCATCCTCGTCAATGACTCTTGCGCCACTAGCTCCGGTGGCTGGGCCGCTTGAGGCCTAACGCCTGTCCTCACTCTCCCCCCAGCTTCGAAACACCAAATCTACCCCCAAATCATCAGGTCACGCGCTTCTTCCTCATCGCTCAATAGTGCATCATTCGAAGTCTCATTCATTGGACCTCAGAGTCTCCTGTGTTACTGGCATACTTGTTCTCTTAGCCAATTACCATTCTAGCGACGTCATCTCCCGCTGGGAATACCTTCATCTTTCGCCGCCCACGTCACGCTGCTCCTTATTAGACATCTGCATCTCTTTGTGACTTTACTTTTGATACAACCGCGCATCTCTTTTTGACTACTGTGAACATAACCAAGCTCGCCGATGATGAGCTCGCTATTACCGCTTATCTCGGAAATCCTTCCGATGATAATGCCCGCCTCTGCCAACATCACCCGCGCCAAACAACTCGAACCAACGCACCCAACTGTCGAAGGCCCTGTTATTGAACGTCCAGCTGTTGTCGGAAAATGCGATAACATGTGTGTAACTGGTAAGCCGAGCTGTCTTAGATCTTATGTCTCAAACGTTATCGCTCACATATCAGTTCTTACAACGCGACCGCACTCCAAGTCTACAGTTCGACATAACAGTGAACAGGGTAAGTTTCTTAAACCTGTCTATTGTGGATAAACGCTGATGCTGAGTTTGCAGATACCATCATATACGCCGTCTCGGGCAACGGCGTTCTCATTGTGAACGAGGCTGTCAACTCTGAATTAAAACACCATGATCTTGCACCTGGAGACTTTGCCTTTGTCCCCGCCTGGATCGAACATCAGGTCAAGAACGACACAGACGAAGATGTCCAATGGCTCATGATCCAAAGCGGTTCAACTCCTATCCGCGCAGACTTGACAGAGTGGGGTGGCGATGTGATCCAGTCAAAGAATTGAAGCAAATGACGACGCAGTTTCATTATTATATCGATCTATTTCATCGGCTATTCCTGAGATACCATCCACTAACTTTCACATCTCGATCTAACCATCTGAATCACCGACTCTCTACTCACACGGTCATCAAACACTTGTGCGTGGTCCAGTTTCGGAAACATAACTATTTCAACGCCGTTGTGCGATTCCGCTACCACGCCATTACGACCGGCACTAAGATCAACCCCCAGATATTCTGCAACTGCTGTAGTGTCGACTATGAGGTCGCGACCAGACAGTGTAACAGCAACGTGCCTCGCATGATGGCCGTCACTTTGAGTCCCCAACAGATCTTCCTTCCAGAGGATATTCTCACGCCAGAAGAAATGTCTGCCCAAACAAAGCGCAACGCCTGGGTCGGTGCTAGCGAAATACCAGAGTTGCCATTCATTCGCCCTCTTGGGCTTTCTTCGAGTGAAGTTGTACGCTACATCAGGAAGATGTAGCATGATGGTCACAGGGTCGATGAGGACAACCGAGGGCACACGATGTTGAAAGCTTGGTTCGTGGAGCATGTGAGTTGTTAGGACTGAGCCGTAGGAGTGTGATACCAGGGCAAATTTGCGCCAGCAGTGGTGTTCCAGGATAGACGTCATATGAGCCAGGAACTCGGCTTTGTCGAGAATAGCTGGGGTGAGGCGGAATGAGATGGGTAATATCTCAAGGGCGATAACACCAACACTTCCGTTTCCGTCACCAGTCTTGTGAAGACCTGCCAGAAAACGAACATATGTCCATAATCCGATTCCGATACCATGGAAGAAGACAACGGGGAGCTTGTCTTCAGCTGTATGAGGGCGGTGCCAGTAACTTAACCGTGTGGACGGGGATTTGGGACCGGGGAACAGCTCTTGGGGCCGCGGGGGAAATACACAAAGTGCAGAAGAGCGAGGGCGGCGATGAAAGTCAAATCCGTGCCATCGAAAGGCGAAATGGGTGGCCTGGTCAATGAAGAATACGATAATATACCAAACAAGACTTCGATACGTTGTCGTGATACCATCAATCGTGAGACGAAGACTTTTGACGTTGCCCCAGCCTTCCTCGAACTTTCGTCCAAGTCGTTGTTCAACAAGGCTCAGATAATGTTCGACCTCCCCTTCGACCGCCTGCCCATCCTCCACCAACCCTGTACCATCCGATCTCTCAAAGAAAGCCCATAGAATGAACTCTCTCACATTCTCCCTCCGTATCTCCCTGGGATCCGCATCAAGAAACCACCATCTCAGATAAATCTCCAAAGACGGCACATTTCCGAAACATCGCTCAAAAAGGGCATTTCGGTCTTGGCGCGACAGCGATGGTGGGTGGTCTGCATCCCGTTTGAGCCTCTGGAGGTATGGTCTATATATAAATAAATAGAACACCACTTCTGCCAACAGCGCAGCTAGCAGGACACACACAAATGAAAATACCACGGATACTGGCTGGATAAGAGGGAGGAATAAGATGAGAAAGATGTAAATTAGAGGCGTGTAGCGAAAGAAGGCGATGGATAAACGGACAAAGACCCATTCACCGAATGATGTGCCGATCATGATGATATGACACTGGCCGGTTCAAACCGGGCTATATGTTTTGAAACAAGAAGTTGTGGTTTTTCATGGAAGTATATTGGAATTTGGAAAAGAGGAAAAGATCGCTGACGTGTTTGTTGAACACATCCTTCTGTTGGGGCGATTGTGGGAGGATGAGCATCAGCTGGAGCAGTACAAGGGTCGCAAACACGGAAGGATTGTGGCTTGAATTGTGGCTCGTGTCAAGTGGGTCAGGGTCAGGGCCATGTGGTCCACTGCACTATGGTGGGGCGGACCGTCAGTGGATTCTTCGGCGGGCCGTACCAGGACTTGACCCCACGATCTATAACGACTTGACATCAACATCAGATTAAGGGTCACTCCATATGGCAAATAGTGAACTCATTTATCAGGCTCATACCCCTTCTTAACTGTATCAATGTATTAGACATAAAGGCTGTGCTGTTATGTACACTATTAATAATTCCAAATAATCATGAGTACCAAGAGTAACGTCGCACGCCAACATCTGAAGATAATAGGCTGTACGTTGCAAAAGGCGCCCTCGCTTCCATGCAGGGGTCTTGAATCTTGTGCTGCACCTGCAGCCTGCATGGAGTCCATTGCAGCGTTGAGATGGATGATTGCCAATACCACTAGGTGCTAGGGAGAGCCGTACGCAAGCAGTCAATTTCTAGGAGCACAGAATGGTGACACTATGAAGAGTTGAGTCTTGAACAATTGGCTAGAATTCGGGTCTGTGTCTGTCAATGCGGGTAAACTGCGGCTCATGAGAAGTCTCAAAAAGAAAACACAGTGGGCGTTCCTAAATATGCAAGCTTACGGGCAGGGGAACGCCTCGTGCGATGAGCCAGAAGATGTGCTGTCCAGTTATCTCCGTCAGAGTTGCGTCCCAACTTCCAATCCTTCGCTGAGCCACATCTGAACCCCAGCGACTGTTACTCGAATTTGAAGATTGTACAACGATGTTAGCGGGCAAGTGTGCCTTCACAACGCACTTATTCGGTTACACGCTAAGCTTAAGGAGTATCCACTTGCTGCAGGTTTCACAGTGCGTGGGTTCTGATATCTACCTCCTCTTCTCACTCCCCCGTCGCAGTTTGTGAGTACCCAGCCAGTACTGAGACAGTGGGGAGCTGTCAGGCACCCAATTGATCCTACCACACCTTCACAAGCACTAAGACGTTGCGAACCATCAAATCCGCAACCTCTCCCTCTGCCCTTTTCCACTTTTAAGAACTAGGCCAGTTGGTATCACGCAAATTCGGGGGCTCAGTTACGCATTCTCCCGAAAATACAGAATCTCGGATCCTATTGTATACACACACAATTTGAGTTACATGAGATACTACACGCAACGTTGCGAGGCTTACGACCAGGAGGGAATGCATCTCTTCATTTCCTTATAGACAATCGCTGCAGTAGCATAGTCAGCCTTACCGATAATGGGCAACCAACGTATGCAGGTAGCTTCCTCAAGTAATCCGCATATTGAAGTATCATAGACAAGTATTCCTCACTAATACCATCGAGCATAATACGCACCCCTCGACAAACCCGAAACATGCGGGTGATTGCAGAAACCTCATCGTAGTTGCACATGCAATCGCAACCACGCCAGGGGGCATATACCATCAATGCGTTGGTGCTCGCAGTGAGTGTGATACACCTCGGTCTGTATGACCGGCGTTGTGATAGATACGGGGTTGTCAAACCGGGATGTTTTACCGGACTTGCTTATTGGGTATGCAAAGGAAAGAAGAGGAAAGAGGAAATATAAACAACTTCAAGTGTAGTAGAATAACCCAGTTCCATCGGGTGACCCGAATAACGCTGCAAAGAGTCGAGTTACGCACAAGGCTTCTGGTAGTCAGTTGTCAATGGGACAGCCTTATTATCTTCCGGTGTCTTACACGACACGATGTCAGATCGTGCATACAGAAGGGTCCAATCCGTTATCGTTGTCGACTTATATGAGGATTGAGGAGTAGGAAGAACGATGATAGTTCATGTGCTTAATCGTGGGTGGTGGGATAGGCTAGGAGTGAGGTTGTGAGAGGTTGTAAATACTGCACTCTGATTGGACGATGCGGGGGAAGTAGGAGTGTCGTTCCCTGGGCCTCCCATATATAGTCCTCCTCCCCCCTCGACCATTTTCTCTCATTCTCCCCCTTTCGTATCACTTCACTCTTCCCATCAAAATCCCATCAAAAAAAACTTCCCAATCACATTTCCATTTCACTACATCACTTGATAGCGTTCAAGAACCCTTTAAGTCCAAGTAGGACAACCTCGCATCCACACCTGTCCTACATTGCTGTTGCTCTCACTTGATCTCCATATTTCCCATCACACTTGTGAACGTCCCCTTCCACTTAACATGGCAATTAACCCTTTCCTCAATGACGATGAGATGACTTCTCCTCGTTCTTCCCGCTTTCCTCCCTTGTCGTCCTCCGCCCCAGAGTTTACACAAAGCAGTGCCCTGCTATCGTCCCAGAACCAGGTCACTGAAAAGAAACTCCATTCAAAGAGGCGCAGGTACCAAGACGAGCCCACTGCTGGTAGTGCCGCCTCCAGATCTCGCCGCTTGGCTGAGATCCCTCGCCGTGTTGAGCGGATCAGAGAAGCGGATGCTCGGCTGCGGAATGAAGTACCCAGAACACCTGGCCCATACCAGCTGCCAGACTTGGATCAGTGCTCAAACAGAGCCCAGCTGTCCTCACCTGGCCTGGAGCCAGAATATGAACTCTATCAGACGGCTCCGCGCAAGCCATATGGTGTCTCACTTGAGGCGGCCATTGATAACTGGCGAGGTAGCTGGCAACCATCCCATCTCGCTCCTGACGGAGGCTTTGCTTACGCGGGGTCCTGGTGTCACTCAGCACCCGTGGAACCTAGTCACCTAGAGCTGGAGTGGCACATCTCTGAACGAGTTATCCTCGCAGACGACTGGCGCCCCGATACACCCAGGGATACCCGACTCTCCACGCCAGACCTGCCTCCACTGTCGACAGACTTTGAGTTTTGTCCATGCAATCGCTCAGGCGATCATGAACAGGATAGAATAAATCAAGAATTCTACTTGGCGACAAGATCCAAGATGGACGTGCAGAGTATGTTAATACTTACATGGCCAAGAGGCCTCCTTCTCTTGCTGATGGATGCAGTGATAAATGCGCTGGCGCACATCGCCCAGGACCAAACAGCATCCGGAGTGAGCTCCGATAAGTCTCGCGAGAGATGAAAGATGCGTGATGGTGGAGTGAAGGTAGGATTGGCAACATCTGTATAGTTTTGAGATCTGGCGTTTATGAACTGGCACGGTGAATTGAGCGACGTTTTTAAGAGTGGCGAAGCTATTAATAATTTGTTAGGTGTATATAGAGTATGTTAGTATATTGTGCTTAGAGAATGATTATATGCAAGCATTATGTGTTGAATGTTGCTTTTGAGGATGAATGCCATTTGCTGCTTGTTGCAGGGATAAGTGATATATTGCACGTATCAGAATAGAGGTAGTTAGACAAGCGACGATGCGAAAGTGAGTGAGGCTGTTGGCAATGATAGAAAAATGAGGTATTGATATGCCTTGATGATGTGTTTGACTGAACGTCTGGTGTTGAGGAGACTCAATGGGCCCAAAATTGGGGAAGACCTGTAGGGGATGAGTGAGAAGTGAGACTGGGAGGGTGAAAAGCAGGCAGAAGCGCCTGGTTAGCCTGAGGCAGAAACTAAGGCATCCAGTTCTCCGACGAAAACTGGCAACACCTCAGACGACAAGAAGCCGATAATTCAGCTGATGAGGCTCAAATTAGACGACCAGACTGACGAATCTGTTGCGATCATGCAATGCCATCTCAAAACGTATCTTCTAACCTGAGAACTGACAGCGTGTTTCTCTACCAGTGCCCCTACATATGCTGTGCACAGCGACGAATGCCAGCTGACTTGACCTTGTGGTGACTGTTAATGACACAACATAGAATTGAGCTTCATTCCTATGTCATTTTGCTGTGATGTTTTCGGAAAAAACGATGCCATGCGATGGCGGAGCTGCTTTTAGGCTGGCGTGGTTGACCGAATGAATGGAGTCTCGAAACGCAGCATGAGAGGTAAAAAAAAAAAAAACCCTCACGTCATACTTGTAAGGCCATTATCAACGCCACAATCAAAGTCAACAATAAAACTAGACTCGTGCGTTGTTATTCCATTTCCATTGTTCAACAGTTGGGCTTTTCATGTTACAGCACCAACATCGGCTGGCTTCTTTCTTAGTCTCACCAACGGAATTGGTTACGTCATTCATAATCGCCTTCATTCTTGATACAGCGAATGCTTTGATCACACTTACAAGCGATATAGAAAATACACGGCAGAATAGACAAAATGGCTGAGAATTACGTCCTTCGAATCACAGCTGGCCCTGATTACGATCAATCACAACAGGTCGAGGTCCCAGTCAACACCGCCAAGCCCGTCACCATCAAGAGCGATCGCGCTGACATTGAGCTCAACGTCCGCGTCAACGACTACAAGGGTCTTCCTCGCAACTCACCGACGACTTCACCATACTTCTCAACCGAGCCTCACGCCTACAACAGGGATCAATACAGCATCTCATTCCGCTTCACACCAAAGAAGCCCTCCAGTGATGAGGGCGATGGTATCAAGGCCACGGATCTTCAGTTCGGCAATGACTTTGATCATCCCATTCGAGATCGTCTACCGCCTGGTTTCAACACGGCTATGAGTATAGTGCGCTGGTGGATTGATCCGGGTCTGGATGGTGATGCCTATGCTGATAAGCCCTTCTTGTACGGCCCCGCGTTGAGTTCTTTCAACACCATTCATGTGGGCAACGGCGAGTTTGATGAAGAGAAGGGTGGTCTTTGGTTCGAAGAGGGTGGCGATGAAGATGGTCTCGAAGCTCGTGAGGAAGTCGGCGCTCCTCTCACCAGCAAGGCGAGAATGAAGTGGGCTCTCAGAGCCGATGCCAAAGAGAAGTGGGTGTTTGAGTATGACCAGACATACGGCTTCGACTTCTTCAATCCGTATCTCAACTTCTCAGACCTTGCGTTGAACCTACCTGGCTTCCAGCTACCTATCATGAAGTACTGGGACGGTCAAGGTCTCAGGTAAGCCAAACCCTGCTTTTCCACGGCGCCGGGAAATTTTGTCACACTTGCACTACGATTCATTCCAATTCCATACCTTTTCGTTTACACTCGTTACAGGCCCGGCCCGAAACGCTCACATCAACTCAGATATGTCTTGCGCAACAAAGAAACTGGGGAGCCGTACCTCGTGATTCTGTTCTCGCTGTATCACAAGGATTATGTAAATGAGGATGGGTCGTTGAAGGAGGGGGCACAGGATTCTTTTAAACAGCCTGAGAAAGCTACTGAGGAGAATGAGGAGTTTGATGGGGATGGGGCGTTGAAGGAAGCGACGGAGCAATTGGGCCCGAAGATTGATGAGAAGGGAAACGAGCAGACGAGTGTCGACGATCTCGACTAAGATATAGAGATAAGGCTGGCCAGGGTGTAATAATATTATCTAGATCTCGGGATTACAACCTAAAGGAGAAGAAAAGAAACAAGCTTCTTTGACTGATTCATTTCGGGCAATGGATCGCATCCTCACTTATTTTCGGATCCGTCTCTCATTCGTTCCCAAAGATCCCACTGTGGCTTTCACATCGTTTGAATCATTCAAGCAATCTAAACATGAGACTAATGAGTAATAGATGCAGCAGCGGAGAATCCGGTCACATGGGCATTCACGTGTCCACTTTGACAATTCTCTCCCCCAGTCTGCAGCACTCGTCACAAAAGATGCGGTATCAGTTACAGATCCTCGGTACCCTCCACGCATGAATGGCAGCGCAGAATCTTTTTCCGTCCACTAAAAGTACACGTATGCCCAGATTTCACAAATTGTGTGCGGGGTGGGAATCTCAGATCTGCAAACGAGATATCCGGTAATAGCAAGCGTTAAATCATCTCTGCTTATTACCGAACCCCCTCAAAAGGTCGAGACTGTTGTTCCTCGGGTACATGGTCCAATTGAGTATCTTCTCGGCTGTTATCATCCGAGCGTGGCTTTCCTAAAGAAGTGGCTGCCGAACGGCATCTCGAAATTCAGCAGGTAGTTTGTTGGTGGTGGGTGACTTGGCGTGCGAAAGAGGCTTGGTCTAGGGGTTTAGCGTCTGGCTTTGTTCACGTCCGTCTTGTTCCCGATGCCTTGATGCTGGGCTATGATGGAGGACTACGGCATTGTCCCCGGATGGGTTATTTGCGAAAGGTCGTATACGTAGGACCGGAGAGAGGAAGCTTGATCTTACCAACATCCTCTCTTACTGTTTGAAGTGACGCTGTAACAACGGTCAAGTCTTGTATTTCATCAGTTGGGGTCTATGTCTTACACGCAGTCACTGATCGGCCCAAGATATCACTGGCCTGTGTCTGACCTGGCCGTGCCGCACAAACATCTCCTCCCTCCCTCAATGACCCATCGGAGAGAATGTATTCCCCGTTAGCGTTTCCCAGTGTCCGAGTCACACCTCAAACGTGGGCCTAGCAGGCGGATACAGCGCCAAGACACCATTATTCCCGTTGGTATCCCGCCTTTTGACCCTCACCCAGCCCTTGATAATCCCGGGTTTACGCACCGGATACAACACGGTCGTTGTTCCTGTCCTGTTCTTATTGTAATCATAATCCGCCCTTGTGTCTCCCATCCATTCTGCTCTTCTTCTCTCACCGCTGTGTGTCTGGTGAAATATTCGGATGTCGTTGGACTATCGCTGCTGTATAATCTGTCTGTTTCTGGATATTGAACATCACGAACTATCGATATGAAGGAATCAGATACGATTCAGACCGCGGGTGCTTCCTTTCAGAATCATGACGATCTCGAGATTGGGCCCAGCACCCTCCCGCCTTCATCAGCACAACCGAATCTTGGTAGTGAAGACCCTATATCCTATCTATATTTAACACTCAACACTCCCCTACCATCACCACCCTTATCAGACTCAAATGTTGTACAGAATCTCCCACCATGCCCAGATCTTCGATCCTACGCTTCACCCTTCACGTTGCCGCGAGCACGCAAAAACATCTTCCTCGCGCTCTCGTGCATCGCGACCATGCTGACTGCATATACTGCTGGTACTTACTCGCCGCCCTCGAGAGCAATGGCTAGAGATATCGGAGCAAGTCATACAGCCACACTCGTCGGAATCACGACTTTCTGTGCGGGTTTCGCTATTGCACCAATGGCACTCGCCCCCATTTCTGAGATCTGGGGTAGACGTCCTGTTTTTATCCTCGCTGGTTTTGTGTTCGTCATCTCACAAGCTGTCTGCTCTGTTATGCCTAACTTGGCTGGCATGTTGATCGCTCGCTTCTTTGTTGGTGTCGGCGGCTCTGTCTTTAGTTCAGTCGTCGGCGGTGTCATTGCTGATTTGTGGGAGAAGGAGGAAAGGAATACCCCGATGGCTCTTTTCAGTGGTTTCGTCCTCTTTGGAACTGGCCTTGGACCTTTGGTGTCTGCTGCTTTCGTCAACGACCTTGAGGACGATACGATGGCTTGGAAATGGTCGTTTTGGCACCAGGTGATTCTTGATGGACTGCTGCTGGTTGCCATCTTGATCTTGTTCAAAGAGACGCGAGGCTCGGTTCTGCTGTCACGCAAAGCTAAGAAGTTGAATCAGTGGTATCAGCAGCTTGAGGATGCAGGTGTCTATGGAGTTTGGGTGACTGAGCCTCGAGAAGATACCTGCAGCTCGTCATCTTCAAGCGTCAAGACCATGCCAAGACACGAAACGATGCTCGAGTACAACAGACAAACACAATTACGAAGAATACGATGGCTCGTTGAGGCAGACGAACAACGACCCCCTCTTCGACAAATGATGGCTACCTCCGTCATGCGACCCTTTTACCTCTTGTTCACGGAGCCAGTTGTCTTTTCGTTTTCTCTCTGGGCTGCTTTCTCCTGGGCCGTCCTCTACCTCTCCTTCTCCATCGTACCGTATCTCTATTCCGACAACTACAACATGTCAATGCGCATCTATGTTGCAATGATGGCGTCTGCTATCATCGCCACCGTAGTGGGCATTCTTCAAGAGAACCTGATGAAACATCCGCTCTGGAGCGGACACGTTGATGAGAAGGAGGTTTCCCGTTTCTGGCGATTTATAAGGAAGCATTTCCCTGCTGATTCTCCCGAGGCACGGCTATACTTTTCCTGTCTCACTGCCCTCTTACTCCCGGCTGGTTTATTCGTTGCGTTCTTGAGTCCCATTAGCACGAGTCACTATACACAAGCTATTGGTATTGGCTTCGCAAACTGGGGCATTTACTCTGTCTACCTTGCCACGTTCAACTACCTTGCTGATACATATCACATGTACGCCTCTTCAGCCCTTGCCGCACAGAGTTTCTGTCGCAATGTGCTTGGTGGCATATTCCCTGTGTTGACCGGCATCATGTTTGACAATCTTGGTTTGAGAAACGCAGGTTGTGTGTTGGGTGGTATCGCTTCAGTTCTGACCCTTATTCCATGGGTTCTGGTGCTCTTCGGAAGCAGAATTCGGGCCAGAAGCAAGTTTGCGATCGTAAGTTTACACACCATCCCCATATACTTTGGATTGAGGGTTTGTTGCTAACTCTTGACAGTCTCTACAAAAGCAGTGAGGATATTTGTCCATGAAAAGGCGGAGTCTAGTTAGAGTTCTTTTGTTTCTCTAGATGGCACGAAGAGTTGTGATTGTATGACCTGATGAATCTATACGGCCTATCGTAATCATCGTTGAATATATCGTACACATCATCTGTTCTCCATTTTTCAGCCACATGCCGCGTCAATACGTCGTAGCAGCGTCTCTGCTCAACACTCTCTTCTTCTTCTTGAGCTTCCCCTTGCCGTAATTGCTCTTGAACCACGCAATCGTCCTCTTGTCCAACGAATCGCCCTTCGAATCCTCCTTTCGTAGATCCTCACATGTCCGCTCCGACAAGCTAGTCGCACTTCTCGCATGAGTGTTCCTCAGCTTCTGCAAATCGCCCACAATGGCGGGGAGGAGCAAATCTCCGCTTGCGTCGATCTGGGGCGGAGGAAGTTGTACGCAGCCCTCCCAGATGCGCAAAGAGCTGGGGATGTCATTGGTAGCGGAGACTTCGTGCTCGTCGAGCGAAAGATTTCCATCCCCAGTATCGACGTAGGACTTCTGGCCAACTAGTTTAGGCCATATCGTCGATGGCGCAACACGGTATGCGTATCTCTTCGTGATATTGCTGTTATTCGAGAATAACGTCCCCATGAATCGCGCTGTGTACTTCTCGCTGAACCCGCACATGCGGACCGAACCGATGCGACCCTTGAGATGCAGGACATTGTTGCAGAAAAGGAGGTACGAGTCGGGACAATACTCTTCCACGGGTGCTACAGTTGGGTAGGTTGGGTTGATGGCATCGGGTGAGTTTAGACTTCGTAGGCCTCCAGCATCTTCGTCAAAGTTGAATCGTCGAGGTGTTGTCGCTGTTGGACTGTACGGCTCCGGTGTCTTGGCGCTTCGCGATGCTGATCGTGACGCCGAGCGTGAACCTGGTCGACTACTGATGGCGCGAGGCGGCGAGACGATTGCTATTTGGGGCCGTCTTCCGTGGAAACGTCGACAGAGGAGGACCAGACTCTTCATGGGACACGATTCCTTTCGCGTCATTTGTGCATTGATGAAATCTTGGAGCAGTTTCTCGATCTGCTCCACGTTTGGCGACAATTCTACAGCCCCGGGCTCGGAGCCGCAGCCCAAATGCGTCATGTCGAGTTCGATGACGATGTTGTTTGCGTACATGCCGTAGTTGTTAAGCCATGTTGTTGCAAGTGGGCTCACTCTCGGTCCAGTGAATGGCGACAAGACGGCGTGTAGTTTTGTATTCTGCAGAAAGGCGACAAGAACGTCCGCGCGAAATGCGAAAGATACTTCAAAGTAGAAGGAGAGTTGAAGTAATGTTGATGAAGGTGACTCAAAGTCTTGTTTGCGCCAAACATCACGGCTAAGTGCATGTTTGTTCAAACGCAGGGGCTTGTCGCAGGGCGGGAGTAGATAGCGACAGATCCGGTACCGCACAGAATCAGGCAGTCGGAAATACCCAGAACTTGGTTTCTTTCTCGCATTGTTCTCATAGAAAGAATTAAGCACCTTTTCGAAACTCCCTTTCTCAAAAGCGCCGTGATACACAGCATCAAGCGTCCGATCCCAAGCCGGGAGTCCTTGACGATGTGCACTCTGCGATACACCCAGCCCGGGAAACACAGTAGAACTAGGCGTAGGAGGCTGCGAGCGGTTCCTCCAAGATGAAGGATTAGACACACTTCTTGTGCGCGCTTTCGCACTGCCTTGAAAGGGCATTATGAAGTCAGCCGAGTTGTTGTGTTTATGATGCAGAGGTAAAGACTGGAGACGCACTCATCCTCAGAGTCTCGAGACGCTCAGAAATGTCATTTTTGGTCTTGATTGAGCCGACGCGACGGAGGAGCGAGGTTGCTGATGTGGAGGGCGATATAGAAGGCGATGATGATACTGGAGTCGCCATTGCGGCGGCACTGACACTGAGGCTGTCGCTGTCACTGCCCTGGCACTGGCGCCGACTTTACCCATTTCTCTATACAGATTGGATCACAAGGGATAGGTAATTAAACAATGCGAGGTTCAAGATGTGAGGGATTATTAAACAAGTCGTCGTTTCTTGTACTAAAGTTTTGCGCAGAGATAAACTTTGGTCCGTCTGGAGACTTACAAATAAGACATCTAGTATGAGGTAAGTACAGGTTAGGCAATCCCTAATGTACAATTCATGTAGTCTATTGCCCGTACAGTATTTTGACAGCGGAAAGTTACAGTCTTATTGCCTGAGATATCTTGTCGTTTCTTCCCTTAGGTATCTCTTTGCTACTAATCTTTATTCAGAAGTTATTTCCTTATCTATCCTACTATTCGATGCGAAGACTGCATATGATAAATTCTTTTACACTTTGACCCAGACGTTCTGTGCTTCAACTCTGAGGTATGAAAGTCAAAACGATATACTTTATCGTTTGAAACACTTTCACTTCACCATGCGTCGAATAAAAGAAGCACCGCCAATCCGTTGTTCATTAAGTCGGCAACATGTCCTGGGAGGCATCTTAGTTCAACCCTGAGGTGGAAGTGAAAAAAACACTATAGCGAAAAGGTTCTTTACTCATATTCTTTCGTCAGAAAGACTATCGCGACTTCTCAAGATATCGAAACCTGGGTGACTTCTAGAAGAAGAAGGAAGTCTCTGAAGACAGTCAACCGCTCAGCGATGGCATATCCAATGTGGTGAGTTCTTCAAAGTAACTATTTCTAAACAAGAAGCTTTCGTGCGCGCATCATCCAATATTCTCACAAACTTTCGAATGAACCTTTTCGCATGAAGGAAAACATCTTTAAATAAACTATATGTTTCTTCTCCTTCGGCACGAACTTCTCTCTCCGTCCATCCTTAAGTCTTTCCGTCTCATGATTATATGACCTTCGTGGACTCCAGGCTCAGCAAACATCACTTTCACTCAACTTGATATCAGCGATCATGATGGCCCCAACCTCGATATCGGTCTTCGACACCAATGTCGTGATCCCTTCATTAGCTACAAGGGTCAGAAGCAACTTAACCATGCCAACTCAAACATTACTCGCCGGAAACTCGACAAATAACACCACCACCAAAGCTCAAGACTATCCGATCTTCAAAGCCGACAAGGATGGCATCACTTCCTTGGCAATTCTTGCAGCCATCTTGGCCTTCTTCGTGGGAATTATACTCCGAGATCTTCTTAACAAGAGACGCACTGGCGAATTCAAGGAAGACAAGAAGAGTTGTGGAAAGTTTTTCCGGACACTTTTCTGTCTCCCATGTCTGATCTGTAGCAAGGACAACGTGAGGCGGCTGTGGATCAAGTTAACCAATCTCTTCCGCTCCAAGGACAACCAGCGCGTGGTGAAGAAGTCGGATCAGAACGGAATCGAACTGGAAGAGAGACCCGAGAGTGGGAAATCCGTCGGGGGATTTAATGGTGCCTGGTCGCCCAAGAAGGCCTTTGTTTCAGAGAAAACTCAGAAGAGTTCCAAAGGCAAGGCCATCGATACTACCGTTCTCCCTAAAGTCACCGAGTTCAGCGTGGACCATAACAAAGACGACGAAGGCTTCACGTCTACTCCTGTACACGGAGCCGGCACAAGGGCTGCCCGACATGGTTCTACGGAACATGATAACACTTTGGGTGTCTATAATCACGGAGATTTGTCCACCGAGAAGGCAGGTTCTAGCTCGGCAAACCACCACCACAGCGCTGGTTCGAGTTCAGCTTCAGCCGGCCGTAGCCATTGGTGGTCATCCGGTCATGGCCATGGCCATGGCAATAGCTACAGTCCCAGTCATAGCAACTCCCATAGTCATGATTATGGATCGCATTCTCATGATTTCGGTCACACTGACTCGGGTGGTTTTGATGGATGTGATGGCGGCGGCGACTAATACTGGGTTCATATGGGATGTTTTGGATAGTCTGTGTCGGTTGAGAATCACCGTTTTGCTAACTTACTTTGGGCGGATTAGACTCGCTGGAAGAACATGCTGGGGGTTGATTGATGGTTCAGCTGGAAGAATCTCGGTGGTCGATACGGAGTTTTCGATGATTAGAGCAGTCTTGGATCGGTACACTACTGAGCACGTAATACACTGTAGAGTTCCAGTAGGAATAGAAATGAATTGTTTCTCTGCTGTCTAGCCATGTGGTGAATGTCAGTGGTAAAGCTTACACGTCGGGTTCCGGCCACGGCCATTAAGCTTCTCCATGACTCAAGGCACATCGATATATACTATTGCATCAGCTCCTTCTGTCACATACGACCAAAGCTCGTAGAAAATACGGGATCCCGTCCGCTCTCCCATAGTCAAGCTGCGAAGCGCTGGATTAGTAGTTGGGTCGGTGACGACCAGCGAATCCCCGGTGTTGTATGTTGTTTTTTGCAAATTCTTCTTTTTTGTGGAAGATGTGGGTCTGATCACCTATAGCCATTGACCGAAGTATTATATGTAGGCTTGTAGAGTAAAGGTACTGGATGGTTGGTGTTGACGAGGACGAGAAAGCCCCTCCTCTATATCAACGACCTAGAAAACACCAAGCGCAAGTAATATAAACACCAGAATAAAGATATAGAGCAGAGATTACGCCAACCCAATGTCGGGTACCACCATTGGATTAGCATTTTTTAACTGCTTTTTGATGGAGAACGCGATGCTTGGCATTTTAGAGAACGTACTATGTAGTATCTCTAGTCCTGTTCAAGCTATACTTTTGCGATGAATGCTAAAGCATTGAATTCGGCCCGGGCAGAAGCCACATCTGATGAAGAGGAAGAGGTTTCTCTTCTGAGTTAGACCCGACTTGCTATTCATATGCGCTGCAGGTGAGGGTTTGCCCTGTTGATTGGTATCTTTGTCGTAGTTTACGGCATGAGGTTGCTGCAAAGTATATGGTATGTGCCTTTGATATGTCCGTAGATCAATGGTAATCTGGGTCAAGCGAACCAACTATCGAACAAAAGCGATCCGAGTTCTATATGAAAGGCACCAATGTAATACAATTACTGGGCAAGGGGCAAGCAAACGGACGACGGACCAGGCAGCAAGCGAACGGTCTCAACGATCAAGAGCGGCATCAGATCTCTTTCCATATTTGTTGAGGAACAACAAGTTGTCTTGGCCAACGAAAGGCCAAGGACAAGTTTCCGGCGATTGGCATATGTGCAACTTACACGGACACACAGTACACGAAGCTGTTTTCGTGCCCGGATACGAGTCTGTTTGCCGATACAGAGCTTGATTTAGTACATCCTCTGGTTGGGCAACAGACATTAAGAGCGTTGAAGTGTCTATGCCATCTTACAGAACGGGCGTTGTCCATCTAATGAAGAACACAGAAGATATCAATATCTTTGTCGTCGGGGATTGATACGAGGTTACTAACATTTGGCTGACCGGCAGTTGTGCCGCTTAAAAGTGGCTGCAGGCGATTACAGGGGTCCCATCACTGAGCCGTAGCACCTTCAGGGGAGTTACCTTCCATTCCGGGCGTCTTTCGGCGTGTCGACCAATGATATTATCTCGTCATGTGTCAAGTGACGTAACTTTTAATAACAAACAGTCGGCGATTGCAATTTGATCGGCGACCAAAATAATGTCCACGCTCTGTGAACCTCAAGAAAGCGACTGTAAGTCACGATGCTTCTCTCGGCATCTCATCTCATCTCATCTTATCTCAGGTAATTGCTTTCTTCTGACTCGTTCCTGCTGTTCACGTGTCACGTTGCTCACCGCTGGGCTTATCATGAAATAAAGAAGGACTTATATAAAGTGAGATTCTTCATCTCACAGTTTTGATGATTGTTCTCCGAGATATTCCCCGACGTCATTTTTGTTAGAGATCCATCAAGTCCACTGTGACGTCTACTAGAGATTTGTTTCGTTTGCGACAATACTCACAAAGTGTTTTTGTTGGAGATGCATTGTTGCTCATTATTGAAGTGACTCTCTTGATTCTTCTGTAGCCATGTTCTCGCGATCAACACGGCGCTTGGCCAGCCAGCTACGACCCATACGATCTTTATCTATCCCTGCATCACAAGCTCCCGTGAGGGTACAATCTCGCACCTTCATCGCAACACGACTCACAAGATCTGCATCAACAAAACCTCCCGCTTCCGATAAGTCTGCGACGATATCGAGAGACCCAAGCACTTCCTTCGCATTTCTCCTCGCTGGAGCAGCTTCCTTCTACCTCGCATACAGCTTCGCGCAACAATCTCCTACACGATGCGACGCCATCGCCCATGACGAAAACGACCATGATCCTCGAGATCCTTCTCTTCCTCGATATCGCATCAACGAAGTGCGCAAGCACGATGCTCATTCTGATCACCCCTGGGTCATCCACCGCGATAAAGTCTACGATATCACTGAATGGATAGGAGCACATCCTGGCGGCGATGTTATCCTTCGCGCGGCGGGCGGCTCCATTGATCCCTACTGGGATATCTTTTCTATACACAAAAATGACTACGTTTACGATATTCTAAATCAGTATCTAATTGGGTACGTCGACCCAGCAGATCTCGTCGATGGGCGACCGGCGCGAGAAGAGATCGAGGACCCTTTCTCGGATGATCCAGTTCGACATCCAGACTTGATTACAATGACGCAGAAGCCCAGAAACGCAGAGACGCCGGCTTATGCTATGACGAATGACTTTCTTACACCTAATGACCTTTTCTACGTGCGCAACCACATGTGGGTGCCAACAATCGCCGAGAACCAGAATGACCACAATCTCACGATAGAACTTCCTGACGGAACCACAAAAGAATACACCCTCGCGGACCTCAAGAACCGCTTCAAATCCCACAAAGTCACAGCCTCTCTTCAATGCTCTGGCAACCGCCGGCGACACATGAATGAGGAATCAGGTCGCAAAACAAATGGTCTTCCGTGGACTGCTGGAGCTATCTCAAACGCCTGCTGGGAAGGCGTCTTGCTCTCTGACGTACTGGCAGATGCAGGCTTTGATCTGAATTCAGGCCTCACAGGAGAATCCGAGGTAAAGCATGTTCAGTTCAACGGCCTAGAAGCTTACGGTGCATCGATTCCTATCAAAAAGGCTATTGATCCCCAAGGCGACGTGATACTCGCCTACAGAATGAACGGCCAGACTCTCCCGCGTGATCACGGGTTTCCTCTACGAGCTATCGTTCCCGGGCATGTTGCTGCGCGATCTGTCAAATGGTTGAACCATGTCACGCTGAGTGACGAGGAGAGCACATCTCAGTGGCAGCGACGCGATTACAAGTGTTTTGGACCGAACCAGACCAAAGTCGACTGGGATTCAGCACCCGCCATTCAAGAATTACCTGTCCAAAGCGCCATTACAAAGTGCAAACTTGGCGACTGGACAGCCAAGGATGACAATTCTCACACTTATACAAAACCAGCTTCATTGGCTGGCTACGCATACTCTGGTGGAGGCCGCGCCATCGTTCGTGTCGACATCTCCTTTGATAACGGCAAAAACTGGTCTCAAGCCTCCATCCTTCCCGACTGTTCCACAAAAGAGGGTGAAGAATCGCCTTGCTATGGTCACGCAGCCTGGGCATGGCGGAGATGGAGGTTTGACGGTGATGTCCCGTTGGAGGCGTTTGAACCCGCACCATCCGGGAAGCGATGTGCGACGTTTGTTGTGAAAGCTACAGACGAGGTGTACAACACACAACCAGAGAGTCACGCAGCAACATGGAATATTCGCGGTAATCTTGCTACAGCGTGGCATCGGGTGAGGATCTGTGATGATGGTCCTACGGGGTTGGAAACAAAAGTGTAGACTTGAGCAAATGGCATGGCAATGGGATTTGTAGTTTTGGTTGGAGTTTGAGAGCAGGCTAATGGGTTTATAACTTGGCGAGCGATACATGGCGTTTGTTGCAGCCAAACGCACGATGAGTACCGAATTACTAGAACAATGGCTTGCATCAGAGTGAAAGAATATTCTCTAATCGAGTTGATGACAAAATAAGATCACGGGTGGTAGACCACCCAATGCTATTCTCGGCTAAGTGAATACATCGTCCCCAGGCATATTGTACATTAGCCTTCGCCTCGTACCCGCTCTATTCGCTTGATCTGCCCTTCTAAGTGTACAATCCAACTATCTCCACAGTACCGTCCTCGCTTTTGAACTGTTCCGAGACACATTCACACCTACTCGTCATCATCATCATCGTCATCCTCCCCAGCATCGGTGAAGTACTCGAATTCCTTAGGTACAGGAGCCTCTTCATCGTCATCTGAGTCTTCATCGACGGCGGTCAGTACACCCGCAGCAGCAGCGGCGCCTGAGGCGTTACCACCAGGAGTCTGGGGCTCGGCGTCGAGCAGGCCGAATGGTGATCGACCTTGGTTGCGAAGCAACTGTCCGAGCATAGCGCTGTTGGCTCCTCCTCTAGACTCGGCAAGACTGTCAAGCACAGCGCGCTGAGCGCCGCCTCGTCCGCCTCGTCCAGTTTGTTGCCCAGCCACAGGGGCCCGTTCGGTTGTAACCTTCTTAAGCTTCTCCTCAAGTAGACTCTTCTCCTCGTCGGGCTGGCTATCGTGCAGCAGCAGGGGACCACCAGTGGGCTGTAAAAAAAATTAGCAATGCAAACGACGCAGCAAGACTTGTATGCTCACCTTCTTAACGGGCTTGTATCGGCCGGCGGGGAAGCTGATATACTTGAGTTGACCAGGGAGAACTCGGGTCATGTTTTCGATTTCGTACCCAACCTTCTCCTTCTCGGGCTTCTTCTTGGTGTCCGCAGAAGCCGCCGGTTCCTTCTCTTGCTCTTCCTTCTTATCCTTAGTCTCGTCCGCCTTCTTGTCCTCGTCCACGTCCATCTTGTCGCCACCGCTCTTAGAGGGGGCGGTATCAATTTCCATGCTCTCTCTTCGCTGAGCGCGCTCCTTCTTCTGAGCTCGTCGTTTGGCCTGCGCAGTTGTTGACAGGATCGCGGTGGCAATCAGAGCAGGACCTTCTTCGGTCTTGACTTCTTGCTCAGGCGGGTAATCGAAAAGGCTGGGTCGTGTAGCACAGTGGAACTTAAAGTTGGGCATCTCAAGATCGTGATCAAGTCCAATGATTGAAGTGGGAGAGAAGCTAAGCGACAGGAAGTGGGTAAAAGGGAACCAGTACCAGTATTGTGTGAATACAGCCATACCGACAATGCCGGCCATGTTGAGGTTGCCAGTCTGTGTCTGGAGGCCGATGGTGCAGTTGCGACCACCAGCGTCAATGATACCAAGCGCCAGAGCAGCACCGAACTTGGTCATGGCATCCTCGTGACGGTCGCCAACCACCTTCTTCAGAGTCTTACGGATTGACGAAACCTTGGGGTTCATGACCTCGTTCTGTTGAACAAGGATCATGGCGAGAGAGATGAGGGCACCCTGTCGCACAAAGTCTGTGGGGTCCTTCATCATAGGTTCAAGAAGGTCGATGGCCTCGTCAAGACCTGTACCGGCGCATGAGATACCCAGAGCCATGGCGGAACCGTATCGCACGTGAGGGTTATATGATTCGGAGAGAAGCTCAACCATACGAGGCACGCTTCCAGGCTTGCGGAAGAGGATGAAGCCCAGACTCATGACGGCGATACGACGGACGTCATCGTTGACATCGCTAACAGCAATATGAAGGAGCTTTCGGATAGCCTTGTTGCTACCGGTACCGCAGTAGGCAAGAGCAACAGTCATTATACCACCATATCGCAGCGTGGGATCAGGGTCGTTAAGGAGTCCTTCAATAAGAACATCGGCTCCTTCTTGGCGGCCAAACATAATAAGTGCCATACCAATAGCAAGACCACGGACAATCTTCTCGTGAGTGGTTTCGTGCGCATATGTAATCATATCCTCCAGAGCCTTGACATTTCCGGTGCCAAGCATGATAAGACCCATAGCCAAACCAACAGCCTCACCATTGAGAGCAGAATCCTGGAACAAGATTTCTCGGAGCTTCTCAAAGATTTCCCAATCGCCAGTGGCCATGCCGGCAATACCCAGACCCAGAGCACCACCATGCTGAACGACCTCCTCTTCAGCCTGGCTAAACTGCTCCTTGAGGTAGTCCAGAGCGTCGGCTCCATGGTTGGCATGGATCAGTCCATAGGCGTAGAGAGCACCACCCTGGCTGAAGATAGAGCCACTGCTGAGGCCACCTTGTCGGGGAAGATAAGGCTCAAGTAGCTTTCTAGATTGAGAAAGGTTTCCGCGGTGAATGACACCAAGAGCGGCAGTCGCCGTGAACTTGGACCAGTTGACTGCCTTGCCCAACCACTCCAAGTTATCACGGAAGAACTTGTCGTTTGTAGTTCCTTGGTTCATAAAGGCATTGCAAAACGTGACCGCAGTGTGGAAAATGGAGTTTCGGCCCTCAAGACTGTCGCGGACCTTGTTGAGGATGCTCAGATCGGTTCGGTTGTTGCGGTAGAGGAACTCGAGGTTGAGACGGATGGTCTTGCTGCCATCAAGAATTTCTCGGATATTGGAATAGGCCTTGGATACTTGTTCAGGGAGCTCGTTTTCGGGGGCTTCCTGCTTATTCTGAAGCAGAGATTCGCTCTCGTTGGACTGTTCACCGTTCTCGTCTGACTCTTTCTTGACAGGCTTGCTAGCTGGGAGTGATGCAAGAACCTTGCCGAGAAATTCCTGTGTACCGTTGTCGTAAAGGTCGAAAGCAATTTGATAGGCATTGGCGATGGAAGAACGGTCGCCCTTTTCAACAAGATTGCGCAGCATGCGAGATGCTTCCTCATCTGAGTTAAGGTAAACGACACACTTGGCGATGGCAAAGTAATCTGGGTTGGGAATCTCGTTGAGGAGATCGAGAATTAGCCTCAAAATTTCGGTTCGGAAGGCTCTCTCCTGGACGATGTCCATGCAAATACCCAATGTGTACTCCATGAGATCCTCTGCCGGGCCAGGAGAGTTTTCGAGAGGGTTAGACTTGGCCTTCTTCTCATCATCGCTAGCGCGCTTGATGACGCTTCGAAGAACGTCCAGTTTCTTGGCCTCAACCGCAATACCTACCACTTGCCTGTAGCGGCCCTGCTCTAAGCAGCTTTCGAAAAGCCTCTCAACAACTCTCTGAAGCGAGCCGGTGGCCTGGTCGGGGAGCTCAGCAATAGAACCAGAGCGGCCTTGCTTGAAAGCAGGCTGGAAGGTGGCCTCGAGCATCGTGTTGTCGATCGAGTCGCGGGAAAGAAGAGACTTGGGAGGTAGAGTTGTCTGCGAAAAAGGTGTGGTGGGAGACATGACAGCACCCTCGGCGCCGCTCGCGAACGTAGTAGCCAGCTCGGGGAGGTCGGTGTTCTTTGAAGCCTGAGGAGCCGCCTTCTTCGCAGCATTCACAGCGATGTACTGGTCGACACATTTAGAGATAATGGTCTCCTCGAACTCGCCAGGGGAATCGAGCTTGAAAAGGTCGCCAGCGGCGAGGGCGAAGACCATGCTGTCATTGTAGGCCTGGAGATGGTAGTAGACCTTGGCAAGAACAAGAGCAGCGAGTTGACGCTCAGGGAACGACTCGTCCTCGTAGAGTGCCTCGCTTGAAGACAATGTTAGCAAAGCTTGTCACACCATGAAAGGCGAGACGCGAAGATGACGTACATCTGTGTCAACACAGCAGCGACCTCAGTCCAGACGGTATCGATATCGTCGTTGAGGGTCTGCAGAGCGAAGACCTTGAGTTCGGGCTCCTCGTCGGTAAGGAAGGCGAGGACGCCGGTAGCCGAGACGATACCGGGCATCTTGAAAGAATATGAGGGATCGTGTGGGCGTGCTAGAGAGGTCTGTAGCAATACGAGCGGCGATGCGAGAGGCTGCTGGGGTAAGAATGGTCGAGTAGCAGAGAATGCCTTATTTCCGTGTAGGCCCAATGGCATAAACAGGGCCCGAGGACGGAATTATAAAGTTTGTGCAGAAACAAAGGAGATGTCAAGAGAATTACAAGAGTCGGAGTCGATGAATTGGTTGGTGTTTTGCTCCAGCAGGGTCATTCCGGGAAAGGTCCACGTCAGGCGCAGCTCTGCCTTGCAGTAGGTGCACGGGCCAACGAGAGCTCCAGGCAGGAGCAAAATTACATAAGCAACTCCAACCAGCACAAGCACGTGACTATTGGATGTCTCCAAGCAACCACGAAGTCCAAGATAGCACGCGACAGAGAGGTGAATTGCGCCATGGAATACTACGAGCGCGCTGAGTCGTTATGGAGTTTGAAAGGTGGTGTGGACGTACTCATTAATAGCTCTCAATGATCAGTCAAATTTACAGGGCGCTTCAACCATATCTCACAGTTCCTCCTCCATACATACGCAAGAGAGTTATTCACCAAAGCCAGATTCACCCAATCTAATCATACTATTATCACCACGTGAAAAGCAGTATAAAGTGTAGAGAAGAACTGCACAAGCCGAAAGCGAATCCTTTCCCCATCAGATGTGGTTTTCCACCAGAAAAGCTGTGTTAGGAAGAGTATTCATTCAGAATAGTATCTTACTGCGAAGGGAAGATGAAACGTGGGTAATCAAGGGAAATAAGTGACTAGGAAGATGATGATAACTGATCCCTTCTAATCGGGATCAGAGAAACTAAGTTCATGAAAGTTGTCTGGAAATTTATCCTACTCCTTGGCGATACAAGGAAGGATGTCATTCAAGCGAACTACCTATTAAACATCACCACCACTCTTACACGTCCATCTGTTATCCAGCTAACCGGGCTTCTACAGAGTACAGGCATTATACTTGCTATAAGAGGCTCTGCCCTAACACTGACCTCAGCCACAGTACTTAGACTAGCAAACTAGAGCTTCATGTGATACGCAATCAGCTTTGGACTAACTTTGACTAGATTCCGATGTACAGTTTATACGATGCTAATGCACGTACTGCCGCAAATCCTCTTCAATGAATTTGTGGTTAGCGCTCGTGCCTATGCTGCTATTGTGAAGCTGAACTCCAAATCCCATGGAGCTCCGGTACCCCTGGTTCGTAACTCAACTATGACGTCGAATACAAGTTCCCTTTGCATGAGAAACATCGAGGTTTTTGGAGTAAGCCAATGCTTATAAGAAGATCATATAAACATGCTGAGTCGATAAGGCTGATGTCCTTTAAGCTTAAGGAGATTGCAAAGGACTTGACCCTCCACAGGAATCGGAGTCTGACCCTGGCGTTTGAGTCTGGTGCAATTTATCTCGGGACATATGGAAAAGTGACAAGTAGCGTGTCTCATCTTTAATTCACTAACCTGATTTGCGTAATGCTAAGCCTCTCCGGGGGTTGATGATCGGTACCTAGATCTCCATTGAGCTCGCAGCACGGAGCATGTACTGCTAGTAAAAAATGCTTGGGGAACGCTATCGCTAATAAAATTTGTCCTGGGCCATGTCCAGTACGTACAGTTGAGTTAGGTGAGGTAGTACCACCCGTGGGCATATCCCTGGAGCTCTAGCGTCAGGCTGTCGCCTGTCCATCTTTGTTTGTCGCCAGAAAACGACGACAGGACACCAACACAAATATTAATCAATCCGAGAACTATTCCAAGGCGCGAATAACCTCCAGCGCACACGATCCGTCGATAATATCATCCGAACGAGCATCTTTCAGCCGCGTCCATCCATTTCTGTACGCGATTTCTATTCGCCAATCGTCAATCGTCAATTCGACAGCGTGGCAGCCTCGCCATGGCGACGTAGAAACATCCCAACCAGTCATCCATGTCCACCTGCGCCGTGCTCCTCGCGCGACAACGAACGTCCTCCATCGCCTCAACAGCGTCATAGATCTATATCAGTTGAGGACAACATCTGTCTATACTCAGTTGCGCTCCCGCCGCGTCGACTACCTGGTGCAAGACAAGCGACCCGCACTGCAATTGCTTTGTGGTCTCCCCTCGCGCCGAAACTTCGAGGCGTCGTGTTGTCGCAGGATCTTCATTCTCCCTTCATCACGACACCATCGCCATGGATCTCCGCTCAGTTCTTAATACGTCTGATGGCGGCGATCGCGCTCCGGCCAAACCTGCGCCGAAACCGCAACCGCCGCCGCCAATACATCAGCAGCAGCAGCAACCTCACCCCCAGCAGATGCAGCGACCATCGCAGAGTCCAGCCAAAGCACCCGCTCCTCCTCCGTACTATCGCGAGTACGGCCGCCATCCACCGCCGCAACCTTCACCAGGCAAACCAATGCCCCAAGAATATCCTCCGCATACTGGCCATCCTCATCACGCTCAGTCACGACCACCGTCGCATCCTCACCCATCTCCCCATCAACCACCGCCCGGTGCGTATCCACCACAATCTCCGTACCAGGCACCCGGGCCATATCCAGGACGTCCTGCACCCCCTCCGCTACAGCCAACGGGCTCTTTTCACGATCCGCGGTCCCCAAGCGTCCAAACTCCAGGTCAATCCCCTTATCGAACATCAACGACTCCGTCGGCCGTAGCGGCTGCCGCAGGTTATCCTTTCCCACCAACTCAATCCCCTGGGGAGATGGCCAGTCCAGTCCAACGGCACCAGTATTCACCTACTCAATACGCAACTCGCGAAAGCTTCTCTCAGGGCCCACAAGGCGTGCCACCAGGTCATGCACCTGGTCATTATCCTCCGACTCAGCAACAACACCCACAAAGCTCTATCCCACAGACCCAGCAATATCTGAATCAGCGTCCTCCCTCAGCTAGTCATTCTGCCCATTCTACTCCTACTCCAACATCCGCTCAACCACATCATCCTTACGGTTCTTTTGCACAAGGTAGTCCTGTCACAGCTTCGCGCCCACCGCCTGCCGAATACAATCGCCAGCCCTCGCAACCACCCACGCCTGTCGGTCCTACTTTGTCTGCCGGATCTCGACAAGCATCAGTTACAGGCGGTTTCACACAGCCTTCGAGTCCATACCAACAAAGACTTTCCTACACTGGAGCGCCAATACCGCAAGCACAGGCACAGGCACAAGCACAAGTACAGAGCTCACCTCCGCCTCCGCTTCATGCGAAGCGCATATCTAGTAGCTACGGTTCGCCCGCTCCCGACGTACACCGACGATCCCAATCGCATAGTGAACGAGCTCCTAGCCCATCCGTCAGTCCCAAATCTCGAGTCCCGTCGATTCAAAGCAACCACGATCCACTTGCTGCATCGGCGGCAGCAGACGCCAAAGCCAAACTAGCTCAATCGGCTCCTATACCCCAACCAACCCAGCCAATGGCCATCGACACAGAACGCGCGGCAACTCCTGCCAAGCGCAAGCTTGAGGATCGCGACAGTCCCAGACAAGAACCTGAGGAGAAACGAATGAAGCCCAGCGAGGTCAACGGCGGCGTTGCTGTGAAGCGCGAATCTGAGTCGGCTTCTTCCAGTGTACCAGCTGCTGCGGCCGTCAAAAAGCGAAGACGCTACTCACAGCCGCCTATCTGGGCACAAGACGCTCGAAAAATGAATAGCATGCCTACAAATGCGAACTTCGTGCTACAAAAGAGAGTCCATTCACATCTCAATGGAAAGAAGGAGAACCCCCGTCCTAGTCGCCATGCCTCGCCAGAGACGAACCGGGGCAACCCACCTCCTCACGTTCCCGTCGCTGAACCAGGCCCCCAAGAGATTCTTGGAGCTTGGGAACCGAGTCTTACTGGCCTCAAACCTTTTGAGGATGTATCAAGACAAGTGGCTGATTTCCTCTTCCTCAATGTTATTAACACCCCAGATATGAGGGAAATCAGTAGTCGCGGTATCCAGTTTGAAATTGAAGCGAAATTGGGCACTCTCATCGACAGAGATACTAACCAACGAGTTGATCGAGGTATTGCGTCAGAATGCATCTTGATGGATAACAGCCGTGTAGCTTTTAAGAGCAGCATGACGGAAGTGAGTGTTTCAGCATCTTCTTCATTGTTATCGTTGCTAATGGTGCTTTCAGGGCTCACATAAGAAGATGAACGACTACCTAAACGAACTCGTCAAAATCACACATCCCATGAATCCAGCAGGCAGCCAACGTGTACCCATCGTTGCTCTGCACCGGAGAGAGAGAGACCGGTTTTTCGAGATTCCACCAGATCTACAAGCAAGGATACCTGGATGCGTGCGAAGCCGACTGGGATCGCGAAGAGCAGTCCGTGTGAGAGTCACTTACAACCAAAAGGACAACAAGGTCATTGCCAAGATCATCAAGGCACGCGTGTCTGACCTTGATATTCACTTCCCTGCATTACCAATGGATTGTCGAATCAGTATCAACCTCGAAATGAACTGGGACGGCTCGGTGGAAGAACTGGAGCAACTTCCAAATCGTGATCGTGGGGAAAACCCTGAGCGAAATAAGGACAGACTTAGCTACACACACGGGCCCTACCAGGTTGACCTCACGCAGGTCATACAAGATCGCCACGGAGTAGGTTCCCAAAGCCCCAGACAGCATTTCGGCTCAACTAACAATATTGTAGGTAAAAGAGAAGGAGCATGAACTTGAGATTGAACTCGACTCGAAGCTACTGATCGACCAAGGGAGCAAGGCAGCGAGCTCGAGACCACACCGCTATCAAGAGCTTGTGGAAGGATTTGTGGACAACATACGACTTCTTACACGTAACGTGGCACACTGAACGGCAATAGACCATTTTAATTACCGGCGATAATGTTGGCTAAAAGGACGGGGTTGGCGGCGCTGTGTTTACAAGAGGTGGCTCTGAAGGAATACCAACAATAAATCGACTTATCTTTTGTGATCCCAACCCATGTTTTGATGTTGAAAGCTGTCTTTCTGGTTGCGCAATGTTACGCTTGATGTACAAATAGTTAGTGGGTGGATGCATCAAATAATCGTAGCTTCATTTACAAGTCGAGATTTGGTCCAAGCATGCGAAATCATAGTAAGTGAAGACATGAGCACATTACTAACAGCTAGACCGACATGAGTCCAACAGTTATCATTTCTCTACGGAAGAAGGCACAGTCAAAATCATCTCGGGTTTCGTAGGCTCGGGCTACCCTACATCACCAGGATGTTATATCTGCGAAGCGAACAATTCTTATCAAAACATTGGGAATCTGCTGCACAGGTACTGCATTTCCAAAAATTGTATAAAAATTACATACTCCAGTTTAGCATTTTCTGTTCCGTCTTAGCTTATATTCTGGAAGAGTAGAGGATGGATCTTGTTGCCACTCTACTGTCAGATGATACATTTCCAAATGCGCGCCATGCATTGTCATATACAATCAACTTATCATAAACATGTTCTTCATTATCATATGTACTTAAATCATCAACCACTCATGGCCGATATCCCGTATTGTACCCCCTTGTTGGCGCTGCACCCTGGTGGTTGTCCTCATAAAATGCTTCAAAGTCAGTGCCAACATATCGGCTCGCCGCAGGCACCGGTATTGTGTCTGCCTGTTCGTCAAAGCCCGTTCGGCCAGTTCCTCTTGACTCATGAACTTCCCCTGCGATCCAACTCAGGTAAACCGTCTCGTGTACAAGCACATAACCGCCCGCCTTCTCTCCCGAGTCGTCAGAGCCATCAGCACTTTCGAACTCGGGCTTCTTCTCCACGACAAAGATCTCGTTCCTCTTCTGCTTCCGGCGCCATGCAAAAGAGATGAAGCCGAGGAACCAGAGAATGCTGCCACCGATGACGGACCATGTGATGGCTGGGACAAGCCACCACTGGAGACTTTGTGGTGTTGAGGGCTTGATCCAGATAGTGACGATGGGCCACAGGCCACCAATCACATATATAACTGCGCATATAACGCTGAGTGTTGGGTTGATATGTTTGCCGGTCATCTGTCGCCAAGTCTGGGGGACTGCTGCTGGGCTGTGAATCTCGTCCTTGTCTGTTTGTGGTGGTCCTTTGAATCGGAGGATCAGGATACCAAGACCCAGAAAGATGCCAAAGAAGGCATTGATGACATATGCGCTCAGACTTGTGAGTAAAGTGTATGAATTGAAGTAGTTCATACCCCAAGTGGCGAAGATAAGAATGAAGCAGGATGTAAGGTGCAGGACGAAGGCACCAACAGGCGTTCTCTCTCTGTGGTCTTCGGGAGAGAGCCAACGTGTGCTCAGAAGAGAACTGAACATGCCCTTCTTCTTGAGCCAGGATAGCATTCGACCCAAAGAGATGTCGCCGTCTTGAGCAAAGAACTTGGCGTAGGGAATGATACCTTCCTTGGCGATCTCTTGCTTTACCCGTGCAGCAGTGTAAGTCATCACGATGATGTTACCCATGCTCGATATGGCAAGGAAAGCGTTGAAGATACGCTGGCCAGTCTCATCTTCGGTCAAGGAGCCGAGAGTTCTCTCGAAGAACTCTTGCGCAACGTTGGTACTTATCTGATCCTTTTCTGGGACCACGACCATCTGAGGAGGGTTAGAACACGAATACGCAGGGAAGGGCAACTAGACTTACATATGAAATGTTGACAGCCATATAAAGCACAATGGCAATACCGACACCAAGCATCATAGCGATTGGGTGTTTCCGCCGCGGCCTGCTAATCTCACCCATGACATAGTTGGGCTGTTCAAAGCCAGAGAAGCTGAAGATGATGGCCAAGAACGCGTGAGCATAGCCATTAGCATCACCGGAGTCTGCAAAAGCCCGAGAGGGCTGAGTGTTCTCCGAGATGTAGTTCTTTACCTTCTCGCCCTTGGTAGTCTTCAGAGCTCCAGCGCCGACTACAATAGCTGTCACGATGATGAGCAAGAGGATCATGACTTTGATCATTGCCAACATGTTGTTGAGAAGAATTCCTGCTCTACGAGAGAAGGTATGAATGAAGCAAGTGAGAATTGCGATTCCGATGGCAATACCTCTGATTGCTCCGGGAGCTGGATCAGTGTTGCCAGATGCGTAAAGCACTCTGGTAGCAAAGCTGATACAGTTGCCTGCCATGTTTCCAAGAGCCACGAAACAGAATCCGAACATACACGTACTCAGGAGTACGGTGCCTCTTCTGTATGCGGGCTTTTGGTAGACATATTGGAGGTAATTGAGGTCACCGCCGCTACGAGGTACACTCTGTTCAATGCCGTTGATGGTGTAACGGGGAACATTGAGACCGTACTCTATGTAGACGTGGACGCCTGAGAGACAGTATATGATGCCCGCCAGCCAGAGGAGAAGAGATGCGCCTGTTGAACGGGTTCCTTCCATTACTCTCTGTGGCGAATTGAAGATGCCGGTTCCTGTGATGATAGTCAGCAACTCAGTTGCAGAGTCGTACCGTGTCTCAAGACCATATTTCCGCACTGAATTGAACCACCAAGTTCCAACATCGTGATAAGAGTAGAAGAGATGGATGGCGAAAGTGAGAATAACAACTTCCCGATAGAGAAACTGCGTTGTTCTGACACATTGAAACTCAAGCTTGGGCCAAGGAAGGAGCGAACCATGGATCCCAAGGTATAAGCAGACTTCCCCACTTGGGTCTCATCCAAACTCTGGGCTCTCAACTTAAATTCAACTTCAACACAACATCGCCAAACCCACTATGAAATGTCTTTGCGATATCTCGAAAAATCATATCGGAAAGTATTCGGAAATGAAGAGAACTTACCAATCATTCGGTTAAGAACCAGGCACATGACGTCAAAGTACCCAAGCTTGAAGGCTTCCTTGGGTGCTGACGTAAAGATGCCATTGGGATTATCGGTTTCCCTAAAGATCACCGAACGGTCGCTGTCCCATTCTGGCTCTTCACGTCGTGGTGGCTCACGGCTGTGCTCCTGATATGCTGCGAAATCGTTCATTGTGTGGTCTGTATGCAGCTGGAAGCCGCAGCTCAAAGGAGGAAGAAAGGCTGGAGTTGTTGGTCTGGGAACCAACTTACACGTCAATTCGAAGCCAAAATTGGCAACGAGTCAACGAGCTCTCAGAATTAATACAAACAATGGCAAAGAGCAAGCTCCGATATGAGCTACACAGCTATCTGGGACCATGGGTATTAAGTAACGCTCTCTGGAACTCATGCAGGCAGGGTTCGACAATCACAACCAAAGCCGGGCGTAGAGCAATCAGCCCAAAATGGTTGACCGACCAAGCAAAGGACGGGTTTCAAGCCTCATCACCATCGTGTGACCTTATCAACTCCCTGCAGGGGCTGGTCGTTCTAGGCAGACTTTCCCCTCACTTTAGACAAGAATTCGACAGCCTTATTGCACACCAAAACGCCTTGTCCATACCTTCCAACCACATCAAAAACCGCAGCGCTAGCTGTTGCGTTTCTAGCGCCGTTTTTATCGCTTGAACAGCCAATCTGCCAACCCTGCATTACACAGCCCCGATGCATCTCAGACATGGCTCACAGACATGCCAAGCCATAGCTGAAAGAACCCTGGATACCAAAACCTCATCCTCGGGATAACTTGTCTGAAGCATGGGGACGTGCGACTTAACTTGGGATGACACAAGATCGACCATCCTGTGTTCTCCGTCATATGTCCGACCTGGTTCATAGCGAAGAAGAAGCATACTTCTCAGACTACCAACGCTCCAACAGCTGGGTGCATGCTTCTTGATAAGAGCAAGCAAGCTACCGTCCGCTCCTGAACCCTCCACCCCGCATGCTCGCGCTGGTAACCCACATGAGTAACCAATGCCCTGTTGACTGACCGAATCAGCCACGCCTTCGTGTCAGTCGATCATCGGTGCCTGGGAAGAGCTCTTTTCTCTTTCTGCGGCGAGGTTCTTCGACTTTGGGCCAGCCCTGGCCAGCCACTCCGGACTGTACGCGTCCCACGTACAGAGCTTGCATGCTGCGTCCTTATCTTCTTTCCTGAAGGCCCATCTGGCCCTTGCATCTCTTTCCTTTGGGGCGAGTGTGTGGGTGTTACCCATACCAGTCAGACCGTCCCGGGTGAAGCTCTGTCACACTTCTTCCGTTGGCCTCTTGAGCAACAGCCCTGTTAACAATATTCCTTAAGATACTGCTGCCCGTCACTCGTCCACAACCTACTCTGGCCCCGTTGACGGTTACATTTCCCCAAGTGATCGTCTTTAGCTTTTGTTTGAAGCCCAGGTCCCTGCCATCTGAGGCCCCTTTGTAACATCAGTTATAGCAGCGTTCAATGGCAGGCCCTCTCCAGGTTGGAGACCTTATCAGCCTCGGGCGCCTAGCCTGGGAAGTCTACCGCTATGGCTGGTCTGAAGATCATAATGCAAGTAAGTGATCCAAGCGCGACGCCTTTGTTTCTCCTGCGAGATATGCCTTGCGGGGCTTCGCCAACGTACTGCTTCTGTCGAAGGTCAACCTTCACGAATAGGTACATGTACCTGGCGATCACTCATTCCTTCATCCCTCCACCTTCAGTAAATGTAACATCGGCCTGACTGCATGGCAGCAAAACAATATGAAGAATTTGGAAGAGATGTTAGAGGTCTTGCCGAGAATCTCGACATCCTCAGTAGAGTAGTTGCATGGGCAGACAACTCTCTCCAGAGTCAAAGACGGCAAGGTGCGCCAGCAAGGCTACGATGGGACAGGACGTCGCTGGTTCAGATTATTGGGGACTACGAGATGACACTACGAGAATGCAATGAACTTCTCAGATCAAATAATCGATATCGTGTAGGAACCAACCCTTTACGCAACTTGGAATGGAATGTACTCGTTCAGCCCGCAGCCGATCAACTGCGCCAAAGGATCATGTTGCACAACTCGAAGATTTTGCACGTCTTAAAACCATTTGAAGTGTAAGTGAATCAACTTGGTATTATTTCATACGCTGACGAGCTCAGTGATCTCCTTTTACGGGTACGGCAAGATATTGAGCGCATGCATCAAGACCTCGCGGACCGCATCACAGCTGCTCATCATGACATTCGCCGTCTGATGGGAGTTCTTATCCCTGACCTTGACGAAGCCCTGGACCAAAGAGTTCAACGTAGTGTTGTTTTACTAGAAGTGCCTGTGGACTTGGACGAACAGTTCCGGTTTGCAGCGCTCACTGGTCACCCCGAGTATCGCATCGAAGAGGATTTTGAGCTCACCGAGCTGTCGGATGCTTTCATATTGAACTTTCACAAAAGTACAATAAACTTCCAGTCTGGTATGGTAGTCGAAGATCGTGTTCCGACGGTTGACCAGTATCTCAACTTATTGAAGTGTGTATGGATTTTCAAGAGAATTCAAGCGGCCCCTGCTTTACGGGAGGCGGATAAGGACACTTCCCACTGGCCATCCTACGCCCGACAACTGGAAGATGTAAGTCATGTGTGGAGTTAATTGTAACCTGCGGACTAACGGGAGTAGGACCTATCATCTCAATGTGCTCGATTCGGCCGCGAGTTGGTAACGCCAAGAATCATTACTTCGACGCTCAAGCGAGACATGTTTACGATCTGGCCAGAGAAGGAACCTGCCCCTCTTGTTGACCTAGTTACAAAAGACGAGATGATGGAACAACTGCTAGAGGTGTAAGTGTGGGATAATCCCTGTTTTATCGCAAAAACTAACAATCGCAGAAATCTGCAGAGCTATAGTCCAGGTATCGAGAAGAAAGCCAAGCTCCTTCGAAGGCTAGACGCAGATGGGCGAAGATTCAGAATCATCATGTCTGGATCAGCTCAAGCGTCATCGGGCAAACCAAGACAGCAAAGTCAGTAGGCTCTTTTCTATTCGAGGCCAAATGCTGACCTGAATAGCTGAGAAATTCGACTTCGATATCACTACAATGATCTTCAACCCACAATACGCCTTGCCCACCGGCACTCACATGACACAAGAGATCATCCTACGGCAGAACGAAAGAATCGCAAGACTAGATTTTATGGACGGAGCTGATATACTGAAGTTCCAACAAGCGGTTACTGGATTCAAGCCATGGGCTTCTGCGACGCAGTACGACTGCCAAGTCATTTTCGTTCTGGGTGGCGTCAAAGAGACAATCATGGAGAACGCTTGTCTTCAACTCTGGATACCCAAATCCACCGAGGGCTCGCTTGTCACTAATAGCGATGCCGCAGTCAACACCATCAAGACTTCATCAAGCCGTCAAAACTCCATATCGACACTTGCCTCGGGAGCCATGCCAAGTTCGCCCCTTTCTGCGAGCAGGCCATTTGCGTCACCTGCGCAAACGCTTTCTTCCTATGGAAACGGCGGAGACGGCTTCGCCATGGGCCCTCCTGGTCGCCACCCAAGCCTTCCAACCATAACACAGCGACAACCCACAGGGCCCGAGTTCTACGGCTCGTGGCCGGGAAGAACTTCTCCAGAACCAATAGGGTCCTCGCCTGTTGAAAGACAGGGCTTCTTCCCTATACCAGGACCGCCGCGACAGTCTCCACCACGGAAGCCAGTTGGGTCAACCCCATCTCCTCGTCGTTCCAGCTCTCTCTTTCCGCCTCCATCCAGCAGCACAACAATGACCAACAATGGACGCTCTTTTAGTATCTCAAGTGGCGTTTCAAGCAATAGCAACTCGTCCAACAGCGACGTCCGCAGTGTCAGTATATCAACAGGGACAAACTCCACAGGGCTTCTACACAAGCGTCCAGTCAAACCAATGCTGGTCCTATTCACACAGAACCGTCAAGGAGACAAGTTCTCATTTGTGACGGTTCAGATTGACGACGAAACAAACATGAACCCAGAGCGCTGCAATTGCCGCCGATCTGGAAGAGATGGGGCATCCTGCGACATCGCGGCCATCGAGAAGAAAAAGGGCGATGCTCCTATTTCAGCCCGACGATACGAGCAATCACCATCGGACGGCGAGATGGATTGGAACTTGGCACGTTTGGCGCTGAACAACCCTGCCTCAACGAGCGATAGTGTCAACTGGCCCAACCTCAAACGTCTTAGCATCAAATTTCCAACTCCGCAGGCACGAGCTAAGTTCTGTGGCACACCAAACGTCTGCCATTGCAAGATCAAGAAGGAAGGCGACTTGCTCAAGTGCATACAAGAACGCCACCGCGGGCTCTGGGGAGAGGTTCAAGAGAACTACAGGAGACAGATGAATAGCTTTCACAAGCAGAGATACGAGAGTAGATCACATGTGGTCTATGGTGTAACGAGCTGATGGGTCTAATATGTGAGGGCATGACGGATAATTACTAGGCTGGTGTGTTGCTTTGTGTAAGCATAGCTTTGATGATCCTTATGAGGCGCGGAGTACTGGAGTAAGGGAGTTGCCATTGGTTATAGGCGTTATTGGAAAGCTGAAAGAGAGATTCTTAGATAAGGTCAGGTCGCTGATGAATTGGAATGATTACGCTGTTTAATGAACATCACTTTTCATCTGCTGAGACCGAGCTTCTTGAAATGAGACATCATATTTTGAATGACCCGATATTCATCATAAATGTACAGAATCCTGTTTCCTGCTGAGCTTTTATACGTTTCTCCCTATACCCATTCAACTTTGCTTTTGCGGATCGATACTATGCTCCCGACTTGAGCCTGCAATGGCCTTATTCTGTTGCTCTGTATCCTCATGGATCATGACATTGGTCGCTGAACGGGCTGCATCAATGTCATCTTCCAGCTCCTCAGGAAGCGTGAGGTTGAGGATCACACAGATGATGGCAGCAACTGCAAAACCAGTCTCCATGACAAGAACAATAGCGTCGAGGAAACCCTGAAGAGAGCGGTTGTCCCCCTTGTATGTGAAGATCTTATCAAAGTAGTTGGGTAGAAGCGTTGCGCCATATCCCAGAGCCAGACCAGCAGTGAGAATGAAGCGGTTGCGTCGAGTGAAAGGGACGCCACGGACAATGATGGACATGCCCGATACAGCCACGGCACTGAAGAGGAAGGTTGTCATACCGCCAAGAACAGCTGATGGAATAGCAATGAGAGCTGCCGCAAACTTTGCAAAGATACCCATGATGACCAGGAACATGGCGCAGGCAAGACCAGCTTTGCGGTTGGCGCATCTGGTGAGGACAATGACACCGTTGTTCTGAGCGAAGACAGACATAGGAGTCATCGTCATGAGAGCACCAATACAGCCAGCAATACCATCAGACAAGATGCCACCCTGGATACGAGATTCATAGGTCTTTCCGGTCACCTCGAGTTTGGAAACGTCGCATGTGGCCGTGACATCGCCTATAGCCTCGGTGGCGCAGACGAGGTAAACAGCGATCAGGGGGAGCACGAGTGGCCCGTAAACTGATAGTGGGAACGTGTGTACCCAGGCAAACGAAGCAACGGGGGCAGAGTCGATTCCAGATCGATCGAAATAACCACAAGCAGCAGCAATAATGCAGCCGACTAGGAGCCCAATCACGACTGAGGTAGATTTCATAATGGGCGAGCCGAATCGCTCACATAGGATAATAGCGACAAAGACAGAGAAACCCAAGCCCAGGAATTCTGCAGATCCCCAGGGAAGAGGATGAGGTGCGTTGATGTTGGGGCAAAGAGCAAACAAGCCGTCAGTGGCAGTCATGCATCCTCCGCTGCCACCCATCCAGTTGGAGAAACCCGACTTGATGAGCTTGATACCGATGAGCATAACGGTAGGGCCAGTGACAATTGGTGGCAGGACCTTCAGCAAGAACTTTGCGGGGATAAAAGAGACGAGGATGTTGATCAAAGCACACACAGCGGAGGTACCGAGAATTGCTCCATAACCCTGAGGGCAAGGCAAGGGGTTTCCATCAGAATCCGAAGGACAGAAGCCATTGGCGTACATCTGAGCGAGACTTCCTTGAGCGACAGGTATAACGCTGAATGAGACTCCAACCACAGACAGAACTCCAGTACCGAGGTAGTATCTCAACAATAGTTAGCCCAAACCCTTGCCGAGACCAAAGAAAACTTACTGTGTACCAAAAAGCCTGAATCGAGTGATTTGGACTGCAGAGAAGATGCCAGAAACGATGAGAGCGGTTGAGACGAGGTATTGTTGTTGCTCAGGTAGCAAATTGGCGCTGCTGCTGATGATTATCGGTGGTGTAATTACACCTGCTAACATGGCCAATGCATGTTGAAAGCCGAGCAGCAAGCCCAAAAGAACTGGCATCTTGTCATTGAGACCAAAGAAGGGACTTGGGTTGACGCTCTTCTTCATGAAAGGCAGGTTTGGTCGAAATAGAAAGGCATAGTCGTAATCGCCAATCAGGCCGTGCCTGGTAGTGAATGCCTTTTTGAGGCCATTGCAACGCTGAGCAATTGTTTTCGGTGGCGCATGCTCGGGCGCAATGGACTGTGGCCCTTGATCCTCATCCATTGTTTAAGGTATTAGATGGAGTTGTGTGAAGAAATTGGAAACAGGCTGACGCTGGAATGGCTTGGTATCGATGGCGTTGATCATCGAGTGGTCCAAGCGAAAGAGGTATCTTGGCGTCGATCAACTCAACGGACACAGGCTTTGGTTGTCTACGTTGTCAACGTTGGATGAATATAAGTGACAAGAGCTTTAAATGGCTCCAGTACTGAAAGTTGATATGGGCAATATGGAGGTTTATACTTCTAATGCCTCTCCATATAACAGAAGTGATTGGCGAGCACACGAGGCCGTTTTCGGGAGTGACTAGAGTTGTTTTTTAGACTTAGTGACCCAAGACTTGTAACTGATAACTCCTGGATCCAGAGATAGCTTATCAGCACTTCTTGTTCCCCAGATGCTTGACAAATGGCTAGAGATGGGGCAGCGGGTGGGTGTCTGCGGGTCCGAGTCCAAGAGCCCCAAGCGAGGTGAGATGAGATGCAGATCAAAAGACAAGGTCAGCTAAGAAAACATGCGATGCTAATCTGAAGCCTGATATTGGTGACATGATGGCGTACAATCGCTCCTTTAAATATGCAACCCCAGATTCCACGATGGGGAGCTGGCATGAATAGAGTTGGATTGTTATCAGGCCGGCCGGTCGGGGAACCGGTATTGGAGGTGCACCTCGGGACGTGGGGGACGAACATAGGAGTACGGCCTGTCGCAACCATTGGGCTGGGTTCGAATCGAGGAGGGGTGAGATAGCGCATCGGCGCATCGTCTGGGGTTGTCACCCATCGCCACGGAATAAGCGACTTCGGCTGTCTATCATGGCCAGGACTGTGATGATAAACCCAGCATGAGCTGGGACAGCACCAGCTGAACTTTGCTGGATATCGTGCTGAGCTTCAAACTACGGCTTGATAGGTAATCAGTTTGCGAAATCGGATGACTCTGTCAAGGAGATGGCACCAATTTGGAGTGACCGTCGGAATTCAACCATCCAACTCGTCCCAGTTTATCTCCAGGGTGCATGCATTGTACGCCACAGTTTGCTAGCAGATATGCGTGCTGAAGTTGTGCTCGGCCATGAGCCGTCGGCCAACCACAAGCTTATCAGATAAGATAGAAATGCGAGTGAAATCGGCTGTCGGCTGCGTCCGGTGGTGATAGCAAAGGGCTTGTGATTCTTGGGAGAACGGAGGCGGGCGACTGCGCAATAAATTCCATCTCGAAGATGTAGATGATTGAACAGAGCTGAAAGAAGGGCGATCGATCAGTCGGAGATGTTATCACAACTGCGAGGCTAGGCCAAGCGGCGGCGACAAAGTCATAGAATTGTGTAAAGGCCGCCGGCGCTCCAGATAGATCTTGGTAATTGATGCGACAATGATTGAAGATGAAGGAGAAGAAGAAAAAGGCTGGTGTTGTAAGACCAGCCAGAGGAAATATCAGGCAAGGGCTCAGAGGGGTAGGCTGGCAGGTTGGCTTGAGCTAAAGGCGGGAGGCACCGGAGACTGCCGCTATGTGCCTGCCTCTCCGCATTCATGGAGTTTTTGTTACTTAAGAAAGTGCTTTGGTCTCCATCCTTGAGCATGAGCCTCATCTCTAATCTCTGATGTAAGTGTCAGTTCTTTTTGTGTAGAATGACTCTTGACACTATCTTGTTCTATAGCTCTAATTGCAACATGAAAGGAGGCCTGATGTGCTCCCTACCTGTAACCCATCTCTTCTCTTCTTTCTCCTTCATATATCAGAGGCCTCCAGATATACAACAGTAATGTAACGGTCAGTTGCCGAAACCACAAACAGTTTGAGGTACTCTTCGTTCTAACCATCACAATACCATGGTGTAACAGATGTCACGGTTGGTTTACAACTCAGCCTGCGTCACTGCAGCATTATCCGAAAATAGCTCGGAAACGCAGCGACTTCCCAGACTCAAATTTGGATCAACTCAGCATTGTATATTCCTTAATTTAAAAGAATGTTCCAAGAAGAGCTTCTGCCGTCTTCTTGTAACGGGAGCTGCTATAGCGCTCACTGTGCATCCATCGAAGCCACCAGAGCCTTGAAAGAACAACCAATCATATCGTCATTCAATGCCAACACTGAGGTAATATGGGTTTTATGACACAAAGGGATGCGCTTCTTGATTTTGCCCTTCCTTTCTCTTCCTTCCATGTCCGCAGCCAACCACGATCTTCCGTATCACTTCTCATTGGCGGACTTGCTCCGTTACCACGAGACTATGTCTCCGATCCTTGCTCCACTTAACGGAGCTACCCCCCCGGCCGGGACGGATAAACTGCCTCCTGTGTGTTTCTAGGGGTCAAGAGCATCCCCCTCCGTTGCACATTTGACGTCTTCATGACAGAAACAATACACCTTTTGCCCCCTTTTACATCAGTTTTTCAGGGTCTCACGCAGGGACTGGCACCAAACAGACAAGGCATTGCCGCTTGACCATTCCCATCTTCGGCTCTAGACCATCGGTTGGACCCTTTCTTTGATGTATTATTAAAAACAAAGAGACCAAATTTCCCCTTCTCCTACGCCTAAGCTCCTAGTCCCCTAGTCAAAAGGCAGAGGTGGCGTCTTTTTCCGTGGCGAAAAACCACAACAAACGGCCACTCTCCTCTCACAGGCAGAAACAGGTGCTGCTAACAGATTTTCGCTCAAACGTCTGGTCTCGTCTCGTCCCAGGTCACGCCTATTCTATCTGCCCATAATAATGTGCCCTAGCTCATCTTGTGCTATGTCTTTAACTTGTGAATCTCTGAACTTTCATCAAATCTCGATCGATTCCTTCTTTTCCAGTTTTCGTCTTCAATCCATTATTGTTGTCATTTTGGGCACTTGATTGATGTCGCGCAGGTTGGACTTCGATATACCTCAACAACCGCTACCGCTGCTGGATACCTCCGGACAGCCGGCATCGGCCCTTCATGCACCACTCCACCAACGGCATTCATCGTTTGTCACCACGAAAAGTTACTGATCCTGATCTCGTTGCTATCCGTGACAAGCTTGTTGACGCTCTCGCCATCAAGGCGTCCGCTCTTGTGACGCCACCAGCCACCAACTTGTCTCCTCCACCTTCGCACGCTGGTCCGCCCGGCACGGCCCAGCGACCTTCCTCTCGATCTCGACATCGCCGACCAAAACGTCCTTCTTCATCACCTCGTCTAGTCGTCGGTCCTGACGCAATTCATCGTCTACCATCTGAGCTGGCTCGGTTGCACTTGTCTTCACCGCTCATTGTGTCGAGCCCTTCAAGATCAAATATCGCTCGCAAAATTCAAGCCATTATTCCTAATCTCGACAGTCAAATTCTCTGTTCATCTAATACCACCGTGCCAGGTCGGGCATCTGGACGAGATTGCGTTGTCAGCGTCGGGGGAGGTTCTGCTGTTACTTTGGCCCGAGCTGTTGGCTTACGGAAAGGAATCCCTCACATTTGCATCCCTACGACATATAGTGGAAGTGAACTACACCCAGGCGGAGGACCTAGCGACTCATCTTCCGAAGAAAAAGGCAGCGGTCACGACACCAGGATACTTCCCACCGTTATAATTTACGACGACAACCTCACCATGAGCTCTCCAACTCGATTTTCAGCGCCCAGCGATGAGAAAGTCATGGAGGACTTTGCTCGAGCCGACACGCTGCCCAAATCAGAAGATGCCTGCTGGGGCTATCTTCACATTCCAGGCGTTTAACACCTTCTGGTTTTGTCCACCCGGACATCTTTTTTATAATCTCATTTAAAATCACCTGTCTTGTACCTGCGAGGGACCCTTCAGCCTCCTATTCTGATACCAGGATCCCCACCTTCACACCGATTTCTCGGATATGGGATCATAATGATTTTTGCGATATTCGCACAACGCACACCACCCACCCCGCGTCACCCTTCACGCGATTGAGGAATCATGGAGAAAGGAGCATGACCCCCGGTCTGCGGAGTTTTCTAGTACTCTGCATTGCATCACCGGGATATCGCGCGCTTCTCTGCAAGACATAGACCACCCGCTTGGTCTTCCATAATTCTCTGATAGAGTATTTCTGGGGACGATGCCGCTTCAAGTCCTTTCTCTAGTCACCGGTTCAGATGCAATCCTTGGCGCCATGTGTAATGGCAAGGTATCTGCTTCTGCCCCCTTTCCGGGATAGAATAAGTGCACTTGTACTTTCCGAAGCTACTGGGCTTCGAGAAGACTCATCAAAAGAGACTACTGGGTCTCGAGTCAAAACATGAGGCTACTGGGCCTCAAAGAATTATCACCGTAGGTCGTGTAGCATCGACCGAGGGATACTTCTCTCCCCGACTAAACACGAATGGGTTTTTGGTTATTTCACTATGTATGTGATCGTGCTTCGTTTCGGAAGACTACCAACTGCACATGAGTCGTTGGATGTCCACCTCTTAGGGCGGGCTTCTTCACAAATTAGATAGATAGCCAGATATTGAAAAATTGAAAGGTTGTCAACATTAATCTTTATTTCTTATGCTTGTAATGAATTGTATCTTCGCCCATAATTTGAGCTCTGACCGTTCTGACCATCTGATCGCACTACCTCCGTCATGTCTACCCCGGGTATCGTAACAGCATTTGTATCGCCGAAAAACTCCACTCAATCCAAGCCCTCAAACCCCATAATGCCGTGGGCTCCCATGGGCCCAAGTTTGCTCTGCTGGACCTCCTTGCGTCGCTTGGCCCTGCGCTTCATCTCCGCAATTTGGTCTTCCTCACTATCGTCGTCGCTGTCGCTATCAGCAGCTCGCTTGCCGTTGCCATTCTCTCCAGCATCACTATCATCGCTATCGTCGTTATCTTCGTCCTCTTCCTCATCATCATCGTTGCCTCCTTGAAGAGCAGATAGTTCTTCCCAAAGCTTCACGGTCCTTCCGCCGGCACTGATGAGGCGGTTCTCGCAATCGAAACCCAGCGACACAACGCTCTCCATATGATCGTGACGCAAATTGGCCGAAATATCCACCTCCCTAAGAACAAGGTCGACCACACGCAAGCTGCCATCACCTACACCGCAGACGACCTTCTTGCCGAGTCCCAACTCTTGCGGGACCAAGACCATGGCATCGATACTTTCACCGCCACCCTTCTTATCGCCGTCCACGATGATTCGTTCCTGCTGATCGTCCCAGGCTCCCTTGTCCCACATGGTCAATACACCCGAGCCGGATCCTACCGCCAAAACGCCGTTGTTGCGATGTCCTTTAGGGCCCATGCCTGGAACGAAGCAAGAAGATAGCAGCTCATCCTCCTGGTCGTCGCTGCGCACAAGCACCCCTCTCCTAACATCGGTCACGGCGAGCGTGGTACCGCCAGTGCTGACCCATTGCTTCGGGAATCCGCTGGTGCTGGCGCTAGTGGGCGGCAAAGGTGTTATAGAAGAAACATAGTCGGCATGAGGGAAGTGAGTCTGGACGGGCTTCTGTCCCAGTTTGCCGTCTTTTAGGTCAATGATGTGGAGGGCACCTGAGTCGGTCGCAAGAAGCAGGCTCTGAGGGTTCAGGACGTGGAGGAGGGTCGGCGCATCGGGAACCGTAGTTGCAGAAGGAATCACGAATTTGGAAATGACTTGACCGGTTTTGGGGTCAAAGTGCTTTACCAGCGAATCGGTTCCAGCTGAATAGACAGCTTTAACAGGTTAGCTTGGCGAACAGTGAACAGTCACAGCGAAGCTCGTGGAAAACTTACCTGAACCATCGTGCGAGTAGACCAAGGATCTACAGCTTCCCTTGTGTCTTCGAGTGCGCCAGACGGATTCGATCATACTCTTTCCGTCGCTCAGCACGCTCGTGTCTCCATCGCCATCGGTATTGTCGTCGGAAGAAGAGCTGGATGGCAATCGAAAGGTCTCAACGTGGCCACTCGATAAACCAACGATCAGAAGGGGCTCCGTGGGGTGGAGGGCTGTTGCGAATACGTCTGCCGACAGAGGCAGGGTACATGTATTCTCAAACATGTTGAAATCGATGCTTAACAGTTAATCAAAAAAACGGTAAGGTATAACATTGCTTGAAAAGGATGAAGAAAAAAAAAGAAGCTCGAGCCAATGGAAGTCACTGTGTTATCGGTGTGATAACACTAGTTCACACTGTCTTGGTGTCAAGTTCAACAGGAACACCCTGTTCTGAGGTAGGTATTATAGCGTAAGATTTTTAATTCTTTTCATAATACTCATGATATTTTTAATATTCATTCTATCTCTCAGTGTTTCTTCTGAGTCCTTACAAACTCATATGATGTTGAGTATTTCCACTCACTGTTGACCAGTTGTAATAAATGGGCCCATTGAATTCTAGACTGAGGTGCGAAGCTCCAGAATCCAGACACCTACCCACCCTAAAAGCTTATGCCAAATATCTTGTTTTCCCACCTGTAGATGCATTTTTGAACATGGGAAACTGCTATCAATTGGAGACTGTTGCTATCAATGCAAGCAGCGTAGATTTATTTCCCTTCATGCTTAGTATTTTTAGAAATTAAGAGCGCCTGATGACCTCGAGCTTATGCGTGCCTGACTCAGTCATAGATGCCCATAAAATCTTATCCATGAGCGGCCGGAGGTTTCATGGCAAATCGATCGATCTTCTGTCGCTAATGGGACTCCAGCGGTAGATCTCCACGGGTAAGCACCCGGGTGGTTCCACTGTAAGTTGGTTTTAGGGCCGTTGGAGGGCAAAGCGGGGTGGCGATAGGTCAAGATTCGAGTGGAAAGACAGCTAGAATCCAGACCTAGACAAGTCGGAGTGCGATGGAGGGATCCTTAAGTAATCTTGCCAATATCTAGCTAAATTCTCAAGGGCAGGCTGTTTTAAACCAGTCTTGTTAAACCACACAACCCCCAACTTCGTCCGACGATCTGTTCCCCCTACCGAGGCTGCTTGCATGGGCTAAGCACGTTACAGCTGTCGATCATGGCTGGTAACAAGGTCTCCGAATCAACTCGCGAACGGGAGACATTCAAGTACGATCTTGCACCATTCCTCATCCTCACTCTCGTCGCATCTTCATCCTCTGCCATCAATTGAAGCTCGTCAAACGGACTCATCTAACAAATACCCAGATATGACTCGGTCCTTGTCGCCAACTCTGTTCGCAATGATGTCGCAAACCTTATTCCTTCGTCTTCATTGCGACCATGCTCGGATCCTGCCATGACAGCTCTGGCCCAGGTGGCTCTCTTGAGACTTGGCGCCTCCCGTGCCATGATCTCACTATTTGACTGTCAACACCAGCATATTATTGCGGAAGCTACACCTGCGCTTCGCATATCTGCTCACGCCAACCCTCCTAGTTCTGGTTCTGATAGCCTCTGGCTTTGTGGTACTGCAATACCTCGAAGCTATGGTATTTGTGATCGTGTATTGGTATATCCCGAGTTTGGTGGACCACAGCAAGCATCGTTAGCTTCGGAGCTCCCGGTTACAGTGATAAGCAACCTCGCTGAAAATGAAGAGTATCGCAATACCTGGTACTACAAGGCACGGCCAGAGCATAGGTTTTACGCAGGAGTACCAATAAGAACCCGTCGAGGTATCAACATTGGCGTCTTCTGTATTCTTGACAACGAGCCACGGGAGACACTTGACGAAGCATCACTCCAAGTCATGCGAGATGTTTCAGCATCTATCCTGGGACAAATGGAACTGACACGATCTGGAGATGGCCGGCGTCCTGGTGAGCGCATGGTTCGCGGTTTGGGAAGCTATGTGGAGGGGAAGACGACGATATCAGGATGGCAGAACAGTTCAACTCATGCCTTCAATACCGATGCTAGTACAGAGGAAGGCTCTCTCAACCAGACGCAACAGAAGATCCAGAATCAGAGGGATAATGCCGCTGCTGCTGCCGACACGGAGAGCATATCCACGCCAGATACTTTTGTTCTTGAAAGCCCTAGTCAGAATAGGCCGACAAGCCCATTCCATCCAACGGACAAGACTCCTCATTCAGTTCCGACTGGAGAGGAATCGCGATCGCAGCAGCTGAACCAAATCTTCTCTAAAGCGGCAAACATACTACGCGAGTCGATTGAAGTTGAGGGGGTCCTGTTTTTGGATGCAGGTATTGGCTCTTTTGCTGGCAGAATCCGGTCCGGTTCTTTACGACGTAATTCACGGACCCACGATCGCTCTTCCTCCTCATCCTCATCTTCGTCCTCTCCAGGTAAAGGTAATATTTCAGTCTCATCCCCCCGGAACTCCGCAGACTCCCGGTCCTCAGGCGCTATGTGCCCTATCCTTGGATTCTCTACGTCTGTGTCTTCCAGCATCAATGGTGAAGCCCCAGCAGGACGCAGTCGAACAATACCCGAACGACAGCTCCAGATGCTACTACGCCGCTATCCAAAAGGCAAGATCTTCAATTTCGATGGCTACGGAGTGATGGCATCGAGTGATCCGGCTAGCGAGGACTCGGCTATGGCCGTTTTCCAGGCCCAGAAGGCTCGGAGCATTCAAGAAGGACAAAGGGGCGACAACCAAAAGTCGCGAAAGGTCAACGACCCGTATTCACGGAAAAATGAAGGCATGGCTATTCGTGATGTCTTCCCGGGAGCACGCAGCGTTGCCTTTGTACCTCTATGGGACTCTCACAGAGAGCGCTGGTTTTCCGGGTGTTTTGTCTATACAATGACACCAACCCGCATCTTTACGGTCCAGGGGGAACTGAGCTACCTTGCCGCTTTCAGCGCAGTCATCATGGCAGACGTTGCCATGATGGAGAGTTCCATAGTATCCTTGGCGACGACATCTTTACTCAGCTCCCTATCCCATGAACTCCGGTCTCCACTTCACGGCATTGTTCTGTGTGCCGAGCTGTTGCGTGATACCGCACTAGATGTATTCCAGGGCGATGTATTGCGCTCCCTTGAGGTCTGTGGCCGTACACTTCTGGATACGATCAATCACTTGCTTGATTGGACACGCATCAACAACTTTGTCAAGGCACCCAGTGGACAGTCGCCGAACTCAGGTATTGCCTTCGTGAGAGGCGCACAGTCTAACCAGAGAAGTGGACCAACGGACGGGATGATGCATATCACTTCGAATCTGGATCTGGACATGCTGGTGGAAGAAGTCGTGGAGTGTATTTATGCGGGCCACACCTACCAACAACAATCACTCTCGCTTGTTCACGATGACAAGCCGAATGAAGAGCTCAATCGCGATCCTTTTACCCGCCTTGATGGTATGGACGTTGCGGATAGTATCAAGGCTGGAGAAAAGATCAGCAACGGAGCTGGTCCTGACGCAGTCCTTGTGATGTTGGACATTGACCCAGCGGTAAACTGGGCGTTCCATGTTGAGTCAGGGGCGCTGAGGCGCATAATCATGAATCTTTGTGGCAATGCTCTCAAGTACACTACACGGGGTTATGTTAAAGTTTCTGCCTACCAGGACACTCCTGGGCAAAGCCGGTTAAGGGATCGAGTCGTTCATATCGATATCACCGACACAGGAGCTGGCATCGGGCAAGACTATCTCAACCACCGTCTGTTCGCTCCGTTCGCTCAAGAGAATATTCATTCTTCAGGCGCTGGCCTTGGCCTGAGTCTTGTGAGGAAATTTGTCAGGGCCCTCGGAGGCTCTATACATGTTCAAAGCAAGGTGGGCACGGGAACCCGCATCGCGGTAAAACTACCACTAGAAGCTGTCAGTGTTGATTCGACGGAAACAATTTCCGACCGCGAGGAGTTTCAGTCCCAGGCCATTGAGTTGTCAGGTCTCCGCGTTTGTATCAACGGCTTCACACCTTTCGGCGGAGGTGGCTCAGAAAGCCAACGTTGGAATTCTAGGGAGTTTGACGAACGTGCTTTGCTGCAAAAGGTCTGCCACGATTGGTTGCGTATGCATGTCGTCGACTCCCTCCACAACGCCGAGTATCTTCCTGACCTGATACTCTGTGACGAATCTCACCTTGAAACGATAGCAAACCAACCTCGAGACGAGCTATCGTCCCCAGTTGTCGTGGTGTGCCGCAGTGCTGCGGTCGCTCGATCGCTTGACAGGTCACATAGGTCACAGCGCAAGCTCAATTGGGGATTGTTCAGTTTCATATCACGCCCGTGAGTCATCTGTTTGTTACTACTTGTTCCTTACCGCTGACGTTCTTATCTAGTGTGGGACCGAGGAAACTTGCCAAAGCTTTTGTTCTCTGCTTCAGGCGCTGGACGAAATTACAAGCAACAGCTGCAGATCGTGCCAGCGTCTCGACCAGACTCGACGAACCACCGACTGTATCGACGGCAGAAACCGATCTTGTCCAACATGGGTCCGATGACAAGAACCGCGGCTATTTTGATATTGCTCCAACGCTGTCTCCTAAGAAGAGAAGGGCGCATTGGAATGACGATGGCACACGGACTCCGTTGCCATCAATGCCCGCTTTGCAACTACCTACAATACCCCGGGATCAACGGTTCCTTCTGGTAGAAGACAATGCTATCAATATGAAGATCCTACAAACGTACATGAAGAAGATGGGTGTGGAGTACGACTCGGCCTCGGATGGGCTCCAAGCTCTGGAGTGTTACAAAGCTCAAGAAGGGTGTTACAAGTGTATTTTGATGGATATTTCCATGCCGGTAATGGATGGGTTTGAGGCTACACGACAAATTCGAGGGTTTGAGAAGGCCTCAGATTTGCCACGAAGGCATATTGTCGCTATATCTGGCCTCGCCTCTAAGGATGCACAGGAGGATGCTTTTGCGAACGGACTGGATCTGTTTCTCTCCAAACCAGTGCAGCTCAAGGAGCTCAGTCGGATTCTCAAGAGTCGAGGGCTGATTTAGACAGGACTGGGATATTGAAGGATACGAACACGAAGCGAACACGATACCACGACTTTTTTTTTTTTAGATTTCTTTTGGAGGCTCTGGCGTTGATGCGGTTTTATCCGCTGTATAACACAATACCCAGGCATGGATTGCGAGGGAGGGTCTTGTTGTGGCATATGTTACTAGACAGGATAGAACGCAGGCGCAAACGGGTTCTTATCTGGGAGGAAGCTGCATTGGGAAATAGGAAATACGAGTTAATTTGAACCAAAATGAACAGGCATTGACAGATTTTGTTTATTGTTTTGTGTTTGTTGGTGAATCAGGTTGAAAGTACTAATATAGACTCCTCCCGTCTGAACTATTGGTTAAGAAACATCCACTTCACCTACATCTACATCTGCGGGTCAATTGAGAAAGTGCCACCTCAATCAGTGCCCTCTCCAGTCCAGCATAAAGTAGGCAATCGCCAAACAATTACCTTCCTTCCAAACGGGCATTGTCGGAATGATTTTCCAATGGCATCTGCTATTCCTGGCGCTGGTGACCGCGACTGCCATATCTCAAGCCGAGCCATTCCGTTGCGTTATGTATCTCACAGGGTAAATGCACCTCCCTCGTCGCCAAGCAATAGCTTCGGAATATTCACTGACTGAAATTTTAGACAACATGATATTGTCCCATCAAAAAGCGCACTTCAAGATGTCTCGCATGTCATTCTGGCATTCATGCGCTCCGAGACTTTCAATGTTGACAACAAACCTCACGACTATCCGCTGTTCACGTCTGTTTCTGGTGTCCGCAAAAGGTTCCCTGGCGACACCAAAGTAATGGTAGCTATCGGAGGATGGGGCGATACTCAAGGTTTCGAGGAAGCGGCCAAGAATGAAACCACGCGGAAGCGGTGGGCACGCCAGGTTGCGGCCATGGTCACTGCGGCGGGCGCTGATGGCATCGACATTGACTGGGAGTATCCCGGGTAAGGAATATTGCAATCTTGGTCATTACTAGGTACATACTGACTGCAACAGAGGCAACCGTGATGATTACAAGCAAATTCCCAACTCTGAGCGCGAATGGGAAATCAATGCATTTGTATCGCTCCTCCAGGAGCTGCGTGCCGCTATTGGTCTCGACAGACTTCTTTCAGCGGCTGTTCCGGGTAAAGAGGTCGATTTGATGGCCTTTACGCCCACCACCGTGCCAAAGATCATGAAAGAAGTCGACTTCCTCAACATCATGACATACGACCTGATGAACCGCCGAGATGTCGTGACTAAGCATCACAGCGGTGTCTCGGATTCTCAAGACTCAATCCAGCGTTATATCGACCGGGGCGCATCACCGAGTCAGCTCAATCTTGGGTTTGGATACTATGTCAAATGGTTCATGACCGAAGAATGCTCACAGGGAGAAATTCTTGGGTGCCCTACTCAATTGCTTGAGGATCCTGAGACCGGAGCTGATCTAGGCAAGACAGGCGGCTTTAGCTGGCATGACGAGATCCCCCAGGACGTATCTATATCGTTTAAACATGCGAGAACAGCTGGGAAGTATGATGAAGACGGAAGCTATTTTTATTGGGACGAGAAGGAGTGGCGATGGTGGACGTTTGACACTAAAAAGAGCATTCAGACAAAGTTTAGCCATGTCGTGCCGGAGCTCGGAGTTGGGGGAGTTTTTGCTTGGGGCATTGGAGAAGATGCACCCTCATTTGAGCATTTCAAAGTCACGGCCGAGGAAGTTCGCAAGATCCGGAAGGGGCATGCAGTTGAACACGACTACATGAAAGATGGGGACAAGGACGAGTTGTAATGTGGCATACATACAGAAGCGCAAGCAAGAGTTTGGGTAGCAGTGAGATGCTATGACAGCATGGCTTACCCATGCATGCACATGCATGAATCGCCGACTTTCGATTGAACGGTTCGCCAACTTTATTCATGCGCCTTCCAAAGATGCTCGATATCTCGACCGGGTTATGCGTGGTGGCTACGGCAAGGGTTCAATTAAGCTAGGTTTCGGCAAATCACAAGGTCCATACTAAACACGCCTCTAGCTGAACGGTTCAGTGTAACGCTGCTAAGCTTATCCTTAGCCTCCCCCTCCAACGACGCCCACGTCTCCTCCACACGTGCTTGTCAAAGATGCCCATCTCGTACGGACTTTGCCTACTGCTAGCTCCGGGGACCTTGTGCTCTTTGCAGAAGCTGGCCTGCAAGTGCTGTGATCTGCGATGTGATTGCTCAATTCGTCTCTTCTAGGCCGATAATCAACACCGAAGGTTCAACAAAAACCACATCCTGTAGGGGTGTTCTTTGTGGATGGGCTTGTTCCTGGGGATCCTGCGACGTCATCTCGGTGCATTGCCCAGAAAGGTCTATCGGGCTGGGGATCAATGTGCAGTTCTCTCGTCCATAAAGCCTGGTGAGCGCCCAGGTAGCGTCGAAAAGTTTTGATGTTTGGTCAAGCCTCAGTCTCGATTAAGGCCTCAATTGCTGGTTCTCGCCAAGCCTTGTCGGTGTCTCTTGTTCCATTGAACCTGCTTGCTCCTCTGTCAATCAATTGACTTGTCCTGTTCGCCATGCGTTTCTCTACTCCCCTCGTTGCCGGCCTTGCGGTCGTCAGCCCTGCCGTGGCTGCTCCCAGCCCCAGCTATGGCGATAAGGAGTTGTTCAAGACTGTCAAACCAATCAAGCAGATTGAGCTCGGCCCTCGACCCTACTACCTCGTCAACGACATGGACGAGGGTTCGCTGAAGAAGAAGCTTCAATCGTGCTCGGAGAAGCCTCAGAAGCCTTCCCAGTGGTCAATTGCCCACCGTGGCGGTGGTACTCTTCAGTTCCCTGAGCACTCTCTCGAGTCGAACCTGGCTGGTGCTCGAATGGGGGCTGGTATCCTCGAGTGCGATGTTGCTTTCACCAAGGATCGCCAGCTCGTGTGCCGACACTCTCAGTGCGATCTTCACTACACGACCAACATCGTTACGATCCCCGAGCTCAACAAGAAGTGCACCCAACCGTTCAAGCCCGCCAAGGATGGCAAGCCTGCTTCTGCCAAGTGCTGCACCAGCGACATTACCCTCAAGGAGTTCAAGACTCTCTGCGCCAAGATGGAGGGCTTCAATGCCACCGCCACCAACGCTGCCGACTTCCTCCACGGTACACCTCCTTGGCGAACCGATCTGTACGCTACTTGCGGTACAGTTCTGAGCAACAAGGAGCACATTCAGCTCACCAAGCGCCTTGGTCTGAAGCATACTCCTGAGCTCAAGACACCCGAGGTCAAGATGCCCTTCGACGGTGACTATACCCAGAAGAAGTACGCTCAGCAGCTCATCGACGAGCACAAGCAGGCTGGTGTCAAGCCTAGCGATGTGTATCTCCAGAGCTTCCTGTACGACGACATTCTGTACTGGCTCAAGGCCGAGCCTGAGTACGCTCGTCAAGCCATGTATCTCGACGAGACGGGCGACACACCCGAGACCTTCGAGAAGGCCGTTGCCAACCTCACTCGCTACAAGGAGGATGGAGTTCGGTACATCGCCCCACCCCTGCCTTATCTCGTCACACCTGGCAAGAACGGAAAGATCGTTCCCAGCGCGTACGCCAAGAAGGCGAATGAGCTTGGTCTCAAGATCATCACCTGGACTCTGGAGCGATCTGGTCCTCTGAAGAACGGCGCGGACGGCAACTATTATTACACTACTATTGCTAAGCTCATCAACAATGATGGTGATGTGTTTAACTTGTTGGATGTCTTCCGGGAGATTGGTGTTGCTGGTGTCTTCTCGGATTGGAGTTCGACTGTTACTTACTATGCCAATTGCTTTGGTCTTAAGCTCTAAGGCTGAGATTAGATAAGTAGAATTTAGACTGAAGAAAAGCGATTGAGTTGAGTTCTGTTGTTTTTGTGAGGACTGTGGCGTGCGTTTCATCTGAGACGATAATGTTTAACCGTTATGGTTATGTAAAGGTTATAACCACCATGACGGCCAACGAGTACAGGATTTATCTCGTTAAAATCCAATATCTTCAATGTCTTTGACCTGATATTTTCTTATATCAGTATTTACAAAAAGATTGGACGGTGGATGTTTCTTGATTGGGCGATGTCTCGATATGGCAATTCTCCACGGCCCTAAATCTTCAGGGTAAGTCTCCCCTGCCAATGACATGTTGCACTACTCGAATGCAAGTGATAAAGAGAAGTCGAACGCACTTTGGGGCATACAAGTCGTTTTTATTGGTTATCAATATTGTTAAGATTGCAAGTGACCAATTCCTCGGAATATCGCCCCCATGAAGCTATGCCTGTCTTGTACCAAGGGCTGTCTCTGGCTAACCCGTCATCCTCACCAATGTACTACCTGGCAGGCTCCCCCGGATTTTCGTCCTCTACCCCAGATTTTGAATGATGCTATAAATCTACAGTTGCATTGAAATGTGACTTGTCACACGTGAATCCCTCTCCATCTCTTGTCTTGGCGGCATTGTATCTCTATCACGACGCACGTTGGTCTCAGTGGTGAGAGTCTGTCTGTCGTCTGGGATGCATCTCTCAGTGATACACACCACCTTCAAACGCCATCATGGCCTTTACTTCTGGAGTCTTCTAGTGACCACCTTGGGCGTGTTTCCGTATGCGTTGGGATGGCTCCTTGGATACCTTGATATCGTGAGCACCGACGCGAGTAAGGCCATCGCGTCGCTCGGTTGGATCGTACTCGTTAGTGGCCAATCCGTGGTACTGTATTCACGACTGCACTTGGTACTGAACAACTTGAGAATACAGCGCGCTGTGCTATGGATCATTGTGATCAACGGCACGATATGGCACACGACGCAGACAGCACTGCTATTCACTATTGGACCGAGTGTTGATGGCAACAATCCCACGCGCATATTCGTCGCCATCGAGAAAACTCAAATGACTTTCTTCTGTGCACAAGAGTTTGTCATCTCAGGACTCTACCTCTGGGGCACGATCGATATCCTACAGACGTCCCTGGGCAACAAGCAAAAGACAATGTGGTATCTTCTAATCATCAACCTCCTCATCGTAGCCATGGACATAGCTCTCCTCATCATCATGTACAAGGACCACTATACGATCGAACAAGGCGTCAAACTCGTCATATACTCCATCAAACTCAAGCTCGAGTTCGCTGTCCTTGGAAAACTAGTCGACGTTGCTCAGAGCCGCGGAGGATCAAGTGTTTCGGAAACACATCCAGCTCGCTTCATCGAGATGCACGCTCGGGAACATGGAAGAAGTGACAACCTCCCAGAAATAGTGCACCTTGAGAACACGACTACACGGAGGATGGCCGATGATGAGGAGAGCATGCGCCATCTTTATGACGATGCGATCAAGCAGATATACAAAGGCTGAGGCATGACTAGCCAATCGCATCTTGATTTGGGTCTCTTGCAGGGCGAGCGAGATTTGTCAGGAGAGAGGATGTTTGCATAAGCATCGGGATAATTTAGCTGAGACGATGCTAAGCAGTGATTGTAAGAAGCTAGGCTCGGTATGTCCCCGCAGAATGTTCAGCCTTGAAGTGATCCATGCGTAGATTGTTAGCAAGTTCAGCTGTGAAGATGATGCATGGTTCTAGAAGTGGTGAGATGCTGTTGGACAGTTGATCATATAGTGAATAGGGACTACGAGGCATGATCACTGATGTGCAAGAATTGGTCACACAAACTGCACGGTCAAAGATATCAGATCTCATATCACAACGATGTCAAATGTTCTCCGGCCGCGCGATGCGATGCAATCCTTGTCGCTGATCTTCCACAGTGGACCATCACCGACTCTTCAATAATGCTTCTAGCTCTGCAACACATCCCAGATCACAAGATGGTCTGTCCTCAACAAATACCGCCGTACTCCTTCAGTGGCCCGAAAAGGCGGTCTCGCCGGATGAAACCTGTTGTTTCGAAGGACCTGGTCGGGGCGTATGTTGGATTGTGCTGGTTTGAGTATCATGTTATAGAAGGAAGAACGTCGCATGTTGGAATCTTCACATGTTGTTTCTCTTCATTCTTGGTCTTGGTATCGTTCTTCTTTTGTTTTGGATTTATTAATCTTCTGCTTCTGGTGCGCGCTTATTCATAATTGTATTGATATCCTATGAGCGATTCGATATCGAGGTATACAATAGGCTTGTAATATTCTCCCCTACCCCTTATTATTATCCCGAAACCAGGTCTATTCTCGACACTCATTAACCGCCAAGACGAACCGTATCTATCCACTCTCTTGAACATCTTCAACAACCAACGAGTTCATCGGCCACAATAACAAGCGTGTTGGTAACTCGCAGGCCATCGAGGCCGCCATGTCCGCATTCCCCATAGTAGACGGCGTGACAGTCGCTATCCCACCACCCGAGGGTTATGTGGTCAACTTTGATCATCCTCTACAACGACATGCCATAGAGTCATACGTGATCTCAGGCATAGGCACAGCACTCGCTTTTCTTTTCTTTTTCCAGTATTTATATGTCAAACTCTGGGTTTTACGTAAACCCGATGGGGAGACGGGTAAGACCCTTGCGCCGATCTGGATTAAGTTGTCATCCGCTAACAATAAGAAGCCTGCCTTGTAATTGCGTGGATCTTCTCCATAGCGGTTCAGGTCGTCTCTGTCAGTAAGTTTCCCACTGAATAAGCCCTGGTAGATGGAACATTTGTTGACTGGTATCAGGTTCATTCATCCTCGGGGTAACAGGAGTACATGCTTGGGAACTCCCTCTCGAAAAGTTCAACGAAGGGAATCAGGTAAGATCCCTAGCAAACCTTGGCGGACATCTTGCTAATAATGCCCAAGCTCACCTTCATATCCCCCATCCTATACGCAGTATGCACTGCCTGCTCCAAAATGGCGCTGGCGCTATTCTACCGAAGGCTTTCACCGCAGAGATGGTGGAAATGGAGCGTGTACAGCGTTTTCTTCCTCGTTGCTGGCTATAACCTGGCCATCCTGCTGGTGATTCCCTTCGGCTGTACACCGTTCAAGAAAAGTTGGGATCTCACGATACTCGAAGGATCATGCGTAGATCGAGGAGCTGTGTATATCTGCACAGCGGCCCTGGGCATTCTTTCAGATCTCATCCTTCTTGTCATGCCCTTACCGATGATTTTGCAGCTGCAGATGCCGCGACGGCAAAAGGCTGGCCTTGTGGTATTGTTTGTCATTGGTTCTGCGTAGGTGATTCTCAATTGAGGAAGCTGGCACTTGCTAACTGATGGGACAGAACACTTGTAACGTCTATGGTTCGACTAGTACTACTGGTTCCAATAGTTGATGCAAATGACTGCACCTGGGTTCTCTCCAGTGCGGTGGTTTGGATGTGAGTACCATTCTATCATGGTATAGCAGTGACTAACAAGCCCAGCTTTGTTGAAGCCAACCTCTTGATTATATGCGCGTCGCTGACGACGCTTCGACGATTCTTCATCCACGTCGCACCCAAGTTCATCGGCGAACGCGGGTCATCAGTTCGATACTTTGCAACCAGTAAAGGAACACGGCAACATCCATTCCACACAATAGGGAGCATTAGAAACAAAACCCGGAAGGATAGACTTGATGTTCAGATTGAGGATCCCGGATTCGACCTCAAGACAATCGTCCAGGCACAGCCCGTGACGACCGAAGTCACGGCATATGAGACAGACGAACAGCCAGAACAGATGATACGGCACTTGCGGAGACAAGAGTCAGTGAATAAGTTTGGCGAGGCCGCCGTAAGGGCTCAGACTCAGATGTGGGATCCTCGCAACAGCAGCGATGATGAGGAGCGGGCGATTGTTCAGACGACAACGGTGACAGTTGTATACGGGCCAAGAACTGAGTGAGACTGAGGCGCTTATTATTTATTAGCTTGTTCCAGATATACAATTCTTTGTCTCGTTCGTGGCCTGGTGACGGTTAATGCATTCGTCAAGATGTGAGATGGTGTTGGCCAATCGTATCCTGAGAAGCGTAAAGGGTGCATATTCTGTCAGGCGATTTGAAACAGATCTCTGCCAAGACTGAAACACGTCTGCTCTCAATTGCCGGGCCAAGTTAGAGTTGGACTGACTATACCGGGATGTCAAGTTTATGTTCCATTGACTCAACAACTGCAGCCGCCGACAGAGAGAAAAGAGATGTCTTGGTCTACGGGTTTCAGCTGCCGAGCCAAGGCAGTGCATCCATCAGCCAAGCATTGGATGAATCAAAGCGCCTATGGCTATTGGCGACTATAGCTCCGGGGGGGTCCGACAGATGAAAAAAAAGTCGTGCGCGTCACAAACTCTTGTCGTCGCTGTCAGAACATGATGAGATGATGCTCTTTAACATTTCGCCCAGAACCAGCTAAGGAATGTGAATGTGAAGTAGGTCTCGTATTCGGGACATCACCCCAATTTACACTGAATTAAGCACTGCTGAGCCATCAACTGAGCCATGTTCAGCCACTAGATGACATCACGCACCCTGTAAGTACTAAGAAACCCTGCATTAAAACGTCAGATGTTTGGGTCTTAGCACCACGTCATTCGTGAGACGCCCTCGACAATGGAAGCAGGAAAAGCACATGAGCCACTCAAACGTCGTCGTCAGTGCAGATCTCGAGACATCCACTTCACCTCTGTTTGCCCTTGATTGGTCTGGGGGCTGCCTCCTGTGAGGGAAAGCTTCGCGCTTGGCTGTAGGTGACTGCCGAATACGCTATGATTCACTGACGTAGAGGTTCTTAGCTGCTAACGCTGGCAGCGGCTGGGCTGGCCTCGATCTTGGCTTGGCCCTTTGGGTTTGGGTGTCTTTCCTTGAATGGACCCATCCATGCCAGGCCATGACTGACACTGTCCGTCATTGACCATTCTTTCTAGACTGAACCCGAAGCTGCCGCCGTGGGTTTAAATGCTATATCCCCCTGCTGGACCCCCTCCTCTTGCTGACGATCACATCACTCTTCTTCGCCTCACATCACATCACTCTGCGCAGCAGCAAACCATCTATCTCGTCTTCAATCCGATAGATCTTTAATCTTCACCCAACAAATTTCATCATACGACATCGGCATCGTATTCATCATGGCTATGGGAATAATCACCATCATCCACGCCGTTCTGGCAGTCTTTCTCATCATCGAGTTGGGCCTCACCGCGTACCGTAAGTGCCGAGCCTCTACTCACCTCGTTTCTCTCCAATGAGCTCTTCTAACAATTGCACAGTCGTCGATGCCACTTCTTCGTGGTGGAGTGATTCTCCTGCTTCGGTATCATTCCTGCTCTTCTGTGTCGTCTGGTCCATCCTCATGCTCCTCTACCTCGCCCTGACACCTCTCTTTGCTCCTCGTATGTACCACAACATGGTCGCTCTCGGTATTCTCGCCCTCACCACGCTCTTCTGGTTCGCCGGCGCTACTGCTCTCGCTGCTCACATCGGTGTGCCTCACTGCCACGGGATCACAATCTGTCAATGCGCTCAAGCCGCCGTTGCTTTTGGTTACTTCATCTGGGCCATCTTTACCGGATTGACCATCATGGAGGCTCTTGCTTTCATGCGATCGCGCGGTCACTCTGCTCACGCTGATACCAAGCCCGGTCAACACTATGGTGCCTAAATGATTGAGGATGTAATGGTTTGATGGATAACGTATATTGGAAATGAAGCGGCGGTGGCTTTCGGTGGTTGGATTTGTCTTGCTTTCAATTTTGTTTTTATGCGACACGGCCGCAAGATACCCTTCAGGAACTGACAGGCTCGTCAGAATCGCCGGTTATATGATTACTTTTTGTATTATTCACGGTGTATTAGTGCGATATGGTTGAGAAAAGAAAACTATCATTGACTATTCTATCTCTTGCTCTCACTGTTCAACTTTTCATACCAGTGAATGAACGTCTCGGTCAACACAACGAACGATGTTGGCTGCAATCAGAGATAAACTTGATCTGCGTCTATCTGACGCTTATTTCCATCCCATGCCGGGAGTCAGCGGCTATAGCTGCCGAGCTGTATCTCCTCCACTTTACGTCATTTTTACTTGGCTGCACGAAGCCACTAGAAGACGGTGGTGTCCATGTCAATGAAAAGTTCATGGCGTGATCTCATAGCTTGACTTTGGACAGTTCATTACGTCCTCGAAGAGAATTACAATAAGAGCCATGCTTATACGTAGTGAGCATTGCGGCGTTGCATCATTATCACCAATATTGACGACTTCCATATTGAACAAGGGTCGCCATCGAGGTTTAGGGTAAACGTTGATGGTCAATTCTTTTCGCATTACAGCTCGGTACTGAGACTGTCTCTGGTCAAATAGTTATTTGGTCGAGCGGGATAACTGTTCCTGTGAACCCGGGGTGATTGTTATAAGGGCAAGGTTGATTAGACAGCTCGACTGGGCTCTGGCTCTCATATCAGTGACGATTGATCTTGGCAAACTGATGAATTCAACGCCATGTTCATTTTGGAAGCCGGAATATCCTTACCTCGGCTTTGCTTCCTTTTCTGCATAATTCATCGTTCGTGCACAAGGATTATATCATTCAATATCTCTCGACATTTACATCCGGTTTCGTGCACTCTTATCCGTCTCCCATCCCATCTGATAAGGACCTTGTCAACGCGGGGGGAATGTGGGTTATAGTGACCCGAGAACCGAGACCCTGGACGATTTGTCTGGCCCATTACAAACCACACGCAATAACAACCTCGACCTCGACCCGTTATCAAAGATATCTTCGCCTCCGCACGTGAAAAAAAAAGCAATAAGATTTGATCGCCTGCTCATCATGGGGCCCGAGCGACTGCTCCCGCATGAGCGATGTCACTATCTTCAGGACGCGTTATTCCCCTTGTAGCAATCCCTTGATGAGTGAGCTGACAGCGTGGGTTTACCGTTTATCCCTAAACTGCTTTTCGTCGTGGTGCTGCTATTCTTATCAGCCATCATGGAGTTGATAGGCCGTGCTGGGATTATCGGCATGGATGCTTATCAGTTGCTTTCCGCCAAGAGGCTTTTTGGGATATGATGATTTGCAGGAGAACGACACGTTTTTCTAGACTCGGAGATGCTTTTTAATGATAGATCACGAATCACTCGTTTCATGGCGTTTTGCTGCCCTGCCTGGTCTTTGTTGTCAGAGACAAGAGACAACACGACCGTGGCTCAAGCCTCTCCGGACTTGACGCGGATTCAGCATATCTCAGAAAGAGCCTCAACACATGGCATCTTTCACAAGCTCCCCAAAAGAACAGACCTCTCTCTCTTGTATGCCGACCATTCCGGCTTTGGCTCATTCGACGCCTTGGACCGGGGAGAACTACCATCGACTGCCTTTGCGCTAGGTACGCCTGCGCATATCAGCGGTAGCTAAAACTAAAACTCCAAGAGTTGCGGGCGTAGCTCATACTCAACTGCCCAGTTGACAGCGTAGTATCGCACGTCTGCGGCCGTCCCCTTGTAAGAGCTCTGAGGGATCTAGACCTCTCCGCGACGGCTTTGATGCTGTTTTTGAACTTTACAGGTCAGTTCTCTTTCCGGCCGAAAAGTCCTTGCTTGGCTAATAATCCTTGAGCAGAACTGTCGTTGCTTTTCTTTTCAATGTTCTGGTTCCCTCCTTTACGTCTTCCTATGAGACTTGGACACAACCCTTTCGCGAGCACACACACCACACTCATGGCCAATTACTTCATAATCGAGAGAAGACTAGTTACTGGACGCCATTTTTGTTTACTATAGACTCATCTTAGACTTTTGCTTTTGTATTTTCCCAAAAACGTCTCAACAGCCAACCCGCCACTTACATCCTCATCGACTTCACATCACACAAAATGTCGGCACGAAGCGCATACGCGCGCAAGAAAACAACACAAGCGAAAAATAAGGACCCAGTCATACATGGACGCGCTCAATCTGTAGCCACTTCATCAAGTGGTGAAGAGCTTTTTACTGACCATTCGATACCGCCCAATATCCCAACCCCCGTTGCGGCTCGATTTCCGCAAATACAGCAAAATGCTTCGATGCCAATGGGAAACAGGGGAGATTGGACCCCAAGAGGAAGACCAATGATGGCGCCAGATTGGAATCGGGATGCGTATACGAGTAATCAATATGCCGAGGAATGGGTTCATAACAAACCGAGGAGAGTGACACTGCCAGATGAGTATGGGACTATTGAGAGGAGTGGACTACGAACAATGCTCGACAAGCGAAGTGACGATGTACGAAAGACAATAGCGAAGACGTTCACATTCCGAAAGAAGGAAAAGGAAGAGGAACCGATCGATCAAGACAGCAATGGAAGCCGACCAAGCGTGGAAACACTGCAACCGACCGTCATGCCGAGTCCTAGTCCCAATGAGAGCAGCGGCTGGGACTCACAATCTGTGGCTCGAACAGATACGACTTTGACTTCGACATCTTCTTATGCAGCGTCTCAAAACCAGATGCCGTTGACGCCAACATCACAACTCTCATTTGGTCTACCTCCCGTTGGACCACCACCAACCAGCAAACTGCCTCCGATTCCACAGGTACCTTCTGCACCACCACCGCAGATCAGACGTTGGTGTGGAGGAGGACGGCCTATCACAAAGTGGAACAAGCTTCGGAAAGACCCAGAGCTTTGGGATCCTAACGGAGATGTTCTGATCTACCTTGGGAAGAAAGGCCAGAGCTTGCCGTCGATGCGCGTTTCGTCTCATATCATCGAAGCTATCAACAGTCGATATCTCATCTCTCTTCTGGATGAGGGTTTGATTGATGGATATCTGCATTCTCCGCCTTCACCAAACACTGAATCCTATGGAAGAAAGCTTGGTCAAGAATTCCGGAATTCACCACTAACACCGCCTGCATCTGGACGCACCAGCATTGGAGACATGGGAGGACAAGTTCTTTATGAGATGCACTTCCCACCTCCGCAGAATATGAAGAGCATCGATCAGCTCCGTCATCAGCTCACAACGCGCAACTTCTTTGCCCTGCTGCTCAACGCCTCAATGGTGGGCTTGTCGCTACACGAAGCTCTATCTGATCTTCACGTTAGACTGGATAGCTACATGCCCCCGAATAACGACAACGTCGGCCAATTGGTGCGGTATCTCTATAACCGAGATCTCGACGACGTACGAAACAATCCTGCCTTGGCGGTGTCACTCCTCATCTGGTCAGAAGAGCCGGATGTGCGGTGGGAGGAAGGATGGAGGGAGTGCTTCACGCATTGCGTGGGAATGTTTGATCTCGTGCAGAAGTACAAGGACTTCAAACAGATAAACACAAACACGAGAAAGCTTATGGAGATGGCGAGTCACGAGATGCAGTATCGTGTTCAGGCTGCAGAGGAAAGGTTGGCTGGCTTCAGGTACCAAGACATCTGGGCCTTCACTCCCAAGACGGGATCGGAGATGAGGGCGATTGAGAGGTTGAAGGACATGTTGTTACAGCATTTTGAACAGGAATATGGATCATGGCCACCATCACAGTCTGATAGTCGATCCGGACGATCAGTCGGTTCCTCAAGACCCGAAACCTGGTTGACTCGGACGTTGGCTATGAAGCTCCAAAAAGACTTTGGGGAGCTGTATGATTGCATGGTCGACAGAGATATCGTTTGGGGTTCGTTGGAGATCCAGTTTGGAAGCAGATTGATGATGGTGTCAAAGAGCAAGAGGAGGGCCATTGATGCAGACACGAGGGAGATGCACTTGACGGATATGCTTATTGACTTTGACAACAAACATCGGTTCCCTCATATTCCTCATCCGTTTCCTCTACTGCCAGAATCGACCTCAACTGCTGGCTCGTTCCGAAGAGGCATCGCAAAGACTCGAGGCGACCAAATGAGCGCGCTGGAGGAAAGGATACGACTTGCTTATACTGAGAATACCGGCTTCGATGAAACGGAGATCAAACTCTCCGACGCATTTGAGCGCTTTGAGAAGACCGATGACATTGGAGACATGGATCCAGCTACTGCGAGACGTAGTCGCTGGATTCTTATATACGGAATCCTTCAGTCACTAGCCTCTGTGTCTGTTGACGATGAGAAGGTCCAGTACAACGACAAGGTTGATTATCACTTGTGTCCAAGATTAGAGGGAGCAAAGATACCGCCATGGAAACGAGGAACGAACGAAGGCATCGGTCAAGGAGCGCATGAGAGATCGTATTGCTGGGTTGCAGAGGCAGAACGAGTTATTGAGAGCGACGAGTATGGAGACGATGTTGATATGAGTCTGATCAATGATTTCCCAATTCAGCTAAACTCGCCCGGCGCCGCGGAGGACCGAAACACGGCGTCAGGTGGGTCTCTCGGCACGGGCTTCATCAGCCCAAGAGTTCGAGAGAGGATGCGGAGGAACCGAGAGAATGAAAGTCCTGTAACGGCGGACTATGGATACACGTACACTTAATTAATACCTTTTAATGAACAAAGCCGATTTACGAGAAATTGGGCCCCGCGGAACTAAGGTCAGATGGTACCTGTTGATCGCGATCCCCAGCCACTGATTTAAAACATGGGCGAGTACCCGCTGTTTCAATGCTGATCTATGCGGATCTGCCGAAATAAGAGGACATGAATCAATCGCCAATTCGCATATCAGTTGATCTCTGAAACGTATGTACAGGAAACGTGCGGGACGGCCCAGGGCGCCATGCATAAGGCGTGATGCATGCTGTACTCAGATTGTCTTGTGTTCCTGAATTAAGCGACGATGGCGATGGAGATGCATGATTTACCAGCCACCGAATCTGCGACAGTTGAAGAATAATGCTACAGATGTTAACTAGGGCTTTTCGTAATTGGTCGGCTGGTTGTTCTCGTTTTGGTTGTAACTCTCTTGTTGGTTGATACCCAGCCAACCTGTTTTCTGTATTTATTACCATTTTGGGCGTGTATGAGCTTACCAGCCTCTCCAATTCTGATGACGTCGCAACACGAAAAGGGTCTCGACCTGTTTCCCTTGCTGGTTATTCTCTTGGCTAAATTGATAGAGAGTGTCCTATCCTGATTTGCAATACAATTGATCTGGATCAGATTTCTATTGCTCGCTTGATTGCTTGAGTGCTTGCATTGCTAGTGCAAGTCGACGTCATGCTCCAATTTCGGCATGACCGGTAGAATCGAAGCTGAACAGCCGCAAGTCTGGGTGGACGGACGACAACTAACGAAGATGATTAATCCTTGCTGAGAGCCTAAACAGCGCATAAACCTTTCATCTCCATTTTCAGGCTCGAGATGCTTCAGTAACCCAAACACACCGAAAAACTCGTGAACCCGACGGCCCTAGAAGAAACCAGCTCCAGATCGCTAAACTTACAAGGGTCTAGAGCTAAAAGGTCCCCTACCCTCTAACGGCCCAACCACTAACATCCTGCAACTACAGGGGTGGCCTTTACAAGGGTTATCCCACCTTTTCTGCTTTCTCTGGGCGTGGTCCTGCGCCATCTATTTCTCAAGCACCAACCACCTTGAATCGTGGGTTTTTGGCAAGACCAAGGATGGGAACAAGTTTGGACGATTGCTGTTGCTTTGCTTGCCTTTGCATTCGTGGTAGCTACAAAATAGAGCTTTCTT